TTTTTAAGTTCTACCTACAACTCATCTTGCTGTTCACCTTTATTTTTCCCCTTTTCACAACAGGCCTTTGACTTCCGGTAACTCAGTTTGTGAGCTCACCTATAAAGCTCCCACCTTCCCTTTTGGCATCTTATGGCGCTGTTTGTCGTCAAGGTTATTTGCCTTGTTATTCTTGTCAACACTCTTTGTCCTGTCACCATCCTGATTTTGTGCTTATCTTCTTGCCCCTTAAACAGAAATATACAACACGCCTTTCTTTTATTAGTGACCGCGGTTTCACGTGCCTACAATGTCGCGTCGTATATAAAGTTAATAAAGTTGTGATTAACCTTTCTTCATTCAACCATTCCACCTGTCCAAGCTTCAGAAGCTCTTACCTATTGCCTTGTTACCTGATACCTGATACCTGATACCCGATACCCCCCTTTATAATTATGAGCTTTCCCAACTTACCCGGTACGCAAGAACAGAAGAACGCAAAGATGACACCACTTCGAAATATTCATATGACAAGAGCATATCTTCAAGGCAAGCAATGGCTGCAACAACAGCAAAAACATAAAGAAGAGCCCTCCATCTTTTATGATCCAACTCCACACATCAATAAAAACAATGCTACCAAGTCACATTCTAATCCACAGGTTGTTGCACCAATGCTGCCAGTTGCTACATCAGCGCCACCAAATGCTACATCAGCGCCACCAGTTGCTACATCAGTTTCACCGGTTCTGCAAGACCTAATCACCAATGAGCAGCAAGCTAGGCCCGAGTCACCTTTTATTCCTCTCTCAGAACGCAAGCAGCAGCTTGAAAAGAGTGTACTCATGAGCCAAAAAAAGGTAATTGCTTAACTGGTTGTGGAGTCTTCAGTCGAGAGCTTATTTTATTTTACACTATTTTACTTTACTTTATTTTATTTTATTTTATTTTATTTGTTTTGTTTTATATTTTATTGTTGTTGTTGCTGTTGTTGTTGCTGTTGTTGTTGCTGTTGTTGTTGCTGTTGTTGTTGCTGTTGTTGTTGCTGTTGTTGCTGCTGTTGTTGTTGCTGTTGTTGTTGCTGTTGTTGCTGCTGTTGTTGTTGCTGTTGTTGTTGCTGTTGTTGTTGCTGTTGTTGTTGAGTTCAGAAATATGTGTATTATATATTTTATGTATAAATGTGTGTCTGTAAAGAATCGTTGTAACAGAATTATTATTTTCTCTAATATACAATACACGTGCATAGGTCCTCCAAAGTTCAGGAACCTCGAGTGTACCTAAAATGGAGAAAACACGACTGACAGCCCCCAAATCCCCTGTGGTCACCAAGAGACGACATGATCCTCTTGGTGTACGCCCAAAGCCGACAGCACGACCTCAACGGCCAAAAACAGAGGCAACGCTGGTACCGCCATCACCATCGCCACCAAAGGCACAGGCGTTGGTGAAAACCAGACTGGCGGCTCCAAAGTCGCCAGTTATCGCCAAGAGGCGATACGATCCTCTGGCATCTCGGCCACTCGCGCTCAAACCAACAAAGCGCGCATCAACGCCGATGCCCACGCCGAGGCCGATGCCCAGGTCCACAGGGACAATCCCTAAACCCTTCCAGTTTGAGACTGAAGGTAGGAGCAAACGATACTGGGCACGGCTTCAGCAGCGGGAGGAGGAAGAGAGGCTGTTGGAGGAAGAGGGGAGGAGGAAGATACCAAAGGCGGTGGTTCTTCCTCCTAAGCAATCTATACCCAGGAAGGAGGTGAGGCCTCTGACTCAACCTAGGCCATTCATTTTGCGAACCCAACAAAGAGCTGTCCGTGCAGAGATTGAAGCTCAAAGACAAAGAGAAGAGCTTCATCGACTGGAGCAGCAAGCACGACAGCAATCATCACAATCGCAACGACAACGACAAGAGGCTAAGGTGAAGGATAGAGGTAAGGAGAGGGATAGGGGTAAGAAGAAGAACGAGGCTAAGGCTAAGGAGGAGGAGAAGACCATGGACGAGGAAGCGAATAAGGATGAGGAAGAGGAAGGAGACGAAGAAGAAAGAAGACGTAAACAAGAAAGAGAAGAAATAGTAAGTTTATACAAGGAGTTTGCTCAACGTCGATATCCTACCCCTGATCCCAATATGGATGCACAAACTTGGAGAAGGATGAATGATATTTGAAGAGGGGAAAAAAAAGAAAAAAACTTATTGTTTTTTTGTGAAGTAGAAACATTTGAAAAAAAAAAAAAAAAAAAAAAAAAAAAAAGAAAAAGGAAAAGAAAAGAAAAAAAAAAACTTTATTGTTTTTTTGTAAGTAGAAACATTTGAAAGAAAAAAAAAAAAAAAAAAAAAAAAAAAACTTATATTGTTTTTTTGTAAGTAGAAACATTTGAAAAAGAAAAAGAAAAAAAAAACAAACAAATTTTATTGTAATAATTAGCTGAATAAAATACGAAATCGTAACTTCACTCAATGCTTTAGGATATGAGATGCAATTTTAAATGAGATGGATGCGAAATAAAAAAAAAAAAAATATGCATAAATGAAAATGCTCTAAATACAAAGAAAAAGTGTTTTTTTTAAACGCGATCAACCACTTTTTCTGCGACGGCTTCTTGTTCTCTCCATGTTTTAGCCTTCACCAAAAGGACAACCAAGCCAATGGAACCCAACAAGGTCATGAGGGCCCAGAATGTGTAGAGCCATCCACTGCCCATGGCCCCCAACAGGGGGAGGGCTGTAAATCCTCCAATGGCACCGGTGACGCCTCGAGCAAGACTGTTGCAGGCCACTGCAGAGGTAGCCATGTTGTTCTGAGAGTTTGCATCCACGAGCGCTGTGGTCGTGCTAGAGTAAACCATCATCATCCCAAATCCTACAAAGAAGATCCCGACGACCGCTGAACCAAGTGCAAGTCGATTCTGAATTGACCAACCAAAAAGCATGAGACCAAGTGGTAACAAGAAAACACCTAACCATACACTAGAAAAAAATAAAAAAATAAAATAAAAATAAATATATAAAGTCAGTCAACTATTCTGGTTGAAGATGAGAAAAAAAAAAAAAAAAAAAAAAAATCCAATTCCTAACCTGCGAAGACGGATTTCCGGTGGAGCGCGCATGGTCACATCAATGACAACATCCTTTTCAGTAATCTCCTTGACAGGCGTAGAGCCGTTACTGCTGCTTGGGCGAGATCCATGTCCAGCTCCAAACATCGCCTCACGATCCCTCAACTCCCTCTGTCGCCTCAGCTCATGTTTGACCAACCAGCGACGCATCACATAATCCGAGTATCTGCCACCAACGATGGATCCAACGATGGATCCGAATCCTCCTGCGCAGAAAACAAGTCCAATGGTAGTCTCTGACATACCGTACACTTCGTGGAACGAGATCGGCATGGTGTTGTTCATACAAAACTGAGCTGCCAGGGATAATCCGTTGAAGGTGACCAAGAGGGCATTGGTAGGCGAACGAAGGCATAATAATGGTCGTAAAGGATTAAATGATTTTCGCTTTGGAGGAACAAGAACTGTAGCCGTAGGTGCCGTGGTAGAAGTAGTAGTAGCAACAGCAGTAGGAGTAGTAGTAGTCCCGTCAATGATTGATTTCTCTGCTAACTCTCCATCCTCAAACCTCTTTTCATCACTGCTATGAGAATACTTCTCATTCGTGTTGATCTCTTGCTTTTCTTCTGGGAAAACCACATGGCGATCTCCTGCTGTTGTAGAGTGGCAATCCATAATACTGCCGGTACTGACCGTCTTTTGGTTTTCGGCCTCAACAGCCTCATCTCTGGTCTCTACAGCGTTTGAATTGCCCTCAGTCATGGAGTCCATCTCCGCTCTACGCTGTTCTTCTTCCTCTACCAGATGAGGAGGGATGATGTTGGGTACAATGTATTCCATAGCACTTTCCATTGGTGTGACTACACTGCGACGACTATGATTGCTGTGGAAGCTGTGGACAGAAAGTCGACCTACGGTAGATGCCTTGCGTGAAAGGCCGATGGAGGGACTCTTGAGACTAGGTGTGCAACGTGTAGCAGGGGATGATGTTGGTGTTGAGGATGGTTCATCTGTTTCACTATGAAGCGATAGTTTGCCAGCAACATGAGTAATATCTGACTGATTCGTCTGGCTATTGTCACTTTCCTCCGTCATTGTCGTGGGCTCATCAATGTGATGGCGGTATGTCTCTGGAAGGACGAACAGGACGAGCAAAAAGGCGACGATCGCTGTTGCCAAAAGAAGCCACATCGTGGTTCTAAATTAATATGATACAAAAGAGGAAAACAAAATGACGCATTAGGCACTTGCTTGTTGCTTGGTTTCGGTTTTCCAAACGATTTCAGGCTGACAAGAACGGTTTTAAAAAAATAAAATAAAATAAAATAAAAAATAAAATAAAATAATAAAATAATAATAAAAAATTAGAGTACCTCCAGCCAGCCTTGTCTGCAACAACTCCTCCAATGATAGGGCCAACCATGGGTGCGATAAGTGGTCCTAGATAGTATAGTCCAAAGGCTGTACCGCGTTCACTGCTGTAGAACACATCACTTAAGGAACCGCCTCCGACAGACAGGACGGAGCTGGCTCCGAACGCTTGGATGGCACGCATCACAAAGAAGACCCAGATATTGTGAGCAATGGCTGCAAAGAGTGAGCCCAGGATGAAGATCAACATGGAGATAAGGTAGATCGGTCGTCGTCCATAGTAATCACAGAGCGAGGCCCAGAACACGGGCATGATTCCCAAAAAGAGGACATAGACAGATACTATATGTATATATACATTGATTATTATTAGTGTTATTTTTAATAATAATAATAAAACAGTTATTAAAAGAGAAGAGGGAGGATGAAAAGGTATTAGAATGATCTGTAAAGACTCGAGAAAATTAGCAAAATGTCCATGTGGGGGAAAGAGGCGTGTGTATAGTTGTAATGGATGTAATGTGTATAAATATAGTGTGTATGGATCGTATCCATGTGCATGCGTAACATGTATACAAACATGATGCATTTTATAGGATGAAATGTAACAGTTTTGCCGAACGGTTTCATTTATGGTAATCACTGAACAGTATAGAAGTCAACAAAACGCGAAACAGCCAATTCTTTTGTTTGCGCAAGACAAAGAAAGAGAGGGGAGGGGAATGATGGAATATTCAATGGGGCAAAAGCGATACATTACAGGTTGCACTGACGAGCGATGGAGTCGTATTCAAATCGTTCTTGACTTGCAAGACCGCGGGCATGTAAATACTGGAAGCTAGCGGAGCCACAAAAGCACAATAGCCAATAATGATCACAACGGTGTTTTTCTTGCTTTTTGACCATTTTTTGGGATCATCTGTCCTGGGTGCAGGATTGATTAATTGCTTGAGATATGAACCAGCTGTCATGATGATTGCTCTCCTCCTAATGGCGATCAGAAATTGATTGTAATACAAGTAAGGTTATGTAATGTGGAACGATGGAAAAAAAAAAAAAAGTGTAATGGACAGAGAAAGTTGTTTATTTGAAAATGAAAAGAGAGTATATGCAGGATGGATAAAATGTAAAGGTTGTATTAAATGTAAGAAATGACAAAAGGTAAGAAGATGGGACAAGTATTATAAAGTAAACAGAAAGAGTAAAGGAGCGAAAAAGGAAAGAAGCGGGTTAAAAACGAAGAGTTATTGTCGGTTCGTAAAAGGATTTCCCTCGGGTCATTTAAATAACGTGGTGCTGCATGCAACTAAAGAGCAGTTGAGAGAAGAATGCAGGAAGTATGAAGATGTATTAATAAAAAAAAAAAATAAAAAAAAAAAAGGGAAGGAAAGGAAAGAAATTAAAGAGCTGTCAAAATACAAAAAAATTAAAAAGATTGAAAAGATAAAGTAAAAGCAGAAGAAGAGGAAGAAGAGGAAGAGAAGAGAAGAGAAGAGAAGAAGTGTAAACAAGAAGTAAAAGTCGGCGTTTATAGATGTTGAAGAAAATTGGAGGTCTTGAGCCCGATAGGATGGGGCACTAAAAAGTCAGAGTTACAAAGAAGGGTAAATAGAGAAGGATTTTCCAGAATACGCTTAATTGCTTAGTGGCTTTAGACATCAGACATGTATATATATATATAATAATGAACATTTCAGACGGAGCTGTTCCCTTTGCAGAAGAGCATTTGAATTACATTATTATTTCGCACTCTCAAAAGGAGCCTCGACCATTCTGTTGGTCTCATTCCCTTTCCTTCTTTTTATCCCACTCATATAACCTCCCAGATTTATATGTTTTATATATACACCTATTTCTAAATAACCAATTGTACTGAACAATAAAATGACCATGGTTGCTTTTACGGATTGATCAATATGAAGAAAAAAAAAAGATACATGTATAAAGTAAGAAAATTAGTGTCCATGCGGACTTGAGTTGTCTAGAACAAAGCTTGGGAATTAGCAGACTCAGCATCCGTCTTATTCCGGCTGAGTTCAAAATAAGAAATGAACAAATTTATAATTTTGAATTTAGGCTTACAGGACATTACCAAGTATAGCAAGTATCTACATACTGCTTTAATAGGCTCGTACCCATCCCTCTTCACTTTATAAAGGTGACAGGAAATTCCATTTCCTTTTTGAGTCACCTAAAGTGAAGGGGCTGGGAAAAAATCTTCGCTTATTAGCTGGTAGCTCAAAAAGGAAAAAAATTGTGCACTTGAAGGAATATTTTTCCGTATATGCACTCGATAAAGTGTTTTTTATAGGAAAAAGTACAGTTATTAACTTTATTCTGTGTATATACGGAGTAAATTTCCCTCAAGTGCACAATTTTTTTCCTTTTTGAGCTACCAGCTAATAAGCGAAGATTTTTTCCCAGCCCCTTCACTTTAGGTGACTCAAAAAGGAAATGGAATTTCCTGTCACCTTTATAAAGTGAAGAGGGATGGGAACGAGCCTAGCTTTAATACAAATATTTGTATTATGTTTATACAGATAGGGATGTGCCATGACATGTAATGCTTACAAAAAAAAAGTGCCCTCAAATATACATGTTCAAGTAAGTGTGGAACAAGTTGCCCTATATCATTCATCTATAGTCATTCTAATGATAAAAGAGAGTCACCATTTAAATGAATGTGGGGAATTTCTTTTTTAAAGAAGAGTCTTATTATTCTCGGATCAATCTTCAACCTTAATTTTGTTGACAATGAAAAGAGTGCAGTCAGATCCCACCCCTTTTTTTTTTTTTTTTTTTATTTACTCTGACTCACACCACATTAAGCATGCAAGGCATGGCAACATTAATCACATTAAAGAACTGAAGAAGCAATTTTTTGTTTTTATCATACTCCTCAAATTGATTTCCATTTTGGTTTAATTATGGACACGGATGTATTTTACCCGACATTATGTCTAATGATGTGATATTTATTTATTTATTTATGACGTTTCTCTTTGCTCTCAAACATTCTTTATAGTACACTCTTCTTTTCCTTTAGATCTTTGCAGGACGAGCTGGCAAACTATTTGTGTCCAGGATACCAATCACTGATTCAGGTGCATACTTCTCAACAACATCGGGCTTGTGCAACAAGTTGAACTCCTCTGTAGCATCTCGTCCTGCAAAGATCAAAATCGCCTTCTTCCCACCAGGATGATCAGGCAAGAACTTTGTCACATCCAGGACTTGACCATTCACAATGACCCAGCAATCCTCCGGAGTGTTGTGCTTGGCCACCTCAGCTGCCGAGATCAAGGGCAACTTCTTGGGAGGCTCAACCGCTGCTGCTGGTGCCGCACCAGATCCAGAAGCTGCCGCGACAGCCTTTGATGCAGCACCACCCCAGCTGATCTCAAGATTGATCTTCTGGTTGTTGGGGTCAACAGTAACAGATGTGGTGAATCCTCCAGGAAGTGAGATAGCCTGTGACTGAGCTGCAGCAGCACCTGATCCAACAACTGGATTGGACTTCACATAATCCGAAACGGAATCACCAGCCGTGCGACCAAAGACGACGCATCCCAACAATGATGATCCTCCAAGGCGGTTAGCACCATGGACACCTCCGCACATCTCTCCAGCAGCGAACAGTCCTGGAATGGGCTTGTCATTTGTGTCCTTAATGTTGGCCTGGTCGTTAATATCAACTCCTCCCTATTATTATTATTACATCAGTAGAGCAAAGTTTTGGTCAATAAGTTTTTTTTTTTTTTTTTTTTTTTTTTTTTTTTCCTTAAATATATATATATATAAGCAAACTATATTAAACATAATACCTACCATAGTGTAATGAAGGACAGGAGCCATTTGTGCAACATGGAAGTCCTGCTCCATCTTGATTGGGATATTGTGGAAATACTTCTTACCCCATGGGTCCTTGACCTTGCCTTCAGCAATTGCGTTATACTCATCAAAGGTCTTTTGCAGCTCTGAGGGAGGGATACCGATCTCCTTGGCAAGCTCTTCACCGTTCTTGAAGTACTTCATCAAACCACGACCAACATAGTGTTTGCAGTGCCACTCAATCTCCTTAGCAGCAGCCGTATTGAGGACCAGACGGATTGGAAACTTATTCTTCCACATCATACCTGTGACATAATCACGGTGACCGAGTTCATCACAGAAACGCTTGCCGTCAGCTTGCAAAAGAAGACCACCAACACCGCGCAGAGCCTCTGCGGCCAAGAACTTGACTTTGGCATCGGGCTCACGAGGATCGACCAATCCTGTGGGGTGAACCTGAACTTTCTCCATGTTGATAGTCTTGCCACCAATGGCCAGAGTCATCTTAATACCATCTCCAGTAGTATGATCACCGTTAGTAGTAGGCAAGTCCCAGAGATCGGGGCGGTACTAGGAGGAGGGGAAAAAAAGGGCATTAGATATAATTAGTCACGTGGTATGATCGTGAATGAGTTGCCCCGGATTAAGAAGAGTTAAATAAATGTATACAACATACTTTCTTCAAGAGTGAATCGCTGCTGAAATCAGCGGCATATCCTCCGGTAGCCAAGACAACAGGGCCCCAGGCTGCAACCTTCTTTCCAGGTTCGCTCAAGTGTTCATATTCAACACCAACGACAACACCGTTCTCCTTGATCAGGTTGGTGACACGAGCCTTTCTAATTAGCTTGACGCGATCTGGCTGAGAGACGCTGAGTTCCTCAATCTTCTCCATCAGTGCATAGGTAATGGTCATACCAGGCATCTTTTCCTTGCCACGGTGGGTTCGAGGGAAGGAGTGTCCACCAAGGCGGGAAACTAAGGATAGGTCAAGTTGGAACTTGTCTTGCAACCATTCGACAGCAGAGGCAGAACGACCGGTGAGAACCTTGACAAGGTCAGGACGGAGCATGTCACGAGCAGATCTGGCAGTGTCGTCATAGAAGGCCTCAACAGAGTCCTTAATACCAAGCTCTAAAGGGAGTAAGGTTGGAGAAGGATGAACATTAGTAAGAACAAGCACATTTGAATATAATTAACATATGCAACAATGTCACGTCACACACAAAAGATTCAAAATGTAAAAGTCGGAGGGCTCTCATCGCGAAAGAACATTTGTTAATTTTTTTCTCCACACCAAAAAAAGCTTTTTTCTCGGACTTTTGCCCCGAGGTAGAAATATTACTCTGCAGTCACTCTTGACGCGTATGTCGAGCAGAAACTCATTTCCATCTAAATGACATGCATTCCATGCATCTTTGCAACATTCACATTTCATGCATGCACATGCACATACACACCATTCCGGCCCAAATCCCTCATCTTGATGGTAATGGCGATGATGAGAGCGTGGTTTCCACTTTTTTATCAGCACAAAAAAAAAAAGTGCAAACACTTCAAGAAAAGAAAAGAGGAAAAAAAAAAAAAAAAAAAAAAAAAAAAGCGCGACTCGGTACTGCCTTTCTAACTCTCTGAGAACTTTTTCTTTTTTTTTACAACCAATCGTTTTTACTCATGTTCTAGGTACCGACCATGGCTAGGCTGAATCCAACATTCCCTCTTTCTTTCCTTTTCCTTGGTGAGATTATAATTCCGAATATAAAAGTAAAAAATAGAATGAAATGAAAAAGACTAGGAGGACACTTACGGATCTGAGTCTTTGTTAAGGCACCGTTGATACCGGAGGTAGCCTTGGTGGAATTTCCTCCGAAGAAGGCGTTCTTGTCGATGACGAGTACACTCAGACCGTGCTCCAGGATGGTATGGGCAGCGCTGAGTCCGGAGAGACCACCTCCAACGACGATGACTTGGTTCGACATGATATATATGACAAATGAAAGGAGAGGAGGATGAGGGGAAGGAGAAGTGTATCAAGAGTCTATTGTTGCAAAAAAAGAAACAGATAGTTTAGAAAAGAAGAGAAAAAAAGAAGAGGAAAGAAGGGAAAAAAAGAAAGAGCTAAATAATAAAAAAAGGGGGAGGTCAAATAGGGAGACTTCAAGGGTATTTGTGTGAATGTGAGTTTGTTATTGACTTGTTCACTTTTTCCTTTGGCGTTTGTTTATGCAACTGTGTGTTGTTCCACTGTTCCACTGTTCCACTGTTGGTTGCGTGTAAAATATACAGCATATCACAACGAAACCCATCTTGTGTCTCTTTCCTTTCTCATCTCTTTTTTTTTTTTTTTTTATTGCAACTTATCGGGATATTCTTCTTCTTTCCTACCCTCCTCTTCTTCATAGTTAGAAAAAAAAAAAAATGAAATAAAACAGGTGGATTGAAAAAGAATGTGCAAGGGAGGAGTATCTTTCAATAGAACACTCACCTGTCGAGCTCATAATGAGACGAACTGATTCACCTTCCAACTTTGGAAGGTCCCCGAAGGGTCTCACAAGTCATGCGCCAGTGATAAATTATTTGCATCTGCTTTTGTCATATTCATAATATAATATGTACAGTATCCAGGATGTAGCAAAAGTGCAGTGCCATGACACGCGTATCTGGCCATTGAACTCTATAATGCGGATAGGTTTTGTCTCGGAGATGATTAGATACATCCCATGTCTATTCCCTTTCATACCACATCAGTCAGATCAAAAACTGCTAGGCCCTGCCTGGGTACTCTTCTTTTTTCTTTTTAAAAGTGTTTATTTGCGATTTGTGCAGTTGTGTGTATGCATGAAGCATCTTGCTGAAAAGACTAAAAAAAATGTTTCAGTCCAACATGCATTCACATGCTTTTATTTTTTTACATTTCCTGACCCATGGACACACACACCCTGAAATAAATCCTGACATGACATTTTATACAGTTGTGCTTCCAGATCATGGATCATGAAATTCTTTTACAGATCTTCAGATCCTGTTCTTTCCTTTTTTTTTTTTTTTTTTTTTTTTTTCTTTTTTTCGTTCCCGTCGGGGTCTAGAAAGCATAGTGTCAATGCGCTGATGGCAATACATAGTCGGAAAGCAAAAATAATAACCATCTCTTCAGTCAACATTAAAGTTATAATACATGTCCATGTACAAATTCTATGTCTACAGCCGCGTTAATGACTTTATGACAAATGATATTTCAATTGGTTCAATTATTTGTCCTGTGGATACCCCTCGTTTGTTCGTGTAACAAACACTCTTTGCTCTACCGGACTTGACTTTCATATGTCCATCCCAATGTTCTCTTTTTTAGCCGTAGAAACATCAACAATACGGATTTTTTTATATATACTCAACGGTACTCCAAATCAAATCATTTACAACTTTGTTTGGTTTGGATAACGTTTGAATGCTTTAAATGAGATGGGAAAAATAGGCCCAAAGAGAACATGTGTACGTTTCAGTATGCAGTAACGAACACATTACAGATGACTAAACGTCAATACACCTGACTGCATTGACTACACATTGACATTTTTTCTTGGACATTAAAACATAAACCTTCTAAACCGAACAACCAATGCACTCTCTACCAAATTACACATCTTCAAATCTCTGTACAAAATAAATTCAATAGACATACATCTCCAGACTGTTATCGTAATGGTGCATAAAAATGTACAGATACATATTTGTATGCATTATTATATATATATATATATATGTATTATTGTTTTTCTTTCCTTTTTTTATTTAGATTATATATAGTTTTTTACAATTCTACAAGAGGTCATGGTCATTGTCCTCGCTTGCGCCACCGTTCTGGATGTACTCTACACTTTCGTCATCGTCGTCTTCCTCGCCTTCTGCTCCTAATGGTGCATCGATATCTTCCTCTTCCTCCTCCTCCTCGTTCTCGTCCTGGTCATCTTCACCATTTTCTTCAAAATCCACTTCAACTTCTGGAACATCGTCCTCAGAAACTTCTCCTTCACTGTTTTCATCCACAGGAAGACTCTCCAGCCCTTGATCAATTTCATCCCTTTCGATCTCAGTCTCATCTCCATCATAGTGCTCGGGGGGTGACAGATTACCGTCCACACCTGTATCATCATCCCCAGCCTTGACTTTCTCATCTCTCGATTCCTCATCGTCATCCATATCCTCCGCATTCTCCAGTCCATCTTGTTGATCAATCAAGTCCTTATATCGCTTTTCTTGATCGTTCAATTCTTCATTTCCCTTTTGATCATTGCTGATTTTATCGTTGCTATTGCTATTGCTGATGCTGTTGTCGGCACTAGGGGCGGTAGAGGAAGTGCTAGGACCGCTAGAGACACCTCCAGTTGTACGGGTTATCCATTCTTTAGGTGGTGTGAAAACTGGCAGTGGATGGGCCTCTGTATTAAAGACATACTTTTCCAGAGGTAACACATCGTTCGAACCGAAGAGAAGATAAAAGTACTTGAGCGTCTCTGCCAAGAAGAAGGTTTCCATCTTGTCCGAGAATACAATGTTGTCAGCACGACGAATATCGTGAATTGAACTATACCCTCCAGAAGAAACCTTACTGTATTTTTCAATAGACTCGAAAATATTCCAGCCCCATTGGCTGTTGCATAACAAGGAAAATATGAAGAAGAAAAAATATCAGTCAGAGGAGTAAAAGATATTATGATTAGCATAATCTCTTAATAGGGAATCATGGTAGTGTCCTTCCTTACCGATATTTCTCATCGCCAGTCAAGCGCCAGAGGTAGAACAAACTCTCAACAGTCTCTGGGCGAAGCCAATTATGCCCATCACGATCATTGATAATAAAATCTGAGCCTGGTCTATGTTGCAATTCTGTCTTGCCCCTGATCTGCTCTTCTCGCTGGACCCAATAAACGATTTCTGGAGCCAATCCTGTCTCTGTTTGCCGGTACATCTTGTAACAAGATTCTGTCAGGTCTTCTCCAATCTTAAAGTCATCCTCTTGCAACTTTGTGAACTTGGAACGAGCAAAAGCTCCGCTATTATCCAAAGGATGACCTTCCGTAGATGCCAAAGCCATCGTGCCTCCCAAGAAACAGACAAGATGATCCATCTTGGGCGAGAGGTTTGCAGGCTCATATTTCGAAATCTCTCCAACAAAGAGAAGATTATTAGGTATAGTACGCCCAAGAAGATGTTTCTTGACACCAGCGATCGCATGGTCATACATTTCCTTGTAAAGATGCTCCTGTTTGCCAGTCTGCAAATATTGCTTAATCAGATATTCTAGTGGCATGAATGTATGAATATAAAGCCAGTATAGTTTTAGTCTCCAGAATCATTGTCTTGTTTGCTACAGTTTTGAAAAAAAAAAAAAAAAAAAAAAAAAAAAAAAGGCTTACCATAGTAACTGTCGCCTCGAGAGCCAAGACGGATCTCTCCACCTTGGAAATGTCCCGTATAAGGATTGATATAGATGGGCACTAACCCATCCAAGCTCTCCTGCTCTTTGATCTTGAGTTCCACGTTCTCAACTGCTTTCCAATACTTTTCATCGCCCGTTAAATAAGATAAATACTTGAATTCCAACTGCAGTGTCGCTACTTCAGAGGTGGAGCTTATTCCTCGATCATGACTAGGCACACCGCGTCTATCTCTCAAATGGACGCTCGCATAGGGAATCCCACTTGTAGTCTCGAACGCGCCCATCAATCGATCAGCTAAATCCACAGCCTTATCCAAGAATACATCGTCATGGCTCGATTGATTGTATGCGCTCAAGAGCCCTCCAAGGACCCGAATCGTTGTCTCAAACAAGTTGACCTCTCCATCCTGATCGAAATCTAGCTCATCTTGAACCCATGCCTTTGCTTCCTGGAATTCACTGTCCAGACCCATCAACAGGATCGTGTCCAAAGAATCAACAATCGTGAACCCCTGTCCCTTCCGGATCATATTGGACCCATACTTGGAAATTGGGTGGTATTCATCCTTTCCCCATGCGTCCCGACGATATGCATTCCATGAATGTAAAAACGCCTCCTTAACTTTGTTTTTGCGAGCTTCCCACAACGGAGAATTGGCTTTAGGATGCCCACTATCAGTTCCACCGCCGATGTCATTGCCGCCATCGATTGGAACCTGTTTTTGTACTTTCTCAGATTCAAGCAAGAGGTCACTACCTGTGGTATCAAGCACTACATCGTCATCCAAGTGATCCATCCTGTCATGATCATCATCATCAGAGCCAGAAAGATTAGAATCAAAATCAACTTCAACCTGAGTCTCTTCCACATCCTCGCCTTCTTTCCAGTTGTGTTGAGGCTTTGGTCGAGCTGGAACAACTGGTACTACTGGGACCGGTGATGGCGCTGATGGGTTTGATTGTTGTTGTTGTTTCTTTGGCGAATTGCTCTTGGGCTGAGGTTTAGCCTTGACAATTAGATCCGGATCATCAAATTCAAAGAGAGTCGGTGGTACCTTCTTCTTCCTTTTCTTTTTTTCTTTCTCTTGTGGCTGTTTTGTTTCCTGATTCTTCTGGGGCTGTGCGGGTTCAGGTGCAGGTACAACCCCAACTGTAGGCGCAGGCGCATGGGCAGCTGGAGGCACTGTTATCTTATCCTTAACTTGATCCTTTGGAGGCCCTGCAGCAGCAAACTTGTTCTGTCCAACAACGGAGGGCTTTCCTGTCCATGATGCCGAAGAAGAAGATCTCATGAACATGTAAGCTGCAGTAACCAGACACAACACTACGACTGCATGTCGCTTCCGAAAGCGAAAATGCTGCTTCTTCTACATTTTCAGAACGGAAAACATTAATAATAATAATAATAATAATAATAATAAAATTCAGCTTTCGGGTCATTGACAACGACAACAATAAAATAAAAAAAAGAAGGGAGCTTCTTTGTCCTCTCACCTTAGTATAGACGCTATAAGGTGTCTTTGCGTACTTGTTATCGTCATGAAAGGGAATTCCTGAAGATGACTCTCTCCTGAACATGGTCCCTTTGCAGTCGATGGATCGTGTTTTTATGCAAGCGAAGTTTATGCGTATGAGAACTTCTGAATTCCTTTGATAAACAACTTCTTTTGGTTCCTGGAAGGTTAGAAATTTCAGTCAAATATGAACAAAGATGTACGTGCCAGCTAAGGAACAAAGAAGGAAGAGAGAGATAGAGAGAGAGAAAGAGAGTTGAGTCGAGTTGGCAAGAGATAAAAAAAAAAGTGCAAATGAGGGATTGATCATCTACCAAAAAAGCAGATGTTAGCGCTCCATCTTTATTCTTCATACCGTTTTGACGTGTTCAAGTAGTAAGGTAAAATAAAAAGAGGGAGACGAAGTGAGGTAGGGAAGGGGAAACGCAAAGAACTAGTTCTGAGCGGTTATTGAGGGATGACAATGTGGTAGATGAGAAAGGATGACAATGAGTTTGATGCACCCCCTTTGTATGTATGCTTTACTTAGTCTACTTTGGTATCCGTTGCTCATTTTTCTGATGATCAATGGGAAGGAAAGAAAAACCTTGATTAAAATACAGTTTCAATTTCCCAGGCACTATCTTTTTACTTTTTTTCTTTTTTATTACATATTAAGTATTAATTTTTTTAATAAATAACATCAACACATTGTGGGAATGGACACTGTCTCTAGATGTCACTAAACATATTGCCCACCTCTCTATCAAACTCCTTGGCACTCATCTTGCCCTTCTTCACTTTCTTGGCTAACCGCTCCTCCCGTGCCAGAGCCTCCCAGCTGTCCTCTTCATCATCATCCGTGTCCATTGCTGCTTCTCCTCCTTTCCTGTTCTTACTCATCTCTATATCATCATCATCGTCATCACCTGACATTTTTTTCTTGTCACCTTCCTTGATCTCTCCATTGGCCACACGCTTCAAATATTCTTTCTTCCGCTGCTTCTTCAGTTGACGCTCCACCTTCCGCTCCTTTGCCTCCTGCTTTTCTGACCAGGCTGAAGTCTTATGAATCTGTTTCCGTTTCTTCTCATTAGCTCCGCTACCATTCTCTGCTGCTTGCTTCTCTCGTTCTGCCTGCTTAGTCTTATACTCTGTTAATTTCTTGATCCGTACTGCCTCCTTTTGTTTATCTTGATACTTGTACTTGTCCATCTACAAAAGAATAATAATACATTATTAGATCCAAATCTTTCAAGATCAAGTTTATCATTAAAAAAAAAAAAAAAAAAAAAAAGACATACATCAATATCTGCAGGAACAAACCCTTCGATCCCACCATCCGATTTCTCATTCTTTAACTCTGGCATCTTTGGAAGTCTTAGCAACGCATAGCTACGCGCCAGAGCTCCCAGGTCCAGATCTCTAGATCGGAAAATGAAACTAGCCTCATGTTTTGAATAGCTCCGAACGAAGGATACATAGGCCATGGTTCCCTTATCATGTAGGTCCCTATCTGTCATCACAATCTTTCGCAATCCTGCCAAGAACTCGGCAGTCTCTGGATCATCTTCTGGCTCTTGACGTACAATCTTGCCCAATGATCCTTTAGCACTGTCTTCTTCTTGTATCATCGCTGCTTTTAAATGACCATTGCTCTCCTTCTTTGCTACTACTTTTTCTTCTTCCTCCTCATCATGATCATCCACATCCTCAATAATTTCAGGTCCACCTTTCCATCCCCATCGACGAATGGGGACCTTACGAACCCTTAGGAAATCCACATAGGTATCCTCTTTACCCCTGATCAAAAATACTACGGCCTTGCCTTCGCGACCAGCGCGACCGGCACGTCCGCATCGATGTGTAAACGCCTTTGGATCCTGGGGTGGATCGACCTGAATGACAAAATCAACATCTGGAATATCTAATCCTCTTGATGCCACATCCGTACATAATAACACTCCAGGGGACCCTGCAGGAATATCAGTGAAGGATTTAAATGTCAACGATCGTTTCTTTGTCTCCATCTTCCCATGAAGTGAATGAATTGAGAAATCAGAGAGCATTGGGTGTCGAGAGAGAAGCTTATAAAAGTAATCGACACTCGCGCACGTTGCAAAATAAACAATCGTCTTCTTGTGCGCTGCTTCTTGTCGGAGCAAATGAGTCAAAAGGAGTAATTTTTGAGATGTTGAACAAAGAATATATCCAATGTGTAATCTATTCAAAAAGCGGAGAAAAGAATAATCAGTTACCATTAAAAAAAAAAAAAAAAAAAAATAGCTAGATATGTCTGCATGTATGTGCGCGTAAACATTTAAAGCTGGACATAACGGAAGGGAAAAAAAAGAACATACGATGCTGGAGTGCGTTGTCCGCCCCCTCCAAGTAGATCTTCGACCTTTACGACCACACGGACCGGATTCCTCAATCCAGCTCTGACCAATTCACTCAATCCATCAGTCATGGTGGCAGAGAACAATCCTGTCCGACGCTGTTTCGGTAACATGGCCATGATCTTGTTCAAACTGACAGAGAATCCCATATCCAGCAGTCGATCTGCTTCATCCAAGACTAATACCTCCAGTTCTTTCACATTCACGCCAGTCCGTTTCTGTGTTAACATATCTTCCAATCGCCCTGGAGTTCCAATCAAGATATCAGGTTGTCTTTCCTGGAAGGTCGCAATGTCTTCTTCCAGACTCGTCTCTCCCCCAATCAACAATTGATGATGAATGTTTTGTAGAAATGGTTCAAACTCTGTCAAGACTTTAGCGATCTGGGTGGCCAGTTCACGAGTCGGGGAAATCACAATGGCTCCGACCTCTGAACCTGCTAACTTGTGAGATCGGCGGTGAATCTTTTCAAGAATAGGGATCAAGAAGGACAGGGTCTTGCCTGACCCAGTGACGGCCTCAACCACAACGTCTTTGTTCTTCATGAAGAGTGGAATAGCACCAGACTGAACGGGGGTCATTTCTGTAAAGCCCATGGTGCTGACCGCATCTAGTATTTGCTGGGAAAGCTTTGGTTCAAGGCTTTCCCATGAGCCTGCAGGTGCTATGCTGGCCATGTCAGTTGAAAGATTTAAAAAAATATATAATGCAATGCAGATGAGAGAGACCCAAGTTTTAAAGGTTTACTCCCTCAAAAAAAAAAAAAAAAAAAAAAAAAAAAAAGCATTGTTGATTTTTTCCTAGGCCACAGTCACATCCATCATAGAGTATGGGTATATTGAAAAAATGATCTCTAAAACCTATGCTGATATCAATCCTCTTTTTTTACTCCTTTAAACCTCTATGGGTTGTGCTGTCCGCTCCCAGAAACTGATCAAAGACTTCACTGGGGGCTTAGCGCCTGGGTCTCGATTGGTGCTAATCGCTCTTAACCGCTCGATCGATGGTCTCGAAACAAATCGACCGGAGGCAGTCTTTTTGACCAACCGGCTCTTGCGTTCCTTTATCTCTTGGTCTCTCTGCAGCTGTAGTCGGCCCTCTTTTTCTTTCCGCAATCTTACCTGCTGTAGCCGCCATGAGTCCTTAGGCAACGGCCTCGTATCATGTGTACTCTGTTGTTGCTGCAACCTCTCTGTCTTGGATGCTGCAATTATGGACTGCGTTCCTAAACGTACTATAACCCTGCTTGGTTCGATTTCTTTTTGGACCGGTAGTGGATGCTGACTTGATGTCAATGTCTCTACGCCAAATGTATAACCAAACCGTGCGCTGCGCGTCAAGGTACTCGGTTTAGTAGTAGTCGTTGTTGCCACATTCGCAATAGTCCTTTTGTTTTCATTTACTGCTGCACCAATTTTCGTCTTAGTATTCAACGACTCGGAAGACGAATACGATTGCATGGAGCCTATGCTACTAATCTTTGAGGCTCGCTTGGGACTGCGAACAGGCTGTACCCTTGGTTCTATACCTACACCAGATACACCAGAATCCGGTGAACCCCAAGTTCTTATCGTACCACTCAGGTTCATCGATGAGCGGTCTGATTCAAAGGCTGTTTTGGTATCAAGATACGCTGAGATTTGATATTGGTCTACGAAGGCCTCAACAGCCCTGTTCTTAGGCGTTGTCATTGCAGTCGCAATCCTCAATGTGTCTATAGATGCCCTTCTGGGATTGAGGTTAATAGTGCTACTGTTGCTGCTATTGTCCTTATAGGGTATGGACTGAAACTCTGCCAGGGACGCGAGCGTGGTTGCTGTGTCAGGTGTAGGAAATGCACTGGCTGCTGATGTTGGGCTGATAGGCATTCCCGACGCACTTGAAACATCATTGGCATTGCTATGTGCGCTATTGTTCCATTGGGCATTTGTCGGGCGCCGGATCACATTACGAGCTAAGGTGCTGATGCGCTTGAGCATGTTACGAGGGTTCTGGTTTGACTCTATTTTTTTTTTTTTTTTTTTTTTTTTTTTGAAGCGAAACGTAAGAGTCAATAAGCAAAATGAGGATACCTTTTAGTCAAGGGGTTTTCCAAAAGTTCTAGTCTTAAGGCCACTCATGCTAGTGTCTAGACTTACCGATAGCAGATCTGACATTCAAGGCAATTTCATTGAGCTGTGCAAGACCTTCTCGTTTGTATTGGGGCTGTGCATCAATCCGCTACAAATTTTAAAAGGATGATACTCTTTTTAACATCATAATCTTTGAGTGTTTTCTGCAAAAATGTAAAATGCAGGCACACGCATACCTGAATCCATTCATTATAAATCATTAAATGATCAAAGGGGTGACGAAGTGCCCCTTCCCACTCTACTGGGTTATGTCCAGCCTTCTACATCCAGAGGAATAAAAAAAATCCTCCAAAAGATATGAATTTTGTCGGTATTGCCACATTTCACTCTGCTTCAGTCTTTAATGCAACAGAAAAAAAAAACTGAGCCAGTGCATATAAAGTACATTCCTTCACATCTAAATACCTTCTCATCCCGAGTTAACTTATAAACAACATTGGATATTTCACGACCATGTTCCATCAGAACTGGCTCTAATGTGAAAAGCTAAAAATCAAAAGAAAGGTTTATCGCGCGTATGAGAATGCTGTACATGTGCTGCACAAAAAAAAAGCTCCTAGTAGTCAGCAAAATCCTTCCAGCATTAACAGAACCTGTCAGAGTATTCGTACTTACGAGATTGATGAGTAGGGTGACTACAGTAGGGGTGTCTTCTTTTACGGCTCTAATGTCCTATTATCCAATCGTAAAATTGAATGATTAAAAAGTAAAAACTTGATATTAGATAACACTGAGGGGAAGTTGGGAGGAGATAGACTGTTTTGATGATATTGGGTCACATATTGGTCATAGTTTCGCACATTTTTCGTTTCTTCCATCAAGGGGGTGGGTATAGAAGACAGAAAAAAGGAGGAGGATTATTAAGAATGGTTCGAAATTTGCGGCATGGTGTGTTCATCCTAAGGTCGTTCAAAGATTTTAAACGCCCCAATCTGAGATACAACGATGCAACGCAAGAGGAGTAGGGGTAAAATGAAAAGTAAAGACAAACAAGAGCGAGAGAAAGAGGTTGAAGATCGGGGCAAGGTACGAGGGGAGTTGAATGAAGCAGGGAGTTAGAGGGCTACAGGGAAAATCTAGATAGTTAGAGTGTACTACAAATGTTAAGAGTGGGAGGGTCTTACGTCGTGAAACTTGACATGAAAATGTATTAGAGCCGTCCATCGTTCCATCAGTCCACGGATAGTGTTGCTGACCTTACGCCCTTGTGTCAGAACGAGGTTCGTAGACAAGCTGAGAGCATTCCCTACACGCTGTGTGAATGCACAAACAAATCGTTAATCCATCCAATTTGTGTCACAGAACAATGCAGGGCTTCAGGACAAGTTTTACCTTTAGATTTGACAGATACTGTGCCTCTGCTGCAACTAATTCTGCAGTGGTCGTCGATGCAGGTCCGCACGAATTGTTATTAGACAATGGAGATGGAGATGTGTAGGATGACATGGTGTAAGGATTTGTGTCAACAGAGAGCTGCTGTTAACGTAGGGTGAAGTGAAAAGACGAGAGATTGTTTGGTAACTGTGCCTGGAATGAATCTGATATATTGGATCGGAGAAAGATGAAAGGACTCTTTTTTTTTCTATAGTTGCTCCTGGCCTGATTGTATGTTCAAAATACTGAGTGGGCAATAGGCGGGTTGCTTGGGAAGAGGAGAAGCTCTACTTTAGTCCCGTGCAACCAAATGTTGTAAAAGAGATAAAGGACCAAACTGACAACAACAACAATAAAATAAAAAAGGCTGGGAACCCACTTGCGTCCTCGATACATCTAATGGTTGACGGAATGTTGATGCTTAGTGGAGCTAGTTTCAAATGAGACAAATAGGCAAAAAATAGACAAAAAGAAGGAAAGCATAGTTTCACAGAGACTTTTGCTTACCTTAGTGTATAGGGATCCTGCGGCTAAACTGGAATAAATAGTACAGGATCCCATGAAAGACTGGATCATACTTGCCATTTGTCGATGATCAGTCAATATTACTATTTATTGGCTTCCCTTCAAAAGAATATAATTAAATAACATAAAACTATTTGTATCAACATCACTGGGGTAAAGGATGTTGCGAAAAGTAGATAGTCGTCAAAATTTATTGAGTCCTTCAGTTAATGACAGACGTTCACACGTGGACAAGTTTTCCATGTGTTAGCCATTGATCATGTGACATAGAGAGAATATTCCTTTGAAATCATTAACCCCATTGAGGTAATGCTCATGAGCAATCGTAATTTTTTAATGCCATGTGGACTTTTTTTTTTTTTTTTATCTTTTATCTCTAACCCTTGGCTTGTCCTCTGGCCAACCTTGGCATCCTGGGACAAACTGTATGCCAAGCAAGGATACAAAGAAACTAATATTTGTTTAGTCATGATTTATAAAATAACCCTTGGTGAAACCATGCCATCCTATGCTCCGCCCGATAGAACACAGTCAAAGCGCTCCTATAAAAATGCTTTTCTATTCCCCCTGTTTTCTTGTTTTCTAAGTTTGTTATTATAGTATCCTTTCTTTTCTTTTCTTTTCTCTTCTCTCCGCCCTCTCCTTCCTCTTTTTTCCCCTCTTTGTCTTTTTCCTCAAGGACAATGACGGGTACTTCCATCATTAAAAGAACCTCAACTGCTCAGAAACCTTCACCAGTTGATTCAGATATGAGCTATTCAACCACTACAGCACACAATGTTAACTATGCTCAAGCACAAAGCACAACATCCACGGATTTATCATCCATCACAAGCAGAACACCATTGAAGGGAGAAATCAGTCCGATCTGTACATGGGATGACTTGCCAACATGGATGCGTGATAATCCATCTATTCTGACAGGTTACCGTCGACAGACTTTTAGTTACAAGAAATGCCTTGCTTCCTTGCTCTTTCTACATAATGAATCAGGTATTAAAAAAAATTTCCAAAATATGCCATGCACTGTTGCTTATGTTGAAGGATCTATTATTGACATTGGGTTTCTATTCATGATCCTTCTTTCCTTCCTTGTAGTCAACATTTGGTCCCACCTACTGGGAGCCCTTGCTTGTGTCATCATTGCACCTCTGATTTATACAAACGTATTCCAGACTCTTGATACAATCTTGTGGGCAGATATCGTGGTCTTCTACATCTTTTTATTCGGAGCTGTCATTTGTCTGTCCATCTCTGGGTTTTTCCACACCTTTTCTTGTCACTCTGAGCCTGTGTGTGGTCATTGGAACCGCTGTGATTATGTTGGGATTGTGCTCTTGATCACGGGCTCGTATATCCCAAGCACCTACTACATGTTCTACTGCTTCAAAACCTGGCAGATTCTTTATTCTGCCCTGATCACCGTCTTTGGGATTGCAACAATCATTTCAGTCATCCGTCCTGAACTCAGAAGACCACATTATCGATGGATACGATCTGTCATGTTCTTGGCCCTGGGTTTCTCTGGTATCTTCTCTCTCATCCACGCAGCTTTTCTTTATGGAGTAAGTCTACCCTTTATCAAGCATATGAAAGATTTTAGCAACAATGATGACGATTGCTTCCTTTTACTTTTTGATCACTAACACATGCTTACCGTTATACACTTCAAATTTCTCAGTTTAGCCTTGGACAAAAGGCCATCGCATTGGACTATCTTCTCTACATGGCTGCATCCTATGTGATTGGAGCGCTTCTCTATGCGAGTCGAACCCCTGAAAAGTTCTTCCCTGGCAAATTTGATCATTTTGGTTCTTCACATCAAATCTTTCACATTTGTGTTCTCATGGGAGTCACCTTCCATATCATTGGTACCATCAAGACCATGAGCTTCTGGCACGACGCTAACCACAGTTGCTCGGTCTCCATTGAACAGATGCGGATCTTATACTAGAATATAATATAAAACAAAGCTATATTCCTATATTATTTTTTTTAGGAATCCATCCCCCTCCCTCTCCCTCTCCTTCTCTCCCTCTCTCTCTCATTGCAGTATCTTTCATAGACGTTAAACTTTTTCAATGTCACAATACAATTAATTTTAGATTTTTTATTTTATTTTAGTTTTATTTTGTATTCAATTAATTACATGGGATAGTTGATGTTGTCACAGTCCATTCATTTGCCGTCTTCTTGAGTTCCGCCTTCTTTTTCGTAGATCCTGTTCGACTTCCTGCTATCGTTTTCTGTTTAGGGCCCTCATCGACTAGGGCTGCAATGGTCTCATCCATAAAGGACGTTGTCCATTCTGTAATCGCCTCGATCAATGCTTCCTTTTTGCCTCTAGCCGGAATAGAGCTCCCAAATCCTAATCCATGGTCTGCATCGACCACTTGCACTACTTCTCGTCTTGACGCCTTCATGTCCTTGAAGACTTTAGCAAACAATGAAGGTTGACACATCGTATCCTTCAATCCTAAGATAAACAAAGTAGCTGTCATGGGCGGTATATCGTAAAGGATCTGATCACGAAGGGCTTTTGGGTTCTCAGCAGTGTGTAAAGGATAGGAATAAAGAAGGAGCCCTAGGATAAAATTGGGAGGATATTCCAATGACTCTGATGACGAGCCTGTTTTCGCTGTCGTCGTCGTTGATGCTGTCGTTGGCTTAGTTTTGGCCTTGTTCTTGGTCTTTGCCTTTTTAGGGGATTTGGGAGTAACAGAGACATCTTCTTTACTTGTAGCCAATTGTGCTGCAATAGTTCCAGCGACTGCAAACCGTGGGAGAAAACAAATAAAGTTGATTTTAGTAGGAGGCTTTCTTCTTTTTTCTTTTTGGTTTTTTTTGTCACTTTTGTAGCCCTACCTCTAGTTCCCATGCTGTGTCCTCCAAGAAAACAGCCTTTCATAGGGTATAATCCTGACGTTGGATGAAATAAATGTTCCATGACTCGTGTGCAAAGCGACACACGAAACCCTGTTGCAGTTAACAATGAAACAAATGTACAAATGTCAAGAGTCAAAGATGATCCACTATTGCGCAGCACATGCAGGATTACAGGGGTGACATTTTACCCAAGTTGGGGACCTTTGCACGGTATCGTGCACAATAATGCCCCTGCTTCGCAATTTCGCTCGCAACTGCTGTCAGTAGCGGCGCCTTTTCATCGCCCCCTACATATTTGGAATGTGAACTCTATTAATTCGTACTCTAGGATTATGATGGGTTGTTTTAAGAGGTTTTATTTTTTTTGCTCTTTATATATTTGCAGCCCCACCTGCACCTGGTCCGAGAATAAGACCATACCCCGATGGCTTGACTGTCTTTGGTGGTACTGTTAGAGTGACAGCAATGGCACTTTTGCCGGGCCATGGAATGGAGATTTCCTTTTGTGTTGGTTCCGACATTAGTATAAAAAGAATGGTGGGAAAAATAAAAAGAGAAGAAACAAACAAAGGAATTGTTCTGTTTTAAAAGTTTAAAAGCATTCATTCTTTTTTTGATTTGTTTCTTTCATCCAACCTAGAATACGCAAACAAATCGCCAAGATCACTTCAAACATGCTTCCAAGAAATGTCCTCGCCATCCGTAGAACCATTGCAGGCTCTACCGCAGTTGAAATCATCACTATGCTCACCTCAAAATCTTCTAAAGCCATCTTACTTGACTATCCATCGGGTGCATACACCGGTATGCGCACGTTCAACAAAATTGGGATCATGGATTTCACCGGCCATACAAACCGTCTTGCTGACTCCTTACAGCAGATCAAGTTTCATGCTCTTACTAGTCGCGTTACAACACCGGGGACTGATACCGACAGTCATAATAATGGCCATGATCGTGGTGGTGACCATGAGAACAATGATATAAACAGTTTGGAGAAAGAAGATCCTACCATCACTTCTGCGCTGGCTGCATTCAGAACCAGGGAGATAATGAAATTGGAAACGACTAATCTAGTAAGCGAGGGACTCAAGTTTTACTACAAACAAGCTAAGGAATACAACTCCATTGATTCCGCCTCAATTGGCGAGACTAAAGTGACCGTTCTATGCACCTGGGATTCTGGAGTAAGCCTAATGTCTATGTGAACTATGGATTCATTAAAAAGGTTGGAAATGTATTTCCGCGTTGACTTTCTTTTTTTTTCTTCCTCAGGCAAAAGAGCCGACTTTGGTTGCACACTTTGAGCCACTAATTGCTCTCAGAACGTCACGCTGTCAAGTTGAAGTGCATGGAGCACCTCGTCATCAAGCCTCTGCCAAGGATTCACAATGGGTTCGGTAAAATACAGCATCGCTATTGTAATTATTGTAATTGTTGTTATTGACCTTTTTTTCTGTTTGTTTGTTTGTTTGCTAATATTTGCTTTTTCTTTCAATCTCAGAGTTCGGGAAGCATTCGAAGCTGCATTGAATAAGGACTCCAATGAAGCCCTGTTGCTGGACGATAAGACACAGGATGTGTACGAAGGCTTGTCTTCCAACTTTTTTGCTCTCGATCGCCAGCATCACAAATTGTTGACAGCACCACTGGGCAGTGTGTTGCAAGGGACCATAATGAAGGTGGTCCTGGATGTTTGTAAATCGGAAAATATTCCTGTTGATTTCACGTTTCCTAATCTGAAGAATGTTGATGATTGGGAAGGCGCCTTCATTACTAGTAAGTTGAAAAGAGCTCTAAAAAGCACGAATTCTTGCAAAATCCTTTCTAATAGGGTTTTTTTTTTTTTTTTTTTTTTTTTTTTTTCTATTGTGATAGGCACTTCGAGATTAGTGCTCCCGATTGAAAAGCTGGTCCTGCCTAGCGGATCTGTCAAGCAGTTTGGAGAGAGCCCCACGATTGATCTGATCCGTAATCAAGTCCTGAACGAGTGTCGGAAACGTGTCGAGAAACTCATTTCTGAGAAGGATATCTAAGATGACTAATGATTAAATAAACTGTATTTCTGCCTTTGGTTCTTAATTAAATTGTTAATATTACATCCTGATGCTGATTGCCAGTTTATTTTGTTACGCGTTTAAGCCGCATTTCTAAATGTTAAAAAATATAATTGAAGTAAGTTTTTTTTACGCTTCTTTTATTTCCTCCACAATCATTTGAGACAAGATTTTATGACCTACCTAATGACTTTGTATACTCATCCAGTTCTATTGCAATATTGCTTATCATTTCGGCTTGTTCACTGATCTCGTCAATCCTTGCTAGATATGGCTCAAAATCCGAATCTGTTGTCCAAGAGAAAAAGAAAAAAACAAAAGAAAAAAAAACAAAAAAAAAAAAGTCGTGTATTAACCATATTAGTTCTGATGTCCAAGCAAACATGGTGAAATATACTCTCTTTCTTTTTTTTTCTTTTTTTTTTTTTTTTTTTTTTTTTTGTTGGTAGCCTTTACATGTAGTCCTGAGCTTGCCAACCTCCACCATCAGTTCCTGTGCTACTCCTGCTAATTCATTATATCGTTCTTTCGTCAGGATGTTCATGTTCTCCAATAACCTATAATCTTCGGCCGTAGCTTTTTTTTTTTTAAAAAAAAAAAGTTTTCATCAGGGTTTCATTCTCCTCTTTGGGATTACGGCAAAAAAAAAAAAAAATCAAGCTTGCAAATAAAAAGTCCCTTACTGAGCATCTCACTCTTGACATAATCCACAATCTTTTTGAACATATCCTGACTAGTCCTCGTTACATGCTCTTGACTTAAATGCCTTGCAGCATCTGCTGCCGAGAAACTTTGAGCGGCAGTACTTGACTGCTGAGAGACTGAAGAATGTAACGATGGCGCTCGTAATGACGAAGACGACGAAGAAGGCGTAGGAGATACAGAAATTGTTTTACCGCCTTTGGACATCTGCTTCACATTAGGGGAAGAAGGGGAAGAGGGGGCGGAAGGGATATGCTGTTCAGGCGAGAGTGCCATGGTTGCAGAGGTTTTGGTGGGTGGTGACATGAGTTGTGAAATGCCAGCTATTGAAGGAGAGGTCGAGCCAACTGTCTGTGAGATGGAGAAATTACTTGTAGATCCAGAAGTAGCTGTTGTGGTGTCATGTGCTGGTTCAAGCTGGATACTTGGTGGCCTTGAGTCCATAGCTTGTGAGTTGCTCATCTTGATCTGCTGAAAATTGAATGAAGCTGAACAATATGGACATTTTGTGTTACGCGAACAGACCTGGAGAAATCCCTGATGTTACCTCTAATGAAATGCAATAAATGCGGTAGAAGTTCTAAACGTCATATTTCCGATCGTGCGTGTTCATAGCACACATCAGCCTCACCTTGCTACAAGACTCTTGATGAGGAACTTGAGGGAATGATCTCGGACATTATAGAGATCCTAGCGAGTTTATATATATATATATATATTATTATTATTATTATTATTATTATTATTCATTTTATTTTTCATTTCTTTTTATTGGCGGCAGCGATAGTACACTTGGTATTAGAGACTAACTTGGATTATTTCAAGAGGCATCGTCTTGCTGAACTTGATAGTGGTTTAGACAGTACCAGATTTAGCGATGATGGTGATAGTGAAGACGAAGAAAGTAGGGATACAGAACAAAGTACTTTGGAAATACGTATGGAGCCACCGAAGACAGCGGTATTGTGGGTGATGATATTTCTGCTGAAACGGCAGGCGATGAAGGGTGCCAGAATGCCGGCGATGCTGACGCTAAGGTAATTAAAGATCTACAGAAAGACCTTGAAATGGAACTCAAGAAGAAAGTAATGGACGCAGTAAGGAAAACCCTTTTCTCTGACCCACATATTCTCGCGACTGCTGAGGAGCTTTGAATCCAGGATGATGGCATCTTCAAATTGGACAAAAAGCATCGATTGATTTTTATTCTCAATGCATCGTATCTGGATAATTGGAGGTTACACCATCAAGCCTGCATTGGTACCAATTTTCTACCGCATGCCAAGGCGCAAGCTTATTGCACAGATGTTACCAAGTATGCCAACAAAGCCGTAAAGAAGAGATGGATCAGATTATAACCAGATACGATTGTCACCGTAGAGGGAGTCAGAAGGTAGTCAAAGGACGAGTGCCCGGAGGGAAGTCTGGGATCACCAGGGTAAAAAAAAATCGATCAAATGCGGATGCGCGTCCTATTTCAATCCTATCTACCGACCAGCACCGCCTAGCGGATTGAGTATTTGCTGGAACTTAACAAGCTAGGTAGCAAAGATGATGTAGGTACACAAAGCAAGTCTAAAGCGATCAAGCAAAGAATCAAGGCTATGATCCTAAGGGGCGGTCGATTCCTGCAATTATGGATCATTTGACGATGGACCATGCCAAATTCATAAGGCTCTTAAACAATGAGAGTGAAGGCCAGCCACTCTCAGGGGATGATGTCTACAACATCCTTTACACAATAACGGCTAAAAATATGAGAAAGCACAAAGATCCAATCATTTCGGCACACCTTTGGATGGAGGAATTTAGAAGGCAAGACTTCTTTACCTATAATGATCAGGAGCATAACCTCTATTACGGATTTTCGTCACCACGGCAGTTGCAAGAACTAAGAAAATGGGGTGATACATTCCGTTTCGATGGCACACATCAAGCAAGCGGGTATGTTTTTTATTTTTTTATTTATTTAATAAATTGAAGAATGTATAAAACCACAATGATCTAGTTTTACTCGCTCACATATTATTCAAACATTCTGTTCTTGTAGGCAAGGTACCTACCTATTTACGATTGTTGTTAAGAACAGGCAAACAGGCTTGGGTTTGTCGTGTACTTTCTTCTTGACAAAGAGTCAAAAATAGAGCATCCTAGAGGGATGGCTTCGTGCATTGAAGATAAAAATGGATGAACTATGCGAAAAAGAGTACCAGCCTAACGTGGTTATCACTGACCAAGGCCAAAATGAGATCAACACTATTCAAGCAGTTTTCTCTTTATATACCCGTATCTTTTACTGTACCTGGCATATCATGAATACATGGGAACTGAATTTCACTAATAACAATCTTGGGTCAACTGACCTTTCTTCCACCGAAAAGGATCTGAGGAAGTAGATGGTAAGAATGGTTTTGAGCTTGAGTAGTGCTGCTTTGGCGGTGATCTTGGTTCGCGTGCTAACTGATTGCCTTGGACACCCGATAGATAAGATCAGCGCTTCATACGATTCTTTACACGAAGTCAGAAAAAGAGGCAGATAGGTTGATTGACAGTTTAGAACGGCTTGAGAGGGTCGTGCTCCGAAAATAGTACAGTATTTGAATAAAAACTATTTCAATTCAATAGCGGATAGAAGACGCTGGATGCTTTACTATTGTGAAGGACTTTTCGAATTGGAAGGATGACGCCTGGAGCGAAGCAAGAGCTGGCGGCCAAAATCAAGGTCTTGGACTATATTGCGGGCAAGCGGTCAGAGAACCCTGAGGCTGTTCTCATGTCTCTGACAGCAAGCGACAGGTCTTCAGTGTAAAGTCGTTCACTGACCCAGACAAATCATATGAGGTGGCAGTCGATTGGAAGGCGGGCGAAGTTGACCAGTTCAATGGGTGCACATGTCTTGATTTCTTTCGAGCAGAAATGTGCTGCAAGCATATCGCATTAGCGACGTTAGAGCTCCCTCATACCAGTTTTTTTTATCCTGGGGAAGTTAGTAGAAAGCATTTTAGATGACAATGCACCTATTCCTGGGATACAAGAAGTAGTACAGGCTGTACAGAAAGCCTCTGATCTGTGCGAAGCACGACTTCCAGTGCTACCAGGACTCAAACTTAGTAATAAACGTCAGAGGCAACGGTGAATAAGTAATTTCTAGATAAATATAAAATATGAACAGGTTCAAAGCATTGAGTGAAGTTACGATTTCATATTTTATTCAGCTAATTATTACAAAAAAACAATAAAGTTTTTTTTTTTCTTTTTCTTTTTCTTTTTCTTTTTCTTTTTCTTTTTCTTTCAAATGTTTCTACTTACAAAAAAACAATGTTTTTTTTTTTTTTTTTTTTTTTTTTTTTTCAAATGTTTCTACTTCACAAAAAAACAATAAGTTTTTTTCTTTTTTTTCCCCTCTTCAAATATCATTCATCCTTCTCCAAGTTTGTGCATCCATATTGGGATCAGGGGTAGGATATCGACGTTGAGCAAACTCCTTGTATAAACTTACTATTTCTTCTCTTTCTTGTTTACGTCTTCTTTCTTCTTCGTCTCCTTCCTCTTCCTCATCCTTATTCGCTTCCTCGTCCATGGTCTTCTCCTCCTCCTTAGCCTTAGCCTCGTTCTTCTTCTTACCCCTATCCCTCTCCTTACCTCTATCCTTCACCTTAGCCTCTTGTCGTTGTCGTTGCGATTGTGATGATTGCTGTCGTGCTTGCTGCTCCAGTCGATGAAGCTCTTCTCTTTGTCTTTGAGCTTCAATCTCTGCACGGACAGCTCTTTGTTGGGTTCGCAAAATGAATGGCCTAGGTTGAGTCAGAGGCCTCACCTCCTTCCTGGGTATAGATTGCTTAGGAGGAAGAACCACCGCCTTTGGTATCTTCCTCCTCCCCTCTTCCTCCAACAGCCTCTCTTCCTCCTCCCGCTGCTGAAGCCGTGCCCAGTATCGTTTGCTCCTACCTTCAGTCTCAAACTGGAAGGGTTTAGGGATTGTCCCTGTGGACCTGGGCATCGGCCTCGGCGTGGGCATCGGCGTTGATGCGCGCTTTGTTGGTTTGAGCGCGAGTGGCCGAGATGCCAGAGGATCGTATCGCCTCTTGGCGATAACTGGCGACTTTGGAGCCGCCAGTCTGGTTTTCACCAACGCCTGTGCCTTTGGTGGCGATGGTGATGGCGGTACCAGCGTTGCCTCTGTTTTTGGCCGTTGAGGTCGTGCTGTCGGCTTTGGGCGTACACCAAGAGGATCATGTCGTCTCTTGGTGACCACAGGGGATTTGGGGGCTGTCAGTCGTGTTTTCTCCATTTTAGGTACACTCGAGGTTCCTGAACTTTGGAGGACCTATGCACGTGTATTGTATATTAGAGAAAATAATAATTCTGTTACAACGATTCTTTACAGACACACATTTATACATAAAATATATAATACACATATTTCTGAACTCAACAACAACAGCAACAACAACAGCAACAACAACAGCAACAACAACAGCAGCAACAACAGCAACAACAACAGCAACAACAACAGCAGCAACAACAGCAACAACAACAGCAACAACAACAGCAACAACAACAGCAACAACAACAGCAACAACAACAGCAACAACAACAATAAAATATAAAACAAAACAAATAAAATAAAATAAAATAAAATAAAGTAAAATAGTGTAAAATAAAATAAGCTCTCGACTGAAGACTCCACAACCAGTTAAGCAATTACCTTTTTTTGGCTCATGAGTACACTCTTTTCAAGCTGCTGCTTGCGTTCTGAGAGAGGAATAAAAGGTGACTCGGGCCTAGCTTGCTGCTCATTGGTGATTAGGTCTTGCAGAACCGGTGAAACTGATGTAGCAACTGGTGGCGCTGATGTAGCATTTGGTGGCGCTGATGTAGCAACTGGCAGCATTGGTGCAACAACCTGTGGATTAGAATGTGACTTGGTAGCATTGTTTTTATTGATGTGTGGAGTTGGATCATAAAAGATGGAGGGCTCTTCTTTATGTTTTTGCTGTTGTTGCAGCCATTGCTTGCCTTGAAGATATGCTCTTGTCATATGAATATTTCGAAGTGGTGTCATCTTTGCGTTCTTCTGTTCTTGCGTACCGGGTAAGTTGGGAAAGCTCATAATTATAAAGGGGGGTATCGGGTATCAGGTATCAGGTATCAGGTAACAAGGCAATAGGTAAGAGCTTCTGAAGCTTGGACAGGTGGAATGGTTGAATGAAGAAAGGTTAATCACAACTTTATTAACTTTATATACGACGCGACATTGTAGGCACGTGAAACCGCGGTCACTAATAAAAGAAAGGCGTGTTGTATATTTCTGTTTAAGGGGCAAGAAGATAAGCACAAAATCAGGATGGTGACAGGACAAAGAGTGTTGACAAGAATAACAAGGCAAATAACCTTGACGACAAACAGCGCCATAAGATGCCAAAAGGGAAGGTGGGAGCTTTATAGGTGAGCTCACAAACTGAGTTACCGGAAGTCAAAGGCCTGTTGTGAAAAGGGGAAAAATAAAGGTGAACAGCAAGATGAGTTGTAGGTAGAACTTAAAACTTCTGGGTAAAACCGAACACTTTATTAGGAGAGAAGTTTCTTTGGCATTTATAGTACTCGTCTACAGTTGCCTCATCTTTAGCTCTCACTACTTATACTTGCCATAGCAAAGGCAACGAGAGGGTACCTTTAAGAGGATCTTGATATTGACCGTATTTTTAGATCCAGGGATGATGAATCTTTGACACTGAACACATCTTCGCTTCTAGCATGATTATATCCTTTGCTTTTGTCACCAGGACAGCGAAGCTTTCTATTCCTTAATAATGTAACAGAGCTTCATTTTATTTGAAGAAAGTCCATGCTTGTTACGATAGATAGACAAGTAAACAGGTTGAGAGGCAAGTGAGATTAAGATATGTATCCACGCACTACATCCATGGAGGCATTTATTAATTTTCTGGTGCAAAGATTATCATCAGGTACAAGGCAAGATCTGTGGTTTTATACACACTTTTGAATCGTTGACAATTACAGATGATTGGCTTGAAAAGATCAACAAAGATCAACAAATGCAGAAACGGTGTATTCATTTTGCTTCCCATTCCTTCATTCCTAAAGCTTCATTAACATTCAGCTTGCCTGCCACAAAACCAAGTCTTCGGATATCATTTTCTCGCTTATAACATTATCCGCATCATGTCTTCCAATAACAACACTACGCTCTCTTTATTAGCTAGTGCTGACAAAAAGCTCGCTCGTGAGGAATCGTATATACCACAATTGCTCATTACACACGTACTTGTCCCAACTACTTCACTATATCTACTTATAGTAGGTCGGTCGACATTGGGTAATAAATGCAACTAGTCAACTCGATGTTCTATTTATGAAGTCAAGGATAAGTTGTAATGACCGTTAATATGAACGAAAAACTACTCTCCTGATTGGTTTGCTAGTTCAGAAAAAAAAAAAGGATGTTTATAGTACTCGACGTTGGGAGAGCAAGAATGTGAAGCTAGTTGGCAGTGTGAAAACTCTACCACTCTTCATAAGTATTCACTCTTCCAAGAAGAATACGTCAAAAAAAAAAAAAAAAAAAAAAAAAAAAAGGAATAGACGTGTTTTGTTCTTTAAAAATGCAAAAGAGATGAAAAGGTGCTTCCTAGTATCTTAAAGGTAGCTTGTTTAACCGACAAGTATTAAAATAACACAATCAACCTTATTGAAGGCACTATTCTGTGATCACTGCTCTACTCATGCTTACGTTAATTGGTGGCAAATTGTAAAAAAAAAAATTAAAAAGGATGCAAAATGTCAATGACCATTCACATTCATAAGTTTACTCCATCTCGCTTCGCATGATGAGCAACTGCAAATTGAACCCCTTGAAGATCCCAGAAATTATTTCCGTTGTTGGTGGTTTCTTACGCCGAAAGGATCTCTTGCGTTGTATTCTTGTCTCCAAGACCTTCCACCGTACACTTGTCAAATTCATCTGGAAAAAGATTGACACTGGAGATTGTTCAAACTGTCCCTACTAGTGGAGCGCTACAGAACAACAAGGAGTATATTGAGACGCTTGTGCTCCGTTGGTGCTTCCCAAAGGAGTACGGTTCATTACAGGGCTGTAGTCGCCTCAGATACATTGACTACCAGGCACAAACACTTCAAGATTCTTCTACTCTGAGCGATCTTTTCAATCTCATCAAGGCCCACAACTCCACAATCACTGAGCTTAGGTTTTACAAATGTTCAAGCTTACGGGGGGTATGGAGAGCAGTATTAGGATGCACTCACCTTGAAGTCTTGAACATCCGTGAGACAAATATACTGGATGAGGAAGTTGATCTATTCTTTCAAGTCTGTAAGAAAGTTGGGGCCTTAGAGATGTTTGGAGTAAAAATCAGCCGGCTATCTTCCACCTTCTTGGACGACGACACAGGGGGATTCATTTTTCCACATATACGTACATTAAGCCTTCAGAGTGTCCTAATAGTCAACCCTCCATATCCGCGCACATCATCGTATTGCCTCGGCATGTTGGCTAGGAGATGTCCAAGGTTACGTTCACTGTCTTTCAATGATCTGAGAGGGGATGCCCAAACTATACAGCAAATATGTACCGATTTCTGCAGTATACTATTCCTTCATCCCTACACACTGACAAGTCTATCAGATTTGTCTTTTCCACGCATGAAAATAGAGGACGAGGACATGGCGGCACTTCTCAGGCGGATGACTACACTAAGACGGCTAGATGCTTCACATTGTAACTTTGGTCCGGTCTCTATGCGAGAACTATTAGCGGAGGAGCAGGAGATTTTGAGTAATGGACGCATAGTACGGAAAAGAAGGGATCAGAGGCTCTGTGATACAGTTGAAATAATGTTCCTCAATATATATACAGCTAGGACTGATGGCACTGTCCAAGCGATATTATCCAGTTGTTCACGTTTAAAGAAACTGCGAGGCTGCAATATTACAGTGTCAGAGATTGTCAAGGGCACAGAATGGGTTTGCATTGAGATGACTGAAATGTCAGTCATTCTTGAGGTTGATGTTGATATGGAGAGTCTAGAAAGCATGCAGAAGCAGCGTGTTGTGTTTAAGCAACTTGGCAGGCTGACTCGACTAGAACATCTTTATTTAACAGGGGGGGTTCCGCAAGCTAAGGGGTTTCGGACACTGGACTTGAGATTAAGAGCAGGTCTGGATGAACTAGTCAATCTGAAGCATTTACGTTGGCTATCATTCATACATGATAAGCACCAGCAGATTCAATCTGAGGATGCGACATGGATTGTAACCAATTGGCCGAGCATCGAATACTGTGAGGGCGTTGTGAATCGGGATCCTGAAACACAGAGTTTAGTGACTGACATTCTCAAATCGCACAATGTTGATACACCAGAATTTGATCTGTGGGAATAATATTTATTTTATCTCACTTCATAGTCTGATGGCTCTTAAACGAGCGCACTCTGACGAGTAACTACTTCAGTGACAACAACGTTGTGATTTTAATGTCCATCAAGGAAAGGCAATGGTAGTCTTTATAGTTTAAATGGTGCATAGTTGTACGGAATGCGAGCGCTTTGGATGATTTCTTAGGGTCTCTTATAGGCCTTCAGTAATATAAAGAGCAGTCATCCATACTGTTGCTGTGAAGACGGAGTGGACAAAATATCATTTAAGCTTGAGATCCAGCTATAATAGAGAGTGGGAGAGTGGAGGTAGTAAAGTGTTCGGTTTTACCCAGAAGTTTTAAGTTCTACCTACAACTCATCTTGCTGTTCACCTTTATTTTTCCCCTTTTCACAACAGGCCTTTGACTTCCGGTAACTCAGTTTGTGAGCTCACCTATAAAGCTCCCACCTTCCCTTTTGGCATCTTATGGCGCTGTTTGTCGTCAAGGTTATTTGCCTTGTTATTCTTGTCAACACTCTTTGTCCTGTCACCATCCTGATTTTGTGCTTATCTTCTTGCCCCTTAAACAGAAATATACAACACGCCTTTCTTTTATTAGTGACCGCGGTTTCACGTGCCTACAATGTCGCGTCGTATATAAAGTTAATAAAGTTGTGATTAACCTTTCTTCATTCAACCATTCCACCTGTCCAAGCTTCAGAAGCTCTTACCTATTGCCTTGTTACCTGATACCTGATACCTGATACCCGATACCCCCCTTTATAATTATGAGCTTTCCCAACTTACCCGGTACGCAAGAACAGAAGAACGCAAAGATGACACCACTTCGAAATATTCATATGACAAGAGCATATCTTCAAGGCAAGCAATGGCTGCAACAACAGCAAAAACATAAAGAAGAGCCCTCCATCTTTTATGATCCAACTCCACACATCAATAAAAACAATGCTACCAAGTCACATTCTAATCCACAGGTTGTTGCACCAATGCTGCCAGTTGCTACATCAGCGCCACCAAATGCTACATCAGCGCCACCAGTTGCTACATCAGTTTCACCGGTTCTGCAAGACCTAATCACCAATGAGCAGCAAGCTAGGCCCGAGTCACCTTTTATTCCTCTCTCAGAACGCAAGCAGCAGCTTGAAAAGAGTGTACTCATGAGCCAAAAAAAGGTAATTGCTTAACTGGTTGTGGAGTCTTCAGTCGAGAGCTTATTTTATTTTACACTATTTTACTTTATTTTATTTTATTTTATTTTATTTGTTTTGTTTTATATTTTATTGTTGTTGTTGCTGTTGTTGTTGCTGTTGTTGTTGCTGTTGTTGTTGCTGTTGTTGTTGCTGTTGTTGTTGCTGTTGTTGCTGCTGTTGTTGTTGCTGTTGTTGTTGCTGTTGTTGCTGCTGTTGTTGTTGCTGTTGTTGTTGCTGTTGTTGTTGCTGTTGTTGTTGAGTTCAGAAATATGTGTATTATATATTTTATGTATAAATGTGTGTCTGTAAAGAATCGTTGTAACAGAATTATTATTTTCTCTAATATACAATACACGTGCATAGGTCCTCCAAAGTTCAGGAACCTCGAGTGTACCTAAAATGGAGAAAACACGACTGACAGCCCCCAAATCCCCTGTGGTCACCAAGAGACGACATGATCCTCTTGGTGTACGCCCAAAGCCGACAGCACGACCTCAACGGCCAAAAACAGAGGCAACGCTGGTACCGCCATCACCATCGCCACCAAAGGCACAGGCGTTGGTGAAAACCAGACTGGCGGCTCCAAAGTCGCCAGTTATCGCCAAGAGGCGATACGATCCTCTGGCATCTCGGCCACTCGCGCTCAAACCAACAAAGCGCGCATCAACGCCGATGCCCACGCCGAGGCCGATGCCCAGGTCCACAGGGACAATCCCTAAACCCTTCCAGTTTGAGACTGAAGGTAGGAGCAAACGATACTGGGCACGGCTTCAGCAGCGGGAGGAGGAAGAGAGGCTGTTGGAGGAAGAGGGGAGGAGGAAGATACCAAAGGCGGTGGTTCTTCCTCCTAAGCAATCTATACCCAGGAAGGAGGTGAGGCCTCTGACTCAACCTAGGCCATTCATTTTGCGAACCCAACAAAGAGCTGTCCGTGCAGAGATTGAAGCTCAAAGACAAAGAGAAGAGCTTCATCGACTGGAGCAGCAAGCACGACAGCAATCATCACAATCGCAACGACAACGACAAGAGGCTAAGGTGAAGGATAGAGGTAAGGAGAGGGATAGGGGTAAGAAGAAGAACGAGGCTAAGGCTAAGGAGGAGGAGAAGACCATGGACGAGGAAGCGAATAAGGATGAGGAAGAGGAAGGAGACGAAGAAGAAAGAAGACGTAAACAAGAAAGAGAAGAAATAGTAAGTTTATACAAGGAGTTTGCTCAACGTCGATATCCTACCCCTGATCCCAATATGGATGCACAAACTTGGAGAAGGATGAATGATATTTGAAGAGGGGAAAAAAAAGAAAAAAACTTATTGTTTTTTTGTGAAGTAGAAACATTTGAAAAAAAAAAAAAAAAAAAAAAAAAAAAAGAAAAAGGAAAAGAAAAGAAAAAAAAAAACTTTATTGTTTTTTTGTAAGTAGAAACATTTGAAAGAAAAAAAAAAAAAAAAAAAAAAAAAAAAACTTATATTGTTTTTTTGTAAGTAGAAACATTTGAAAAAGAAAAAGAAAAAAAAAACAAACAAATTTTATTGTAATAATTAGCTGAATAAAATACGAAATCGTAACTTCACTCAATGCTTTAGGATATGAGATGCAATTTTAAATGAGATGGATGCGAAATAAAAAAAAAAAAAATATGCATAAATGAAAATGCTCTAAATACAAAGAAAAAGTGTTTTTTTTAAACGCGATCAACCACTTTTTCTGCGACGGCTTCTTGTTCTCTCCATGTTTTAGCCTTCACCAAAAGGACAACCAAGCCAATGGAACCCAACAAGGTCATGAGGGCCCAGAATGTGTAGAGCCATCCACTGCCCATGGCCCCCAACAGGGGGAGGGCTGTAAATCCTCCAATGGCACCGGTGACGCCTCGAGCAAGACTGTTGCAGGCCACTGCAGAGGTAGCCATGTTGTTCTGAGAGTTTGCATCCACGAGCGCTGTGGTCGTGCTAGAGTAAACCATCATCATCCCAAATCCTACAAAGAAGATCCCGACGACCGCTGAACCAAGTGCAAGTCGATTCTGAATTGACCAACCAAAAAGCATGAGACCAAGTGGTAACAAGAAAACACCTAACCATACACTAGAAAAAAATAAAAAAATAAAATAAAAATAAATATATAAAGTCAGTCAACTATTCTGGTTGAAGATGAGAAAAAAAAAAAAAAAAAAAAAAAATCCAATTCCTAACCTGCGAAGACGGATTTCCGGTGGAGCGCGCATGGTCACATCAATGACAACATCCTTTTCAGTAATCTCCTTGACAGGCGTAGAGCCGTTACTGCTGCTTGGGCGAGATCCATGTCCAGCTCCAAACATCGCCTCACGATCCCTCAACTCCCTCTGTCGCCTCAGCTCATGTTTGACCAACCAGCGACGCATCACATAATCCGAGTATCTGCCACCAACGATGGATCCAACGATGGATCCGAATCCTCCTGCGCAGAAAACAAGTCCAATGGTAGTCTCTGACATACCGTACACTTCGTGGAACGAGATCGGCATGGTGTTGTTCATACAAAACTGAGCTGCCAGGGATAATCCGTTGAAGGTGACCAAGAGGGCATTGGTAGGCGAACGAAGGCATAACAATGGTCGTAAAGGATTAAAGGCACATTGCAACATTGCCTTCCATATCTCTCGTTACTGAACATCCGTAAAGCCTAAGGTCAGTAATTGTGGAGTTGTGGGCCTTGATGAAATTGGAAAGATCGCTTGAAATATCCAGCCCTGCAATGAACTGTACTCTTTTGAGCAGTAGTAATGGGACACAGACACATCAACGTACTCCTTGAGCAATCTTCAAAATTGAACATTTTCTAGATGGGCTCGACAAGCGTATGGCGGAAAGCCTTGGAGATACGATTACAACGCAAGAGATCCTTTCGACGTAAGGAACTACCAACAACGGAAATGATTATGGAATCCCCAGAGTTTAATTCGAGACTGTTCATTATGCAAAGAGAGATGAGGAAGATAAAGATTAAGGATATGAACAGATATTGACATGCTGAGTGGACTGAGAAATGACTATTTTTTAAATGATATTTCGGATCATTTAGCAGCTGTGATCCTAATCAATAAGGGCTGGCGGTGTTTTTTAAAGTCTATCAGTAAAACCGCTTGCCTTTAAGATATTAAGAAACTTCTTTTTTAATCTCTTTATAGTCCTTGAGGGAAATAAAAAAGCATATCCATTCTTTTTCTTTTCTTTTTTTATTGGGGGTTTCCTTCTTTGGAAGTTAATGGTTACTCATATAGATATTTCGCATTGTTAATTAACATCCCATTTTTGTTCTTTCTACATATCAATGTTTTCTTCCAGTATCTAAATTAACATTATGATACATATTACAGAAATTGCCAAAAAAAACTGTTTACGCTCTTTGCAGTTCGGTATCCATCATTTAAACCATGAACGCTACCAGGCTCATGTTCAGGAGTCATATTTTTCAAATCAGACTGTGAGGTGATAGATAGTGTAATTCTATTTCAGTAGAATAACATTGCGCAATTTGAATATGCCATTCACTAAGGTGCAAGCGTCACGATCCTGATTCGCAACGCCACTCACCAATTCGAGTCTCGACCAATTGTTCACCATCCATGCCGCATCTTCGGCCTGTATCTCTTGATGCTCATCGCCCTCAAACGATAGTGAATGCAAATCCTTCAGCGTGACTAGTTCATCTAGGCCTGCTCCTAGCTTCAAGTCCAGCGTCCGAAACCCCTTAACTTCTAAAATCCCTCCTGTTAAATGTAAATGTTTTAGTCGGGTCAGCCTGCCTAGTTGCTTAAACACAACACGCTGCTTCCGCATGCCTTCTGAAGTCTCACGATCAACGGCGGCTTCAAGCTGGATGTTCAAAATGCTGAGATAAGTGCATACCCATTCTGCACCATCAACAATTTCTGCCACAGTGATTTTAGGTCCAGTCAGCTCCTTCAGACGCGGACAATTGGACAAGATCGCTTGAACAACACCATCAGCCTTGGTACTATAAATGTTGAATTCCAATCCCTCAACTGTATCGCAGAGCCTCTGATCCCTTCTTTTCCATAATATGCGGCCATTATCCGAAACTTCCTGCTCATTCGATAGCAACTCTCGAATAGAGAGTGGGCCAAAGTCACAATCTGGAGCTTCTAGCCATCTTAGCTCAGTCATCTGCCTAAGAAGTGCCGCCATATCTTTATCCTTTATTTCCATCCCCGTAAGGTGTAAATCTGATAAATTTGTCAGTGTATAGGGATGATGAAGGAATACTGTTCTGTAGAAATCAATGTTCATTCGCTTTCTGGGCTGCGCTTTTATATTGGAGTTGTAGTGATCCAATGAACGTAATCTTGGACATCTTCTTGTCAACATGCCAAGACAAACCGACGATGTATGCGGATGTGGAGAATCGACTATTTGAGTATCAAAGAAACGCACTGCACTTATATTTGGGAAAATGAACTTGCCAGATCTGTTGTCCAAGAAGTCGGAGGGTAGCTGAGCGATCAATACTTCGGACATGTCTAAGGCCCCAATATTTTTGCAGACTTGAAAGAATAGATCGACCTCATCCTCGAGTATATCTGTCCCATGAATAGCCAGGTTTTCAAGGTGAGTACATTTCAGCAGCGCTTCCCATATCTCACGTAAACTTGAGCATTCGGATCTAAACTCGGTGATCGTGGAACTGTGGACCTTGATAAGATTGGAAAGATCATTTCGAGTAGATGAGTCTACAGATGAGTCCATATTGCAGGTGATCTGTCTGAGGCGACCACAGCCATGCAGCGTCATGTACTCCTTAGGGAAGATGTGATGAAACTCAAGACATTCTATGTATTCCTTGTATCGCCGCAGTGCCTCGCTAGTAGGGTAGCTTGAACGACCTGAAACAGTGATCTTTTTCCAAATGGTTTTGACGAGTGTATCGTGGAAAATCCTGGAGACGCGAATACAACGGGAAAGGTCTGTCCACTCTAGGTAACTACCAATAAGCAAAACAATTTCCGGAATGCACAGGGGATTCAAATTGAGGCTAGTCATCATGGAAGAAAGAGAACAACATTGACAAGATGCATCTTTGTAATTTTTTTTTTAACCAATAAGATTTCTTTTTTGCTTCAATGAGGCGGATGGAATATCAATCTCCTCAGTCTTCTGTTGCAGACAAGGCTGGCTAGAGGTATTTTATTATTTTATTATTTTATTATTTTATTATTTTATTATTTTATTATTTTATTATTTTATTATTTTATTATTTTATTATTTTATTATTTTATTATTTTATTATTTTATTATTTTATTATTTTATTATTTTATTATTTTATTATTTTATTATTTTATTATTTTATTATTTTATTATTTTTTTATTTTATTATTTTATTATTTTTTTATTTTATTATTTTATTATTTTTTTATTTTATTATTTTATTATTTTATTTTATTTTTTTATTTTATTATTTTATTATTTTATTTTATTTTTTTATTTTTTAAACCGTTCTTGTCAGCCTGAAATCGTTTGGAAAACCGAAACCAAGCAACAAGCAAGTGCCTAATGCGTCATTTTGTTTTCCTCTTTTGTATTATATTAATTTAGAACCGCGATGTGGCTTCTTTTGGCAACAGCGATCGTCGCCTTTTTGCTCGTCCTGTTCGTCCTTCCAGAGACATACCGCCATCACATTGATGAGCCCACGACAATGACGGAGGAAAGTGACAATAGCCAGACGAATCAGTCAGATATTACTCATGTTGCTGGCAAACTATCGCTTCATAGTGAAACAGATGAACCATCCTCAACGCCAACATCATCCCCTGCTACACGTTGCACACCTAGTCTCAAGAGTGGTGAAGAGTGCGCTTGTAAAAAAGCTGTAATTGATCAGTGGCAAAGTGGCTTGGTGAAAAATAATTAACATCTGCGCCTCCTAGGCTCGTCCTCAGGCCAGCCAATCATTATTATTGACTTCCTTTACGATTATATCTGATTAAACCTCCATACAGATCTAAAAATGGTTGTCATTCGAGACTTTAAAAAATCGATTAATTGCATGCTCAAGTATCTGTCTCTAACAGCAATAGTATGGCGAACTGCTAGGTGGCATTCATAAGTATTCCACCAGTGCACGCTGTTACCATATCAATCATACCAATCCCCTACCACGGTTAAAATACTACCATAGATGCGTGGTGTATTTGATCGTGTTGCGACTGGTGCTAGAAATATTAGTGGGCTGTGACTCGCGCAAATGTCATCTCAAATGCGACCTAAGTTTATGCCTAGGATTACAGCAGCGCGGACTGCGAGGGTTTCCATCATTGGCACAGTTAAGCGCTTGAGGCAGCAATGATTGGGAAATCAATTCTTCTTTTACAAATTTGTAAGTAAACAATCATAGTTCTCGTATGCTTGAGCATTACCATTCTTCTCCCCATGAATATTTAAGCTAATTTCGGCTTGTTACAGACCAAGGGATATTGTTGTGTATACTTACATCCTACCTAAGATGACCTTCAAGCGTTGGTACTCAACCAGGTAAATGAGCCTCACGAGGCAAAGCGCTTAGACTGGTGCGGCCGTGAGCAAAGCCACGGACCGTCCGTCTAGTTTATTTTATTTCATTAAAATATGGCATTGTGAAATGTAAACTCAAATTGAACAATGCACTGATGGTAAAATTAGTAAGCTTTTTTTTGTTGTTTTGAATGATAAACAAAGAAATATCTGGACAATTGGATGGCTACTTCATTGCTGCTAGATTTAACCTCATAACATTCTAAACAATGTCTGCAGCGTGCGTCTTGGAGACTAAGCTGGAATGTTTACTCCTTTGCAATCAAATGTCCTCCTTCTCCAAGCCTGATTTGTTTCAACACGTAAGCTCGATTTAAGCGATCCAGAGCTGGCCTCAAAACCCTCTATAAAAAGATACAGAGCTAAAATTAAAACATGGACCGTAACAATAGCTCTTTTTTTTTTTTTTTTTTTTTTTTTTACCTGGGCAGATATTAATGGGGAAATGCCTAGCAGCAATCCGAACTCAGTGGGTTTGGAGATTAAGCGGAATGTACCATGTAATCTCAGGCAGTAGAAAGCCTCTGCGTCGAGGCTGAGTTGGTACACATCCACCTCCATTCCACGACCATGGATGAGCATTACTGGGAGTACATATCCATCTGCATAAAGCCCGTCGATCGCTTTCTTACCCATGAAGGCAAGCTTGGCCAGATCGTCTTCCATACTCTTATGTGGAGCAACTGCTGGCTTAAACTCTCCAAGTAAAATAGCGTATTTCTTGTATATAACCTGATAATCAGGCAATAACAAACGGGAATCGAGATCTTCAGATCTACCAGAACGAAGATGATCTTATGTCCAACAACTCAAAGCTGTTAGATTAATCTATATATAAATTTATCATCCTATCTCAGTAATTGTCAGTCTTACCAACGGAAGGTGCATCCTACAAGATCTCCAAATGCAGCTAACATAAGTTTTGCTAAGCATCCAATGAAAGTATCCGTTATTTCCTGCACGAGCTTGCGCCAATGGATGTCGGACCAAATTCCTGACTCCATAAAATACATCATGACCGAGCAACGCACAATAGACAATATTATTGAAGGTTAAAGATTGACCCAATTGGAGAGTTCTTCAAATGTTGCTTTTGTTCTGGCGCTAAGTTCTGAAACAAACTTCATTTCTCCCACCTCCAACATTTCAAGTTAGATGGACTGAAGAAATTGATCGGCAATCTCTTTTGGGAGGAGTTTATACAGCAGAGATTGTGTGACAATAAAATGAGTGTATAGATTCTAGTATTTCAGGACAGTATGACATACTAGTACTAATACTAGAGTTGAGTACTAAAGTTGCAGATTTTAGTATATAAATGGTATCATGAAAGAGGATTTAATATCACTTTCCATGGGTTTTGTGCAAGTCAGTTTTTGTGTTAGTATCACTTGCATATTTATTTATGAAAAAAAAGGGCGCTCGGGACGAGGGCGAAATTAATATTAATATGCATTTACGGGATCCATCTCTGCAATGCTCCCAGAGTGCCTGAGTACTCCATATACGTATATCCGTGTTCTCAGGAACCATAGAGACCAGATGCTCTATACGACAGGCTTTGTGAAGAGGGATGATGAGTTTGGATACTTTGCAGCTGTGGAAGGGGATTGTATAATAATCGGCCACCTTTCCCGTGACATGCATCCAAAGAATGGTAAAAAAATCGGTATGCACTGAAGTAAATACTAAAATCTGCAACTTTAGTACTCAACTCTACCCTGAGGATGGAGTTCATGTGCACATGCAAGTGCTGAAAGGCAAATGTGGCAATCTCAAGTTTGGACCCAGGACGACAATTATATTATAGAAACCTTCCTTCCTTCCTTTCCCTTCACTCCCTAAATTCCTCCACCGGATCGCTATAAACCAAGACAATCAGCACGTACATGTCTTCTATGCGCACCAATAAAGCTTGCTCTTAAACTAGTACTCTGTAATTCATAAACAGTGCGCGAAGAACCTACTATCGCCGAGGTACTGCGCAAGCGGCTTGCTGCTATTTCGCTTGAACTCGCAGATGCAAAGGATGATCTTGAAATACCACAGGCATAACTTGACGGCATCCTATCCTCTCTCTCTGAAACTCAACTTGAGCTGAAGAACACTAAGGATGCTCTTGCCAATAACGACCGTGCATGCCTGGGCGCCAACCGCGACCGAGTTATGGAAAGCAGGAGGTCTTTGCTGTTTTGAAGTTCCAGTAGCCCCAGCCATTGCCTGTTGGCGGCTATCGTCTCTTTGCGCTGCAGCGCAAGGCTGTTGACCGTAACTTGGACCAGTTCATTACTGACAACCCTGACCTCAACTCCTTTGAGATTACAGAGTTGCGATTTAATGGTTCTCCAAGAGGTGAAAACGTTTACCTACAGATGAAAGATGACATGGCTGTACCAATCGGCTTCAGCCACTACAGCAAGGCTGAGAGGAGATGATCGTGTATGTCCAAAGGGCTTTAACCACCCATACTCAAGAGAGTTAAGAATGATAGTCTAATTGTCCACTCAAATAACAAAATAGAATAAAACAACTATACTTATACTAGATAAATATTAATTTTCGCAATAAGAAGCAACCTTGGGTCCACAAGCAAGGGCTCACGAATGGGTTGATGCGAGCAGCAATACTCTCTCTGTGATGTACGAAAGTGCCCTTTCTCCCGATGGCAAGAGGTCGTTTTATGAGTTTGCAAGCCTCTCAAACCATCTGTTGAGAATCGAGAAAAGATCCTACAGCTTGAGCCAGGAACGTAACCAATAGGCACCCGAATACCCAGTGTCGGAGGATCAATGCCACTGCGCATTGTTATACCAACCTACATCTTTGAGAACAACCAGCATATGCCTAAATTCATGCAGAACTTCAAAGCTGCAAGGGCTTAATAAGATCAATATAAGGACAGTCTAGGCGACTAAATTGACATAGGCTTACATAACAAGAATAGGGGGATCCGGAGCCTGGGAAGCTGCAAACGCAATGACACGACCAGGCGTTTCATCCGCGCCCCATGGCACCAGGCATCTATGCATGCATTGGATGCAGCATTTTTATCACCAATGTTCAGCCCAATAGTATCAAAGCGGACAAAGCCTCAGGAGCCGACAGGATCTCAAGACGCTAGCGTAACCACATACGGTCAATTTCAGCAACACTTGGATATACATATAGGGACATGACATTACCACACCAGTTGCCCATGCCTGTCATTTCCAATGCTGTACATAGAATACTTACGCAGTACACGCATGCGAATCTGTACAGAGTACAGTATGATGGCCAAGGTGGGACCTATAAGTTGCAACGAGCTCAATCTGGTTGGAGAATCAAACCTGATAAATTAATAATGAACTGAGATATAACGAGACAAGAATCAGGATCTTTATTTTCATAATAGAAAAGAGTATTTATACATCTTTTCTATTATTGTATGTCACGGGTATTAATATTAATGTAAATTAGCTATATAGTAAAAGGTTTTAGGTGATTATGGCGCACTGGTCAATGCGATATATGCAAGAGAAGGCATGACGACAAGAATGACTATCTTCAAGTGAGTCGAAATGGAACAGCGACACTACGGAGCTATGGCTGAGGGTTTATTTCGCAATATCCTCGTCGGGGAATTGGATTTCGACGAAAAGATTGTCCTGAGACAACATCTTGCTATGGCGATTGTTCGGACTCCATTTGATACTATATAAACACCTGAATACTGCCACATGTCATTGACTTCTCTACGTCCCTTAAACAATATTCCTAGCATACATCTGAACTTTTGCAAGGGACATGTCAATGCTTTGACAAACATGTAACATTTGATGGCTACATCACACCCTTTGGATTATGGAAGCGCTGAAAGAATGAGCTCAAAAGAGGAAAAAAAGAGACAACGTTGTCTTTTCTGCACCCCAAAAGCACGCCACAATCCTATTGAAGCGTTTGGAGGCATTATTTACCTCATGGTTTGAGGATTAGCAGAGTTTTACTAAAGTTTTATTGTTTTGAACAACACAGTAAATCCTGTCCATCCGAAGTAGCCTCTTTGGATGGCAGCTATCCAGGGGATGCTAATCAATTCCGCTAAATACTGTTAAATCAGGGTAGATTTGGAAAACCGACAAGCATCGAACAGTCGCCTAGCAAGTGAGCGAGGACCTCCATGGCGCGCATGGACCATTGGGCGACTTTTCAAATTCTTTTTATAAAGAAGAAGTCCAAAGTCGTCTTATGTGATTGCTGAGATAGAGTTCTTGCTTACTGCCTTTCCTTCTCTAGCGCACGGACCAGGCTTGGCGAGTACTAGGATGGCATACTCTTTCTATAGTATAATTGTCGTTCGGTATTCGGCTAAACTATATACCGGCTAAGGTCAACGAATCCAAGGCCACCGAATCGGCCAAATTTATAACAAATATAATCCCATAGGGCGATATTTATATCGTTAGAGCAGAGATGTCATACCAGCTCACCGAGGTAAATATTCTGCCGCCAGGCTCTCTCACATCTTCTCCATATACGGATCGGTGAGGAGCAGCAAGTCGTGAGGTTGTAATGTTCAGAAAGCATGAAAAAAGGTAAGACAAGAAAAAGTTAGAAAGGGGCATTTTTATTTTTTAGTATTTGTGGCAAATATTTTCACCTCTCAGGACCTGCGATTTGACCATGGCGTCGCCCCAGCCTGGTCCGTGCGTAAGAGGAGTTTAAGAGACGGAATAACATCAAAAATTTCTATACTATTGTGATGCTATCCAAACAAGTCTCTAAATAATTTGGATTTAAGCTCGTTAGTCAACATGTAAAAGGCCGGGATATTCCTCGATCTTTTCACATTCCTTGGACAACGGCTTTCCACTCATGTAAACAATCCTAAAATCATCCAGTCTCTTGCCATCCCTCGAGGCCTCAAAAAGCTTCGTCGCAGGATTAATCTTTGCTTCATGCTTTCTTCCAAAGACTGCATCCGAATAAATCTCAATCTGTCTTCGGCTTCGTCTTCATTGTTTGTAGTTGAGTCATCTGTAATATCCGAGTCTTTGCTACTTGCTCTCCGCTTTCCTTTGTGTCCCTCGGATTCCACTGCTGATTCATCATGATCATCTCTCTTTCTCTTAAAGGCCTTTGAAATCCGTTTGCTTCAAGTTTTTTCATGATCAGCGAAACTTTGAAATGATACTTTGATAAACGCGTGATTGTAAATGAAATCGATGGAGGGAGCTATTGTCAAAGTTGCTACCATGTATTTGACCAGCCGAGTGGAAGAACTGCTCAAGCGCTTCAAATGCGCCGGGAATAATAGGAACTTTAGATGAAAGATGCTCCTTGGGATCACCGAGGCGAGAAAATTGTCCTCCAAAATGATGGGACGAGGGGTTGAAGACGAGGCAGTTGGCGGAGGATGCATCAGAGCAGCAACAAGTGCGGGAGTAGAATCCATAGTAGGCATTGAAGATGAAAATAAAAATAAGATAGTGGATGGTGCCGTGGATGCTATTTCCATCAGAGATGATGTTGACTTGGCTATGAAGACCAAGCCAAAACGGGACTAGATATAGGCTGACCAAACGAATAAAACTTGATTTGACAATAATATGAGAAGCAACTCTCTGTTCGAAGGAGCGCAATGTACCGATATGGATACAATGCTCTTTGTATCCAAAGCTCAACGAAGCACACTTTTGGTGAAGTTAAAATAATGCAGGAATGAGACTTTTCACCCTGTCAACATCCTCATCCTCCTTCGCCTTATTATCGAGATGAGAGGATCTCAATACCAACAATTCCGAAAAGGTGACATTGCTGAAAAAGTCTGTGTCAAAACTACTTCCACCGATGCAATCAATAGCGGCTCTACATACTTTGTGCTTTTGCAAGGCATTCGAGATGTGTTTCCAGATGCAACACGCTTCAAGTTGGATGGACATCCCATTTTATTCCTTTCAGTGCCTAATTGTAATAGGTATATTTAATATTTTATCATAGTGCCATGCCCAATGCCTAGAGAAAAAGAAAAGAAAAAAATAAATCAAACTGACTAATATTCTATTAGAATATTAGAATCGAACCTCTGCGCATTGCATTCTATCTTGACAAAACCCTGAATAAACGCTGGCGTCCCCAAGGCACTCCGTCAATGGTATCGATCAAAGCGCTGCAGTGGCTGAAAGAGTTGATGTAAATAGTAGGTGTATCTTTGCTTAAGATGCAAAAAGATAGACACAAAATTAGGACAGGACAAGACAAAGAGTGTCAACAAGAATAACAAGAGAAAATAGAGGCAAATAACCTTGACGACAAACAGCGCCATAGGTTGCCAAAAGATCTTTATAGGTGAGCTCACAAACTGAGTTACTGGAAGTCAAAGGTTTGCTGTAAAAATGGAAAAATAAAAATGAACGGTAGGATGAGCTGTGGGTGAAACAAGTCTTAAGGATAAAACCAACGACTTTATTAAGAAAGAAGTTTCTTTGGCATTTATAGTACTAGCCTACAGGTCTGGCTATGGTACAGTAGTTACTAGGCGAGGCCTCAAGAGGCGGACTCGCCTATGACTACTAAAAGCCTTTGCATAAAGAATCCTCCTAATTATGGATCTACAGAATATAGCGATTAATGGATTGAAATGAAAATTAACAGTTACATGTTTAACTTTACGTAACTCTTAATGGTCAGCCACAACAGTCTCGCAGCTCAGGAATTTTCTTGGCTGAAGATAGAGCCAACATTCTTCATTGATCTTCACACTTCCTCCATCATCTTTCTTTACATGATGAGCATCATCAAAATGAATCCCTTTTCTATTCCAGAAATTATATCACTTGTCGGCGGTTTTCTAGATCTAGCTGACCTCTTATCTTGTATTCGTGTTTCCAAGGCCTTTCACAATACACTTGTCAAGCCCATATGGAAAAGGGTCACGGTTGGATCAGCTTATCATACGGAACCTACTTTTGAGGCAGTGCAGAACCACAAGAAACATATTGAGAAGCTTGAGTTTTACAACATCTTCCCAAAAGAGTACAGATCAATGCAAGGTTGTGATCGTCTCAAATATATCGGCTACTATGTGAGATTTTCTCAGGACTCTTCTGCCCTGAGCAATCTTTCCAATCTCATCAGAGCCCACAGTTCGACAATCACCGAGCTTAGATTCTACTATTCAGAAATACAAGGCCTATGGAGGACGCTACTGGAATGTACTCACCTTGAAGTCTTATCCATTTGCGAGATACAGATACACAAAGATGAAGTCGATCTATTCTTTCAAGTCTGCAAGAAGATTAGAGACTTGAGGATGACTAGCGTAAGCATCAGTCAGCTGCCTTCCAACTTCTTGAATGACGACATGGACGAATACATTCTTCCAAATATGAAAAAATTAATCCTACATACTGTCCAAATAATCAATCCTCCACATCCGCACACCTCATCAAGTTGTCTCGGCATGTTGACTAGGAGGTGTCCAAAATTACGTTCATTGGATTTCTGTGATTACAGCTGGGACACATTCGAAACTTCACAACAAAGATATGTTGATTTCTATAGGAGTGTATTCCTTCATCATCCTTATACACTGACAAATTTATCCGATTTACGCCTTACAGGGATGAAGACAAAGGATGAGGACATGGCGGCGCTTCTAAGGCAGATGACTGCACTAAGACAGCTAATAGTTCAGCAGTGTGATTTTGGCCCACTTTCTATTCGAGAGTTGCTAGCGGACGAGCAGGAGATCTCGGATTGTGGACACTTGGTACGGAAGAGAAGGGACCAGAGGCTCTGCGATACAATTGAGAAAATGCACTTCAATATAAACAGTACCAGAGCTGATGGCATTGTCCAGATGGTCTTATCTAATTGTCCACGTCTGAAGGAGCTGCATGGACCTAAAATCACGGTGACAGAAATTGTTGATGGTGCAAAATGGGTTAGCACTGGGCTTACCAGTTTGAGCATCCTGCTTGAAGCTGACGTTAATCAAGACACTTCAGAAGGCATGCAGAAGCAGCGTATTGCGTTTAGGCAACTAGGCAAGTTGACTCAACTAAACTCTCTTATACTGACGGGGTTTCCGCGATCTCGGAAAATCAGAACACTGGACTTTAGGTTAAAATCAGGCCTGGATGAGTTAGTCAACCTGAAGAGTCTTTATCGATTATCATTTGAAGGCGATAAGCACCAGCGAATGCATCTTGAGGATGAGACTTGGATTAAAAATAATTGGCCGAATATCAGAGATTTCAATTAGCTTACTACGTTCGCATAATATAACCGTTTAATAAAGGAATCGAAGGCATTCTGCTCCTCGACACGAGCATTCCGAGGGATATTTACTTTTATTAATGGCAGTGTTATGATGGCAGTAATAAAGATCCAACAGATAAATCTATATCTCAAATGAAGCATAATCAGGCGTAAATGATGTAAATTGTTGAGAAAATTTCAGGGATCCTCCGTCACAAACAGGGCTAGTTCCCATATTGTAAGAAGCAATAACGTCAAGCTGCATTTGAAAAAGATTGGGTAAGGATAATGGTTGAGGCTCAGTTGTAGTGAAGCAGTGCATTGATTTGTTGGAATGATACTCCTCAAAGTAGATTCACTTAAAAGGAGTTGTTGGTCACTCGGTGGTAGATACAGCAAGTCGATGCGGTGTACCCTCTATGCTAGAATCACTAACAGATGAGCAGGAGGTTTTTTTTTTTTTTTTTTTTTTTTTTTTTTTTTTGGCTGATATACACTTAATGCGAAAAGGAAGCTCTGCGAAACAGTTAAGGCACTAGAATCCAATCAAGGCAAATGGCACTATTCAAACCACCCTATCAAACTGTCCGCGTGTGAAGGATCCGTGTGGACCTAAAAGCACAATGAGAGATATTTTTGACGGTGCATAATGGGTTAGCACTAGTCTCATCAAGTTGGCTGTCCAACTTGAAGCTGCTGCTGGTCAAGAGAATTTAAAAAGTATGCAGGAGCAAATTGCGCTTAGGCGACTAGGCAGGCTGACTTAGCTGCAGATCCTTAACTTGACAGGACATTATTCACGACCTAAAGAAATTCGTACACTGGACTTAAGGTTAAGAGTAGGTCTGGACGAACTAGCAAACCTGAAGAGCCTATATGCGTTACCATTCGATGGAGATAAGCACCAACACATATAGCCTGAGGGTGTGACATAGGTTGTGAACATTTGGCCGATTATCGGGTGTTTGAAAATCATTCTGAATCAGGGTCTTCGCGCTTGCTATTTAATTACCGATGTACTCTAGCTGCACCACACTGTCGCTTGAAACCGCTGGGCATCAACAGATTCAAGCTGAGAATACGAAATGGATTGTAGGCAATTGGCAGAGTATCAGTTGTTTAGCAAGCATTGGAATCAAGAACCTGGGACACACTATATAAGATTTTGTCCTAGCGGTATAAAATTACTTTAGTGCTTCGTATTCAAATTTGGGCGTGTTTTTTAGATGATGGTATCTTAATTGACTGGCCTCGATAGTTTTTTTTCGGTTGGCTGGACTTTCTGAGTAGTCTTTAAATGATTTTGGTTATGAAAGGCCTTCAGTTGAGGTAGCCACTGTTGTTTTGGTTTGGTTGCGGCAGCTGTCGTTTGTTTTGGATATGTTTTTTGTATGTGTTTTGAGTGTGTGCGTTTTTTTTTTTTTTTTTTTTTTTTTTTCGGTGTGATTTTTGTGAGTTTGCGTTTTAGATGCGTCTGTGGATTGTGTTCCACGGATCAGCTTTTTTTGGGTCTGCTTTGAAGCTACCATCAAGGCAACCCTTTGGTTCTTCGAGGTTAGTTCTTCCGAGGTGGCTCTTCCAGGCAGTTCTTCGATTTGGTCCTTCGATTTGGTCCCTCGAAGTGATTCTGCGGTGGGTCCTTCGCATCGTTCTTTTTTTTTTTTTTTTTTTTTTCTTTATCTTTCTTTTTCTTATTTTCTTTCTTTATTTGTGTACTTTCTTTCTTTTTTACTTTTGTATTGTTTTTGTTTTTGTTTTCCTGCTGCCCTCTGCTGTGCCCATCGTTGTTCCTGGAATCTAGCATAGTTATTTTTTTTCCTTTTAAAAAAATAAAAACGGGTTAGTAGACTGTACCTTCAAAAGTCTGACTTCTTTTTCATCCGCCGAGTCCAACGGAAACATTGTATAGCACCACATAAAATCCGCTTATTGCCTTACCATTTGCGGGGCAGGACATATCATGGGCCATCGATGTCCAGAGCTATCTGTGTCCCGGCGGGGTGGATTTTTTTAGATCTACGGCGGGGAGCGGACAGTGGACAGTAGATAGTGGCCAACAGGGAAGTCGAAAGCGAAGCACTACATGTGTTCATAAGCTACACACTTGATTGACGACGCCGACGGGGGTCCGATCCTGTATGTCAGGGTTGGTTTGCCAAGGGCTATTGTTTGTGAGGGCAGTGGAAGGCAGTGGAGGGTGAGGAGAAAAGAAAAGAAAAGAAAAAAAAAAAGTCTTTTATTCAGCGAGTATATTTAGTTTTTCAAATGTTCACATATTCATTCCTCTCCATTTTGCTATCTCCCTTTCTCATCTCACTCATCTTTCAAAAAAGCTAAAGTCGCGTGAATTCTAAAAGATCGATGAAATGTCTGCGTCTCATTGGCTAGTTCTTTGCTGCTTCATGAGCATTTCCTTTTTGGTCTATTCAAAGCATTTGACGGATGAATGACAGGATAAGAAGGAAAAAAGAATAGCAAGCAGTGAAAATTTATCGAAGAACAATAGTAGTGGCATTGGCACCAACACAAAGACTGCGAGATCTCTATTAGGAAGGAATAGAAAGAATTAAAAAGAATGAAAGAAAGACGGATGGGTATTTTGTTTCATTTATTTTTATTGTTTTCTATTATCATGTAGCTATCTGATCTTGGAAATAAAAGAACAGAACAACAGCTTTGAAATGGGACAAATGGGAACAACGTCAACAGTGAGAAAGGGGTATGTCCTTGTATGCGCGATGGGATAATAAACATGCTGATCCCTTTCCCTTTCCATTTAACGCAACTGCTGCTATTATTATGTCTTTCGAAAAAAGGATTCCTAACTTACTTTGATTACCGCGTTTATTGAATAGCCTGGGATAGTATGATGCATCTAAATGGCCTCTAGGATAAGACAAAGCAGCCTTGCAAACACTCGATACATGATCATTTAGTTATAATCCATGTCATACCCTCAGGTTGTATTAACTGATGGTAACCGCGCATGAAGAATAGCAAACACAAACTCCAGATTGAGTAGTTCATCCAGATCTGCTCTTATCCTCAAGTCCAGCATCTGAAATTCCTCGCACCGATATATTTCCTCTGCTAAATAAAGATTTCATAATTGAATTAGCCTACTCAGTTGCCTAAACGCAGTACGCCACTTCCGCACGCTTTTTGAAGTTATATCAACATCAGCCTCAAGGCTATCCCTTATTTCTGTCAGCTCAGCGCCAGCCAATCCTACAGCACTATAACCCCTGTTATTGTAAGTTTAGGCCCCCAGAGTTTTCGGACTCGACAGCTGGAAAAGACGGTCTGAACAATGGCATCGGCCGTGCAGCTGTATATGTCGGACTCCATCCTTTCAACTGTAACGAAGAGCTTTTGATTCATTCTTTTTTGAACTCTGTATCCATTCTCAAAAACCTCCCGCTCGCCTGTTAGTGACTCACGAATGGAGAGTGAATATAATTTACAATATGGAACAACTAGCCGCTTTGATCCTATTATCTATCTGAGGACTGCCGCCATATCCTCGTTTATTTCCATTCATAGAAGGCATAGATCTGATAGACTTGCCATTGTGTAGGGTCGATGAATGAAAACTATCCTGTAGAAACCAGCATGTATTCGATCTGTGATTCGGGCATCCCATTCATAACCACTGAGGCTTAATGAACGTAATCCTTGACAGCTCTTAGTTAACATGGGACTGGATATATGAGACCTACTACAGCGTAATGTGTTCACGTTCACATTTGGAGGAATAACTTTGTCCGTGTTACCGTCCAAGAAGTTGGATTTGAAAGGCTAGATCGACTTCATCCTCGAGCACATCCATCTCACGAAAGGCTAGGATTTCAAGGCGAGCGCATTTCAGATACGCATCCTATATCCCACATAAACTTGGACATTTGAATCTAAGTTCTGTGGTTGTAGAACTATGGGCCTTGATGAGATTGGGAAAATCAATCGAGGAATAGAAGCCAAATAAGACTTTACAGAAATGCATTTATGGTAGTTAGAGCCCTGTAATGATTTGTGTTACTTTGGGAAGTTATGATAAAATACAAATTTCTCAATGTATTTCTTGTAACTCTGTAGCGCTTTATCAGTAAGATACCATGAGTAGCCTTAACAACGATCTTTCCCCATATTGATTTGACAAGTGTAATATGGAAAGTCCTGAAGACACATATGCAACGTAAAAGGTCATTTCACTCTAAGAACTCACCAACAAATCAAACAGTTCCTGGACTTTCCAAGGGGGGTTGCAAAGAGGGAAGATAAAGTGAGATTAAGAGTGCGGTATTGTTTTTTTCCTTTTTTCATAACGCCCATAATCATTAATTTTATTTATTTTATTTTCCTTTTGTTAAGGGTCAGGACATGGTTCTCAAAGTCGGTTGTCTGATTTCTTTTTAAAAGTATTTACAAATCTTTTAGAGTACAGAGTTTAATTTAGAACTTTTTAGTAACATAAAATTGGCCATTGAATCCATGTTGGGCATGTATTTAAATTTACATTTTTCGCTCTCTTGATCTTTGACATTGTTAGTAATTTTTTCCCTCTTCTTTGGGCCCTCTTAGTCCTCGTTTAACTGTGCTTCAAGGTCATTCTCGAGGTTACTCAGGAAAACATCGTCGTCTTCGTCCTCATCTTCTGGTTGCTGTCTAGAATAGTCCATATTGCCTTCATCATCCGCTTCTGCCCCTCCCTGGTGTATCGCTCCATTCTCATCATCATTATCGCCTCTAGTTTTACTTTCATAGCTAAGTCGTCTCCGCTTCTTTGGTCTTGCGGGTTGACCTATATCGCTACCATTGTCCTGACTGTCATTTCCATCATCACCATCACTATCTGACCCATTCTCATAATCAATCTCACCATCGCTCTCCTCCGATTCTCGGCCTTCGGCTACTTTCTTTAAACCATCCAGCATCAGTTCGTCTCGTGCCGATATATGATTATTCCCTTCATCATCACTACTACTGCTGCTGTTTGTGCCATCTCCATAAGTCACAGACGTACCCAAACCTGACTTGCGAGGTATCCGAGTTCGTTTCAATTTTACAAGTGGTGATTTGCCTCCATCTGTGCTAGCATCACTCTGTGCATTGCTATGCGAGAGAGCAAAAAAAAAGCATTTTAATGTGTGGACTTTCCAATGATCGTAAAGAACCTGCACAAAACTCGCGATTAAGAGTATAAAATAAATAAAATAAAACAAAGCAATACAAAATATACGAAATAACTTGTGCTTACCTTGTGTCACTATCGAACTCAGACTCATCCAGATCATCGCCGACTTCATCCTCGATTTCCTTCTCCAAATCACCCCAATTCATAGCCTTTAAATGCTCATTGATGACAGCTTTGTCAATACTCAGGGGGTTATGGTTCTCGTCCATACCTTCAGAGATACCTCCTTGGTCCTCATCGTCTATACTGTCGTCATCCAATCCTGTATCTTCCCCTCCTTCCGCCTGAGATTGAGGTGTTGTCGCAGTTGATGTGGATTTACCAGCGTCACCCAATAGTAGGTACTTGGATTCATCTTGTTTTTGAAACTTTGCAATTGAATCATAGAGCCACTCCGGTCGCACTATATGAATTTTCTTGTTCTGTCTCGCCTTATTCACCTTTGCAGTCCCAGGCTAAGAGAATTTATAAAGTAAGTGACGTTATTAGAGCTAAGGAATGCAGTTAAAAGCCCTTTACGTGTCGGAAGCAAAGTATGTAAATTAAATGCTATCTATTATACCTTAGCCGCAACAACATGTGTTACGCTGGACCGGATGTCGTGTGAGCAAGCCGCGCCAAAGTGTTGTGCATGCCTCCAAATGTCCGCACGTTGAGGATCCTGACCCAACGGGATAACACTACTAAACACCAGATGGACTCCCTGCAAAACACGTCTTTTCATGTTGGTTATGATTTTCTATGTCCAATTAAAACACATTAATGGAAGATCAGCATTAAGGGATAAATTTGCATCCAGTGGACGCATCAGAGCTACATAACGCAATCTTTCATATACCTTGACATCGGGCGCCTCCTTAGTATAGCCTGCGTTGTGATTCTCCATAACATCAAAAAATTGCTCATGGATATCCATGAGAATCTAGAATGCATGTTCATTAACGAGATCAGCAAAGTTGAAAGCCATAGTGGATACACAATACCGGCAACTGATCAAAACCAGAAGATTGATGTGGTCATTAGCGGAGACTTACATTTGAAACGCGCTTTAATTCGTCATCATTATCATCCAAGACAGGAGCTTTCGGTTTCTGTGCTTTGTTAGCTATGTCAGTATTTGGTGGCACGACAGGCTTTGTTTCTGCGGAGGTATTGGCATCCGGAGATGATTTATCAGTGGACTGAGGTACGGCTTTAGAAGTCTCAAGTGAGTCAATAGATTCCTTTGCTGATTCTGCAGATGGTGCTGAGTCCGATTTTACTGGTGTTCCTTGTTTCGGCAGATGTGCTGCATTAATATCGCCAGTTCCTATAAAGTATTCATCTAATATGACCCATACTTGTCAGTGGTAAATCCTTTTTTTTAAAAAAAAAAAAATAAAAAAAAAATAAAATAAAAATAAAATAAAAATAAAACAAATAAATATAAATCAAGCTAGCGATCAAGGAGCCAGGCTTACAAGGATGCACTTTGACCAAGTTGGGTGAATTCCGCCAGACATCCGCACGATCGTCAATCACAACCACCATTGAGTCATCGCAGGGGAAGAGGCGTTGGATACTTTTCTGAGTCATATCTAAGTTTGTATTAATAATAATAATGAATATAAGTATCTAGGTTCAGATCGAGTATAAACACATTGCGTGGATCGTTCGCAAAACTCACGTGAATTCTCATCCCTGGAAAGAATACGTTGACTAAAATACCGGCCTTCTGGATCAATAACATTAGCAACCGCTGCTGCATAATTTCTAGTTCCCATTGTGTAAATGTGCAACTCGTAAGCACGAGATACTTCCTTCAAAAATATCTCCAGATGGGGCCTATTAAGTACGGGGTAGTTAAGAAGGACTCGAATTAATAAGTATGAAGACAAAAGTACGGATCATCATACCATTCCACGGAGACCTACCGAAGTTTGATATAATAAGGTGTGGGGCTGTCAGGCAATGGAAACATTTTGATATCCTATAGGTATATGGAAGGAGCTCAATTCTCCAGATAATTAGAAAGAGTCAACAGACAAGAGGCTTAAAATCGACCGACTCAATATTAACGTATTAATCCATACTTTTGGCATCTCGCCTTGTGAATTTATCCATTCATCGATGGCTGTTCCAACCGTCGCGTGAATAAGGGTCTGATCCAAATCTACAATGAGCGAAAGTTTTCCTTCTGCAACAAGGCGCTGCACAGTGGCTTTCTCTAACCGCGCTGCCTCCTATATTTGGTAACAAAACCATCAAGCTGTCAGTTTACATGAGCTATACAGAATGTCCATGATATAATGGTTGGTTGGGAACAGAGGGTGCGCGTACCGAACGACTAACGCTCAAAGATGTTGCATCGTGGGTCATGTTGACTTGTGCCTCTGGAGGAAGTCCAGTTTTCCCACATTCAGCACAAATGTCTGTGTATCGCGTCTCATGATCGCATCCTTTGTATTCCATCAATACCGTGCTACAGGTAATTAAGCAATGAGAGTGTTAAATAGAGGCTTAAATGATGGCAAAAGCCATAACAAAAATTTGGAGTGGAAATGACCAACATAAGACAGAGGTCAAGGAAGGAGTGAGCGTGGTTTATTCTGTCACACTTTCATGTAGAGTGAGTAGATTAAACCTGAGAGGTGAACAATGATGGATATACTACTATACGTACGCTTCATCCTGAATGATCTGTCCCTTTGAAACATTGATTGCTTCAACCTGACCATCTTTAGCAGCTCGTATCTCGGCCCTTCGAGCCTGTTCTGATGTAGTGTCGTCGTCGACAAAGCCCTTGACTGTTTCTTTGTACTCATACTCGATTAGTTCGTCGCCCTTGGAGTGTGTCTTCCCCCTTGACGTTCTGACAGCAATAATTGTTGCAGGCGTGTGAGCTTCCGGAATACGGTGCACAAAATGGTTGTTTGGCATTTATGAAACTACCTCGATGAAATAATGTAGTTTTTCTTTTTTAATGGTTGTCGAATCTTTAATCCGCACGATGTTACTGCGATCACACAATTGGATCAATTTTGGTTAACAATGAAGCCTAGGACCGAATTTTAGTAATGTGCAAAACCTGGAAACGTGAACCTAACACTGTTCTTTGCCTACGCGTGCATATCCTTTCTGGCGAAATGGTCGAATGGTCTTGTGGAAACAAGAGAAAAAAGGGGTTATATTACTTATTAGTATGCGCATCCGTTATTACCTGTAATATATGGATAGGAAATAAAGGACATCGTCTTCACACGCCTCTAACTTGACCAGGGTGTCGTTTTTTCTTCCTCATTTTCATCTTTTTGTCCAGCCCTCCTTGCCACAGCACAAACATATCATTTTACTTCTATCTTTTAACTTTCATCTTTTTCATTAAACAGTTCCAAGCAACCATGGTGAGTGGTCCTTTTGTAACGCGTCATCTAGCATCTTTCTACCTCAACCTCACAGATTCCTTATCAGAAGAATCTCCGTAATGAACCCCACCATATGGGTTGCCAATTCTGGTCATTACCTCAAATTATTTTGTCATCTTGAGACATGAGCAATCTTGTTACTTCTGCATTTTATTTTCTTAAGGCTATCAATTAGGGTATAACCTCTGCACAGAATTACTTTTTATTTACACAGAAATTCTAACCTGACTATCTTCGACTTCGTAGGATGAGCAATACGATGTCGTTGTTATGGGTACCGGCCTAACTGAGTGTATTCTTTCAGGTCTTCTTTCGATCGAAGGCAAGAAGGTCCTCCACATGGACCGTAACGATTACTATGGAGGTGAAAGTGCCAGTTTGAACTTGTCTCAGGTAAGGCTATGGTGATCTTATCTGAACCCTTTTTACAGCCTCTCGTATGAAGTATAGAGTGATCATGGGTTTGGAAGCATATACAAGTAGGAGCGCCATTATGGTTGCCAGATCCTACTCTCTTCCAAAAATAAGAGAAAAAGCTCTCAACTGTTATCTTCTCATGCACCCTATTAGAGAAGCTAGCTCAATAAGCTTGATAATATTAGCATCTAGAGAACAAGTGCTCACGCGTCCATATTTATTTATGATTGCTTCTTGTAAATATATCCTTTAGCTTTACAAAAAGTTCCGCAATAGCGAGACACCTGCTGAAAGCCTTGGAAAGGATCGCGACTACAATATCGATTTGATCCCCAAGTTCATGATGGCCAACGGTGAGCTCGTCAAGATCCTGACACACACTGATGTCACACGCTACCTCGAGTTCAAGCAGATCGCCGGTTCCTATGTATATCGCGATGGCAAAATTGCCAAGGTTCCCGCCACTGAGATGGAGGCCGTCCGCAGTCCTCTGATGGGTATTTTCGAAAAGCGTAGGGCCAAGAAATTCTTCGAGTATGTTCAGACTTACAAACAAGACGATCCCAGCACTCACCAGGGCATGGATATGGCCATCACCCCTATGGAGGCCGTTTACAAGCATTTCGGATTGGAGCCTGGCACGATTGACTTTATTGGCCATGCTTTAGCTTTGCATTTGGAGGACAGGTGTGTTTTGGCATGCTTGTACTGAATTTTATTTTTTTATTTTTATTTCTGATACGCTGTGCTTAACACTTTTATTATAGCTACTTGTCCCGTCCTGCTCTCGAGACTTTTGAGCGCATCACGCTCTACATGTCTTCAATGGCCCGCTGGGGCAAGTCTCCTTACCTCTACCCTCTCTATGGTTTGGGTGAGCTCCCTCAAGGTTTTGCTCGGTAAGATATGGAATTCTGCCCTGCCTTTTACCATTGCTCTAGTAGTGATAGATCATGATTTTTAGCTGACTCTATGATGTACTTTTATTCCAGACTGAGTGCTATCTATGGCGGCACATACATGTTGGACAAGTCAGTCGATGAGATTGTGTACGAGAACGGAAAGGTTGTTGGAGTTCGTTCTGGCAATGAGACTGCCAAGTGCTCCCAAGTTATCTGCGACCCCTCTTATGCCCCCGACAAGGTCCGGGTTGTCGCAAAGGTCATCCGTGCCATTTGCTTGCTTCGCGGTCCTATTCCCAACACTGATAACGTTGATTCATTCCAATTGATCATCCCCCAGAATCAAGTCAACCGTCAGAATGACATCTATATTGCTGGAGTCTCCGCTTCGCACAATGTTTGCGAGAAGAACCACTACCTTGCCATTGTCTCCACAGTTGTTGAGACTGACAACCCACAGGAGGAGATTCAGCCTGGCCTTGCCCTTCTTGGACCTATTGTCGAGAAGTAAGATTTATTGATCTGGAATGTTTACCGTTAGTCTATTTGTTCTGATTATCAGCCCGTACCTATTACTTACACAAAATTGCTGTGCATATTTAAATAATAATGATAATAGGTTTGTCCAGATTGCCAACATTTCCGAACCAATCCATGATGGCACTAAGGACCAGGTCTTTGTATCCAGATCATACGATGCTACATCTCATTTTGAGACTGTATGTGATGATGTCAAGGACTTGTACAAGCGTATCACTGGCAAGGATCTTGTTCTCAAGCAACGTCAGACTCAGGAGGAGGAACAGAGGGAGATGGCCAGCCAGCCTTAAAAAAACTGAGGAAAAGTATATACTAAATATCTTTAGGAAAGTAGCCTTCATTATTATTATAATATTTTCCTTTAGATATCAAAGACCGAAGCCAACATACAAATAAATGAATAAATGTGAAGTATTTTTTCGAAACTGACAGAAACAATTCAAGGCCCACTGGTCGTCGGCCACGTTCTCATCTCTATTTAGTAATACCTTATTTGCATATCATAAAAAAAAAAAAAAAAAAAAAAAAAAAACTTGTCCCTCATTTCTCTAATTCCATTTCTTTCATTCATTCAATCTTTATTGTTGAAATTAGTCGTCGTTCCTTTTTCTACAATTATTGTATCATAGACCATGACTTGGCAGTCGAATCGTAGGCGGCGAGGCATAGGCTTTGTCACTCTTTTAATAGCCCTTGTTTTACTCTGCTCCTCGGTAGCAAAAGCCTTTGGAGGAAGCCCTAAAAAAGTTCTCCTTCGAGACGTACAGACGTTGACATTGCATCGAGACCGTATGACAACAGGGAGAAGGACGAGGCCAGTGCCACAACTCAGCTGTACAGGAGGAAGTGCTTGTGGAGATTATGAGCCTGGTAAGTCACTCGATGTTTGCTCTACTACAGCTTAATCACATTGTTCGATTCATTATGCTTATATTTTATTATTATTATTTTTTATGCTTTAATTAATTAGAGGTAGTGCAATGCATCAATGCTGGATTTGATGGGACTGACGTTCAATGGAAATGTGAGGCCGATTTACCTGATAACATGCGCTTTGGAGAACTTGATGTATATTGCGAAGGTATGGAGGAACATGACATGTAGCCAGCTGACATATAGTTTTTTTGATGAAGGCCTAATTTTTTAAAAAAACCCCCGTCTAGGTTACAATCACCCTGATGATCCCTATGTTTTAAAAGGAAGCTGTGGATTGGAATATAAACTCCATTATACTAATAAGTTCAGCAGCCATTATGGATCATGGTCTTCATCCAAGTTCAATCAGTGGGCATCTAAAGGTATGTTGAGCGAGCCTTGATGTTACTTTTTTTTTTGTCCTTACTTCTTTATAGGCACACTACTTCATCTTTAATATTGTTTTTTAACAAAAGTCTCCTTGAACTGAACTTAACCGTGGAGTATAGTAAGAAGGCAGTCTTGGATTGAAATAATCTATCTGTGGACATGGATTGGCATTGCTGGGTTTATTCTTTTTTCCTTCCTGAACACATGCCTTCAACACCAACGATCAGGAAGAAATGATGATGCGCCTCCACCTTATAGACCTCCAGGATCTGGCCCTCATGGCGGAGGTGGTGGTGGTGGTGGTGGTGGTTGGGGGAGCGGATGGGGAAGTGGTTGGGGTAATAACGACTACCGATATAAACCCACAGGTGAGTATCCTTTATCATTTGTTTTATGAAATCCATTTGTTGACCTCACATTTGAATCAAGAAAAAAGACTAAATTGCGATGCATTTCTTTGATAAACTTTGCCAACTGCAGGAAGTGAAGGTTTCAGGCCTGGATTCTGGTCAGGGCTCGGTCTAGGGGGTTTAGCTACATATCTTGCCACAAATCGAGACAGACAACGAAATTATTATCCCGGGTACAACACGGGCTATTCTTCATTTTCACAGCCTTCGACATCATATGGTTCTTATTCTGGAGGATGGGGCGCAGGACCCTCATCAGCGTCTTCATCATCTTCATCCTCAAGACCAACACGATCTGCTACAGGTTATGGCGGTACTCGACGTCGCTGATCGATATAGATCATAGTCACCTATATTCAACAATCATTTTCCAAATACAGAATAGTGCTCTTTTTTTTTTTTTTTTTTAAAGGCACCAAACAATAAATTCATCCCACTGCAGTTCTTTTATTTTAATTGAGAATGGTAAAAAAATAATGCTGAAATTTACTTCTTCTGGGTAGTCTCAACACCAGCCAATACAGCACGTTTCTCAGCAACACGCTCGTTACGGCGAGCACGGGCAGCCTTGGTCTTGTTACGATGAGCCTCGGCCTGATCAGCGATCAGCTTGGCACGGAGCTTCTCAGCCTTAACCTTGTGGATGTACTCCATGAGGACACGCTTGTTCTTGAAGACGTTACCCTTGGATTTCATGTACAAGGAGTGGTACAAGTGGCGGTCGATCTTGCCAGACTCACGGTACTTGCGGAGGAGACGGCGGAGGACACGCTGGCGGCGCATCCAGATAATGTTGGAGGGCATACGAGCTTCAGCAGTACCCTGGCGCTTACCAGTGCCTGAGTGACGACCAGCACGTTTGGCAACAAGCTTCTCGCGGTGGCGGAAAAGCGAGTGCATAGTCTGAGGCTTCTTGATGATAAGGCCATCCTTGACGAGCTTACGGATGTTCTGACCTAAAGCAATATATATATCAGTTGAATAACATTATCTATTGATTTGTAATATCGTAAAGGGCTGTTGCTGCTCTAATTTTCCTGACATTTATATTTCTTGGTAAGCGTTAATACTGTATCGTTGATGGGAAGTTAAAGTATGACTATCTTCAATCCTGTCTGCCTCCATGTCTCAAAAACGTATAAAGCACACAAAAAAAAATGTCCAAGTAGAGCAGAAATATTGTTGACGATGCATGTAAAGTCCAGATACCGAATGACCTGTCCATTGTTCATGTTGGAGCGTACGAAAGGAACTGTTGGCGATATATACTCGTATTAACTATTTTTTTTTTTTGCTAATTCCTGTGTATGTTGAGCGCCAGCCTCCCAGCTTGATATATTAACTATTTACTTACGAGAGTTGGCATTAGCGATCTCGGTAACCTCGTTAGGATCCAACCAAATCTTGCGCTTTCCGCACTTCAAAACGGAGGCGGCCAAGCGCTTCTGACTGCTCAAAGAAACCCTGAAAAAAAGTTGATGGAATCAAGAAAAAAATAAAAAGAAAAAGACGCATATGTATCATGTGATCAGAAACTGTTGTGATGAATAGAGTAGACAACCTCCCGTAAGTATTTACAAATATAGTCCATGAAGTAGATCGATCTTTGTGCCAAATCGTGATGATGTCTGTTGATCATCAAAAACACACAAGTTCAGAATGTGAAAAATGTCCAAATGTAAAATTTGATCATGATCATTGTATCAATTTCGCCTCATGAGCTGACTGAGTGAGCTGATTGACCTAGTTCCATGATTCTGATTCCATAGTTGCGTAAGATTGTTGGCTTTCAATTGTCCTCTTTTCACTTGTCTGAAATGACCCTTTTGATTACATTTTTGAGATGAGTTGAAGAAAAAGGCCGAACCAACAATTGCAGCTGAAGACCCAGAAAATAGTCTGTTTAGTCACGTGGTCACTGATATAATATATGTAAATGTGAATTCACGTGGTGCGTCAGTCTTCCAAACCTTTTATTGTCTACTTGGATAGTAAAATCTTTCTCCTCCTCTTACAATTCCAATATGGAAAGTGTACAATAATAAGAGGAACTGCGCTTCCAGGATAGAATCAATCCATTGGGAGATCCAATCGATGCACCATACATCGATCATCTTAATTCATGATATTCAACTACAATTTAGTAAAAAAAGAGTACGGGATACTTCATGCTGAATAAAGCCCACATATCATCAGCTTCATCAACAGATCATCGACATTTATGCGATTCGTATTTATAGAGTTTCAGGATGCAGGAGATTGCTTTCAATTTGAGCGGCAAAAATAATACAAGAGGATCATCTTTTAACACTGGAAACATTTGTTTTTGTTATTTTTTATTTTATTACTACGATGTATGCGTCAACAGTCTCTCCTTGTTCCTGAGAAAGGCCAGTTCCAGCACATTCTTCGTGTTCTTAACACGAACGTGGAGGGCAAGACCAAGATCATGTTCGCCATGGTAAGCCAGCTTCAATATTTTTTGACGGGAATCAGCCAAAGAAAAAAAAAAGAAAACTACTTTCGAAACTTACCATTCACTTCTTTATTATTATTATTATTATTATTATTATTATTATTATTAACAACCACAATTGATAGACCAACATTAAAGGTGTTGGTCGTCGTTATGCCAACTTGGTTTGCAAGAAGGCGGACATCGACTTGAGGAAGAGGTGCGATTTATTTATTGATTTTTATTTTTTTATTTTTTTGTCAGCAGTTTATGGATACTGGGACTTTGAGGCGATTGTATTTTACTGCTATTAGAGGAACACTTCGTGTTGATTGAGAGGACTTTCAGGAATTAATATTGGGCGGCATTCCATTTTGACGGGAACTGGGCGATTTTTTTTTTATTCATGAATGAGCAGATTTACAACAGCATCAGCTTTTTGTAGTTCTTTCAAAAGAAGAAATCTGCTTGGACAAGTACCGACCCTTTGATACTTTGAGAATCACAACCTTTTAATCTTTACGGCGAATAATGTCTGGATACTGCTTCGACATCTTGATAATGCAATAATCATATTAAAGGATCCTGGACATATCGACAAATAACTGAGATTTGATTGCTGACTTAATCAACGTCATTTGAATCTTTTGTGGTATTTAGAGCTGGTGAGCTCACCAACGAAGAGCTCGAGCGCCTCGTCACCATTATGCAGAACCCCACGCAGTACAAGGTTCCTCAGTGGTTCCTCAACAGACAAAAGAACTTTGTCGATGGCAAGTACACTCAGCTCTTGGCTAACGGTCTTGACAACCAAATGCGTGAGGACTTGGAGCGCCTCAAGAAGATCCGTGCCCATCGTGGTCTTCGTCACTACTGGGGTGTCCGTGTCCGTGGTCAGCACACCAAGACCACCGGTCGTCGCGGTCGTGTCGTTGGTGTCTCCAAGAAGAAGTAAATCGTAAGTTGCAATCTTTGGATAAAAACAAAGATGTCATCTGCAAAAGAGACGAGAAGCACATTTAGTAACAAGGAAATGATGCAAGAAAAAAACTTATCTACATTGTCCGAATTTTTATGTGGACAATTTACTTTTCCCTGATTTGAATATCCCCCTTTTTACAAACTGTGCTGCAAATATAAGAAGCCCTTGCATGACCAATTGTGCATAAAAACTTGTAGTAAATCCACTTATCAACATTCTTCGTTTTGCAATTCGTAAATTGTTAGGGTTTTTTTATCTCGGTTAATGTATTCGTTGTTCCTAACAATGAAAATAAAACAACATTTTACTTTGTAAACAACATTGTCTTGAGCCTATTACGGTTACTTCGTGAAAAAAAAAAAAAAAAAAAAAAAAAAAAGAAAGAAAAAAAAAAAAAAAGAAACGTACTTTTAGTCTTCTGGCGATCGATTTACCCCGCATGACACTTACTACTGCTTGCTTTGTTATTAGTCAGTGCTCGTGGCCCCTTTTTTCCCATATTTACTGCAGTTTAGAAGAATGTGATAATGAGATAATGAAGGTCGTAATGGCAAAACAGACGATTGTATTCTCCTTTTTTTGAAGCGTCAATGAATTGACCATGGTGAAGGAAAATGAATGAAATTCATTTCTTTCTATTCTCTTTTTTTTTTTTTTTTTTTTTCAGTTTCTTTCTACTGCGCATAGCGCTAAGCCTATCCCCCTCAATAAGAATGAATGCTGTCCCCGACAATCAGCAGTTGTCTCAACACCAATCAGAACCAGATGACATCCCCTTAGATATCGCCTTGTCCACACCAACACAACCTTCTCATCCCCATGGCGCTAGAGCGGTTCAAGCTGTAGGCTTCAATGATAAAGGTGTGATTTCAATAAAACAATTAAATGAGATACAACCTTTCCTCAAACAATGGATCGTCATGAGCCCACAAGAGGAGCCAAGAGATATTTGCAGTCCCAATCAGAACTTTCAATGGACTGTATGCCACACGCGCACAGGACAACGAGCAAAAGTTATTTTCACCTCCACTGAGTTGAACAACTGGGGGACCTGATAATCTTTAATACTCCTAACGTTGGTTTCCTCATTGCTTTCATGTTGCTCGTGCAGTTCATTCAGAAGAAATACCACTGATGCCCTCATTCCTTTTTTACCATCCTTTTTACTCGTCTTCGCCTGAATTCTGTTTCTACCAACAGTGGCACAGCTGCGTTCGAGTGCAGTCCCCATTTCTTCATTGTTCTCACAATTTCATTTTCCTTTTTCACTAACCTTTTCTTTTTCCTCTTCTTTCTTCCTCTTTTTCTTCGACCCTTTAAATTCATCTTCCTCATTCTCATTCACATTCATTGTTACTGACTCAAGACCCTCTGTCGCGCAACCTTCCCCCTATTCATTCGCATTCACATTCGCATTTGAATATAAAGAACGCCACTAGGACTTCTGTTCCCGTGACTAAGGGCCCATCTTCTGTAGTCTTTCTCCAGGCTTTTTATCTTTCGCTGCGCCAGCTTCCAATCAACCACCTTTTCTTTACACACTCCCCCGACTCTCATTGCTCCATTAAGCCTGAAACAGCCAGCTATCTATATCTCGTCAACTTGATCCCGGACATCGCTAGAAGTTTATCATTCCAGAGCCTTATTATAGCCTATGCTTTTCCTCTTCTTTGGATCATAGCTCCGAATATCGCTTTCTTGTTGATTGTATTTCAGACTTTCTCTATCTTAGCTGCTAGTGTACGTTGCCCTCTAACTGATCCAGAGCTGGTCTTTTATCAAATGGACAGCAGTCATTCTTCTTCCTCCTCTTCGGCCGAATTCTCGACCTCTACGACATCACGCGTCCCGTCGAGCGAAAATCGCACTATTGATAGTAATCGTGTGTCAGCAAATAGCGACAAACCGGGACAACTTAATACATATGCTTTAAACGCCGCCATATTACCGCCTCCGCCTATGAATTTATCTACAGTTGCTGCCTCACATGATCATAATGGAAATCATATTCGTCTCTTCACTTACAACAATATCAATGACAATAGTTCTATGAATACATTACCAAGTTCTTCGAGACATCATCATACTCCCATCCGTGAGTTACCCAGACACGACAGAACTGGTAGCATTATAAGTAACGCAGCTACCAGTGATCAACATGCTGGCCAAAGTGGCTCCAGACATCACATCCATGGTCTTAGCTTCGACCCAGCTTCTTACGATTATGATGAAGAAGACGATGGCCGGAATAGCGATGAGGATTCCGAAGGCGAGCCTGCCTCTAACGATATGGAGTTCTGGCTTCAACGATGTTCGATCTGCTTTGATGCATATCTAGACTTTTGCCTTGAGTGCTGTCGTGACCAATTCTGTCATGACTGTTTCCAGCGGTAAGCTTTGAGGTGCTTGAAAAGAAGGAGAGAAATATCATTTGATTTATTGCAATTTGATTGGATTATGCACAAGAGAGTGCAAATGAAGCCTTGTCCAATCATCTTTCGTCTACGCTTCTCGTCCTACGACAAACAAAACGCGTAGAAACTCTATTGAAAAATTGCAGATCACAGAATACAGGCTAGAACCCTCTCGCTCTAAAAAAAAAAAAACCATCACTAATAGAGAGCTCACTAATGAGTGCAGTATTGAATTGCTCTTAATAATACCTGTTCTATACTTTCTTTCTTTTTTTACTTTTTTTATTATTTTTTTTATTTTTATGTTAAAAAAAAAAAAAAAAAAAAATGAAAATAGGTATGTTAAGGAGGTTGTCAGCAACTCTTGGGGTCTTAATGTGACAAAAATCAAATGTCCTGTTTGTCAAGACACAATACCGTTTACTGAATGGTCAAAGGTGATTTAAAAAAAAAAAAAAAAAAAAAAGCTGTTCAGGTCATATTGATTCCATAAATATCCAGATATTAGTCTTGCTAACAATGCTAGTTTTGTAATAATAACATATATTAATATAAATATTTAATTTGTAGTACGTTGACCAAGTAACACTTAAACAATATCTACAGTACAATCAGCCATACCGCTCATTCTCACGTTTCTGCAATGAATGCGAGCATGAAATGATCATTTCAAAAGTTAACCCTGCTGTCATAAACCGGCCTGCCCGAGAATTGGTACCAATCTTCGAAAGCCTTGTAGCGGATCTCAGAGCAATTTTTTTATTGGCTGGACTAAGCCTTGAAGGTTCTGAGTCTACTACCGCGTGTTGCCCATCATCATTGTCTCGGAGTGGCTTTCCGCAGCATTTGAGCACGAGAATAAAGCATGACTCAGCCCTCTGCGGTCAGGCCAATGTCGCTCATAGTATCATGCAGCAATTTATTGAAGACTATAAGAGTTACTGCGGCACATCTAAGGAACCACAATGGGGCTTGGCCACCAAAGCCCAATCATATCTAGCAACCCTTACTTCCCGTACCTTACGAGCGCCTTACGTTCAAGCAGCATCGTCAACACCAACGCCCACACCTACAACCAGCTTGGCCACTCCTAGCCTACCAAGAGGACAACAAAGCCCATATTCGTTTGTGGTCGAGCCATCCTCCCTTACTACTAATGACGGCCAAAACAGAGCAATCGTTCAAAATATACAGGAGCCGAATCGTCGGCCGGCAGTAGCTCTGTATCATATCAATCAACATCCTGTACGAACAAGTGGCGTATTGGAAATTTACAAAACCGTGATGACGCCTTTACTGGACCTTCTCCAATTGCGGAGCACAGTTGATGATCCGGTTCTTCGCACGAGTATGGCTGCTAACGAAGGAGCGGAGGCATTTCAAGAAAGCGCTTCCCCAGCAGTTTTAATTACTGATACACATCCAGGACACCTTGTGAGGAGTACTGAATATATAGAAGGTGGCGCTGGTAACTCTGAGTCCCTGCCTGCACTCATACCCGAACCAGGGACAGCGGAGAATAGTTCGTTTGCTGAAGACGTGGGTGCAAAGCGCAAAGGAACCATAGCACCGAACCATGTGAAGCAAAAAAAGCAGCGGCCAGTGCGAGCTGGAGTTACAACACGCTCAGAGAAACATCGAAAAATGGAAATCAAGCGAGCACTTGCAAAATTCAGCAAGCGGTTCTCAAGCATCGAAACACGCCAGGAACAATGGAAAGAACTTCAGTTCCTTCATGTGCGGTGGTTACGATGGGAGTGGTGGTGAGTTTTTTATGTTGCTATGGTATTTAATATGAGCACTGATGATGATGCATAACTGACCCATATCTGTCTCTATCCTTTGAACATACATGCATTAGTGAAAAATGTGACAAAGAATTATGCCTTCAATGTGGTGTGTCGTCGCATCATGAACTTTATGATTGTTTCCAGTACATGAGGTCATTGATAACTAATAAGGATAGCACAGGACTAAGCCCAATCGTGAATTGGTCTGCCAAGCAAAGCAACTACCGCCCACCTAAAACAACGTCGTCCATTTCTAAAGGGAAGACTCGATCTGATCTCGATACAAGCACAATTCAGTGGAAACTTGCAAACACCAGTCCTTGCCCAAACTGCTGTATACTGATTCACCGTGACGATGGTTGCAACAAAATGGACTGTTTGCTCTGTGGCTACCGCTTCTGTTGGGTTTGTCGCGAAGCATGGGGTACTGCATGCGGCTTCTTTAAATGCGGTCGCAAACCTGTTGGCATGATAGCGCCAATAGATTCTTCGGAGACACTAGACGGTTCAAATGAAGGTACCATTAATGATGAAGTTCAGCCCATGGACCTGGGGATCACGCACGAACTTTCACAAGACATAGCTGGAAGCCCAAGCCCAGTGGCCAGTGAGCCCCAAAATGACCTACAGCGAAGGCGTTCTAATGAGAAGACGATTCCCGAAAAGGTATGTTTCTCGATAACCGACATCCTTTTTTTATAAATGAAGGAAGATTAAAATGTAGTAACTAAAACTGATGTTTACGCATATTGCTTTAATTGCAGCCTGAAATTGGTGTTCCCAATGTATTTGTCATCCACACAAAACGACCAAGAGTATAAAGAAAGCAAGAGCGGACGAAAACAATGTAGCAAACTCGAGATATGCACTGCGATGAAATATTCATAGAAACACATATACGATTTCGATCATTAATTTTTTCCTTTTCCGGCATTCATTAAAAAATAAAAAATAAAAAAATGCGCCAGTCACAAATGTGTTAAAAAATAAAAGTATAGAATTTCATGAACATTCTCTCATCCTCCTACATTTACATGGCAATTTTCCACATGGACGTAGCAGACAATACCGTTGCCCTTGTAACAAAACATTGTGGTCTACAATTGGAGCTTTACCAGAGATGTGTGACGCATAATCCAGAAAACTGGGACATCAAATGCATTACTCAAAAGCGTGCTCTTGCAAAGTGCTCGGAGGACAAGTATGAATTATTTCAGAAATGGCTTTAAGAATGCCAAGGAAGAAAGGATATGCGAATACAGCACATCTTTTATTAATTATTTATTCTTCGTTTTTTTTTTTTTTTTTTTTTTTTTTTTTCATTTTTTGTTCTTTGGTAGTGTCCCTATTATCAAGCATGTGAAGGAAATGTGTGATCCGTTTATTAAAGACTATGATGCTTGTGTGATGAAGAATCAAAAGGATCCTACAATTTGTCTCGAGCCACTCAAACGATTATTTCATTGCACGGAGGAACATGGAAAGTTGCCGCTATCGGGACCACCTCGTGCTGCTGACCCAAAATCAACATCAACTTCACCATCAGGAGAAAACCCAGCAGGATCAAACTATGGGTATAGAGGGGGTGTGTAAACAAATGAAAAAAAAAAAAAAAAAAAAAATCATCTCGTAGATTACACATATACATTGTAGTTTATAAAAAAAACTACACACTGCAGTATTTAATGAAGCCTTTGAAAATTACGAAAAGACTTACAGTCAGTGTATCCATATGATACATATATATATATTCAGTTCGCTCTTCATTTCATCCCTCTACTGCTTTTCTTTCTTTCCCGCTTCTTGTACTTTACTTCATCACTCATTAGAGTTTGATTTTTTTTATTTTTTTCCCTTTTGCTCTCCTTATGCACTATTGCACTCTCAATCATCAAGCTCTCTCCGAGGAACCCATATTTCATATATCTTTGTAAGACTAAGAAAAAAATATCTCGGATATAAACAGAGATCCGCTAGCATTCCAGATGAGTATGCACTCAAATAGTCATACAGCTCTGTAATTTTATCCGCGTCGGATTTTGTTGTTACTTTGTATTGGATAAATAGTTGGATAAGCTTCTTGGTGATGAACGGAAGCAAAGCTGAGACATGAGAAATCGCACGTGTTTTTGATGGTGACAAAAGGTCCAATTGGGGGCGTCACTAAATTCTCATTTGACTATCATAATTTTTGATATGAGTCGATTGTCGAAAAAATACACGTTGCTTTCGTATTTCGCTGGACAAAAAAAACAACAATAATAATAGAAATAAAAGCCAAAGAGCCTGCTACTGAAAGACTTCTTGACGTTTAACACGTTTGGTACTTCTTTCGCTAAATAAGATATTGTCTAAAAACAACAACTCTTTACAAGGTATAGACACTAGAGTATTTAGCAGTTTTTAAACAAAAGAGTTGAGTAGTTTGTGTTAGCGTGCCATAATATTTATGTTGCTGATCCTAAGGATCCGAGAAACTACTTATTAACTTAGATACAAGCAGAGTTGGAATGTCGCCTGTGGAGGGTAGTAAGAGAAGTAGTGGACAACCGTTCGAGCGTATGAAGCTACGGAGTGCCACCACAAGTACAAAGCCAGCCGCTAACCGACCAGGAGCCAATAAAGATTTATCCTCGTGTAATCCTTGTCGCATAAAAGAAGCATCTCCATATGAATTTTCTTCATCTTCTCTTTCGAGCGACACTGCAAGTGAATATGAGTGCGGCCAGGGGGGTAATCATACGCCGACATTAGAGCTAGTAGATGATGAGCTTTGGGCCAAATTCTTCTCTCTTCAAAACGAAATGATCATTACGAACTCTGGGCGGTGTCTCTTCCCTTGCTTGCGCTTTAAAGCCACTCATCTGAATCCCCGAACACTCTACTCTATCACTCTTGAGTTTGAAAAGGTTAATCCTGAGCGCTTTCGTTTTTGCAATGGTCAGTGGACAGCTATATCAGCTTCAGCTCGCGGGAATGCAAATGTGAATGATGGAGCTTTCGCAGATTTTGTTCTGGCTCAGGAGTCATACATGCATCCGGATGGCTACAGGACGGGAAGCCACTGGATGGCAAGCCAAATCTCCTTTGCCAAGGTTAAGCTGAGTAACAAGTTCCCACATTCGACGACTAGGCACGGTAAAAGTCAACATGGCCCCAGCGCGAAAGGGGATGATCACATATTTCATATGATGTCATTCTACAAATATCGTCCAAGGGTGCACCTCATTGAGTGTTCCAGCGGATCTCAAACGGTTATTTCCTCGGTTCCCCATACCTTTGAGACGACTAGTTTTATCGCTGTAACACACTACCAAAATTACAGAGTGAATGATCTCAAGAAGGGCTATAATCCACACGCCAAAGGTTTTCGAAATACTATCGGCCTCCTAATTTCGCAATCAACAGAGCCATCACACTATCTAGCTTCTCCTCCGCGCCGGTCAAGCATACATCCACGTTCGTCGAAAAGATTATGTCTAGAGTCAGTCGTGAGTGAGATCAACGACAATGCCAGGAATAGAAATAATATGAGCGACCAAGAGGGCGTGACCATGGGCGAGACATTGAGCAACGACGTGGAAAGTAATAAGACAGAGATTGACTTCATAGCCGACTCGCACACCAAGTCTATTATTAGAGCATCCCCTAAAGAAATCGAGCAATATTCCTTAGGATGGGAGGGCGACGAGACCTTGAATCCGGATCCTACGAAATTAACACCGAGCCAGCTATGTTGTTTGGACAAGAATAACACGAGTTTGATTACGATATCGCTAAGTAAGAGATCGGTGATGGAAAATATGATATCCAGGAAGCGGATCCAATGCCAAGATATACAGGAATCAGCAGTTCCAGGCGCACATCAAGGCCAATATGCGAGCCTGATATACCAACCGATCACCGATTTTAAAGAGTCCTCAACTTTTAGTGCAGACTATGGTCGAATGTGGGAGACTGCTACTTTTCACCCTCTAGGGCCGATGCTCACTTCCACTCCTTCAACGCAACTAATAGACCGTTCACCACTAACGGGATCAGCCTACAAGGCGGAACGAAAGAGTGATTTGGAATACAGAGTAAATGAGTTGAATCGACTACAAGAACTCTTTGGACACCTAAATCCCCTCCCGCCTCTTCCTAATTTTAATAGCACTGAGCCGGATAATCTGGTTGGAACTCCATCAGATTTACTGGATATCACAGATCCTACCCTAGCAATCCTTTCAAATACTGCCGATACCAATGTGGTACAGAACCAAGCTGAAATACCGCCGTCTGTTCAGAGTCTGGAGGCCGGCAACAACACCGTTGGTATGTCTCTTGCACAGCCTGTTGCACCCACGTCATGGTACCAGCAGTTTTTCTGGGATCAATACCAACCTACATCATCTTCAAGCACCCAGTCGGTTCAGAATGATTCCCTGGCAACAATGGGATTCACTGCTCCAACGAACATTTCTGCAGGTACCGCTCTTCAGCTACAGCTGGATCTTCTGGCTTTGAGTCAGAATCAAAACTCAGGACGAAAAATTTTGTCACCATATTCTCCCTCTTCCTCGAAGGGATCTCGTCAATGCCAGCAACAACAATCGCAGCAGGCGAGGAATCCATCCCAGCTTCCAGATTATTTTGGCGACGCACTGAGTCAAGAAGGCTATCAGCGACGGTCGAACATATATGAAGCATCGATGCACAGTGCATCTTCAACGTCACTGGCAACGCCGTCAGATTTATGCGAATATGCAAAAGGAAGTATGCAAGAAAATGAATTTGGAGCCGGCTATAATGATGGAGGGTATTCGTGCACCCAAGCCCTTGCATTGGGGAATCCACAGCCCCTTCGAGCAACAGTTCTCGAATCTAAGACGTACATGTCAACTTCATCCGTGATATCCCTATCGCCATGCCCATCCAATTCAACTCGGGCGCAACTCGATCAAGCACTTCACGAGAATCTTTGTCTTAAGGCATTCATCCGTGAACGATTCGGTCAGTATTCTATGCACCAATAATGTTGTAACCGCTACTGCTCTTTAGATCTTTCGTTTTCATTGTTATCCCCTCTCTTTTAATTTTTATAGGACGAGACGCAGAGAATGATGCCAATGCAGTAGTAGCAATGCAATATCACATGTGACATAACTGTGTAGCCCTTTTTGTTTCTTGATTATTGGTGATGCTACACACAGCAGAGTAGCGATGAATAGCGTTTGAGAATCTTAATTATTGCTTATGAAATTACATCCATGTAGCTCATGCTTGCAAATCGTGACATAATTACTTTCTTCTCTCTTTTTTTAATAAAAGATGATAGTAATACAGATCTACAGATAGGTGCACTACCAGAGTGCAAATGCAAAATACTAAAATAGCTTTGCCAAAATGAAAAATAGAGTTGAGAGTATAGAAATATAGACAAAAGATGAAAATGACGATAATAATGAATTGAAAGAAACAAAAGCCAAGGTATTAGGAGATAATAGTCTTTGTCTTTTTTTCTTCTTTCCCCTTTCTTGCTTGTCAGACTTGTTTTTAGCTTTTGCTGATGCGCAAAGGGTACAGCAACAGCATCTTTAGGTTGTTGTCAATATTGCCTGGTTTCACCGATGATAGTACGGTGAACAAAGGGCTTCTCTTCGTCTTTGTTTTTGGTACGGTTGACAACGTTCTGGAAGGCAATCAATAGCTCGGTAGAGTGATCCTTGGGCAGGTGATTTGAATCACAATGCATCTTGATCTCGACATCAACAAACAGTGGATACTAAAATAAGCATTATAAGAACATTGGTTAGGGAGACCATTCCATACACAATGCAACGGGGTGTTTGATGAAACTTTTAGGCTATGGATCACACAACATACGTCTTGATAGAATTCATCCGCACCAAGGTGGACAATGGTTTCATCATCACAGCAAGTGTCAAGCATGAAGACATGGCCACAGCGGATGTGGATAAAGCTCTTGGAGATACCAGACCAGACTTTGGGATCTTGACGTAAATGTCGTTCAATCGATTCAACAGAACTCTCGATATTGTCCTCGAGAACTGGAATCGAGTCAGAAATGGTAGGCTCTACTAGCTTCTTAGTCAGCCAAGCCTCGAGTAATCTGCAGATCACATTGGTCTTTGCATTTCCGTGGGATGCAATATGTGGAATCTGATATTAAGAAACAGAATAAAAAAAAATAAAAATAAAAAATTAGAAATATAGGATTGGAATGCCATGCGCAATGAAGAACTCTTGGCAATAAAATAAAATAAAATAAATAAAACCACTCGCGTGGTAAAGAAGAAACAAGGAAAAGGGATGCATTATGTCTGTGCTCCAAGTATTTTTTTTAAACTTTTACTTACAGCCAGGAATCCGCCACCACGACCGATACCATCAAAAAAGTATGTAGTACGAATGGTCGAGACACTCTTCCAATAGTCTTCTTCCATGGCAGTCACAAAGACATCGTAACTCTCTCGATCTTCCTTAGTCTTTGTAGGCGATAGGAGATTGCTAGAAAAAGTGAAACCAGTTGAGACAGCCAAGGAGGGTTGGAGTTCGATCGGCGACATGGCCGAGGGAGCAGAGCTTGACTGTCGCATCAGCATCGACAGTGATGAGGAAGAGGGATCATCGTCTTGCTGCTTCTCATGGCGGCTCTGATGTTGGAATCTGGATGAGAAGATAAGATTGTCTTCATCAACATCGTTATCATCTTCGTCATTAGCCCTCATATGGGGTGTGAGAGGAGGTGAGGGGATATTGATGGCAGTGGAAGAAGACCATAATGAGGAGGGAGCTTCCTTGGATCGGGTTGGTTGACGTACTTGAGCCTTGACATCAGTCAACTGTGGTACCGATGAGGTCGAGGTAGATCGAGCGAAGAGACCAGGGCGGACATTTTTGATCTTGCAGCCTGATGAGATTACATGGGGAGCCACAGATAGGAGTGATTGTTCGAGGAACGGTAATGGTGAAGCAGGACGAGAGTCAGAGGAGGGAATGGGATATGTCCAAAGTGGCGTAGTGTGTAAGGTAGCCATTGTTGATTATGTATTAAGAGTGATCGTCCGTTGTGGATGGTAAAAAAATAAAAAAATAAAAATAAAAAATATGAGTAAATATTTATATATTTTTTTTTATATGAATGGGTATGAAGAAGGGCCTTCGGTCAGTGAAACAGGAAAACTGAATTTGGACAAAGCAAATCGTAGCAATGTCTGGTTGTGAATATGAATTGGGTTGGAAGAAAGAGAGTAAAGGGATCGCCATGGTGCAGACAAGAGCTACTATTTATATGATTTTTGGAAACCGGCTCTTCCATTATTGTGAATGGATATACAAGTTTAATTTCCCACGCAGTTACAATAATAATAATTATTGTAAGAGTCCTTTATAATAACATATTATTCTTCTGCAGCGATGCACGGGGCAAGGCACACACGGAAGCATTGACAGCAGCTACAACTTGAAGCATGGTTGCTAGCTCTCTCTTTAGCGTCCTTTTATGTTTCTAACACATGTTTGTTTTTCCATACATCAACAGCATACTAGTGAGGAGAACAGAAAAAGAAAATGATCTTATGTATTCATCCAATCACTATCTTTTATCGTAGATCATCATGACAAAGTATCAAGATGTGAGAGACATGGGGACAGAAGACTGCTGTCTTTGTGTAGCAAACGCGTGGAGACATTCCAAATAGACCAGATACAGATTAGATGAGGGAAGCACAGGCAGCAAAAGATAACATTAAGAGGGCAATAGTATGATGAGGATTGAGCACAGATAGGAGGAGAAGGGAGAGACAGACAGGGATGTATTGGATGAATAGAGTATGGTGAGTGATGATTATGGGCCGAATTTCAGTCATATATGAATGCAGATATGGAGATATAAACTATGTGTGGGAACACAAGCTGAAAAGTTTGGAGAGTTGCCCAGACCGTCTCCTTTGCAATTGATGATGGCTCACGGCTTGAAAGGGAAGAGAAAAGAAAAAGGAGAGCCGTGTGCATGAAGAGGGTGTGTTTAGGCGATATGATCTATTGATGACCGAGATTACTTTTTTTTTTTTCTGATGTCATTTTGGCTTCATTTCCACTCAAAGTTTCAATAATGCCCTGTCACACAACACTAATGAGATATTCGGTTATCTATTCCATAATATTCTATATTCTATTCTATTCAATAGATTGATTGTTCTTTCTTTTTGTGTACACATGGCAAAGTTCAGCTCTTTTTTCGAAACATCCAGAAGGAATATCAAAATGCCGCTCGTCACTAAAAAAGATCTGTATGCAACATCAACCATCAATCTCATACCATTTATATATACATGTGACAGTTTGATATTCGATACTATAAACAGTAGACTATTCCGTCTCTGTTCCTGAACTTTGCCAATGTGGAACGGGCCATAGAACAAGATGGCAACAGAATAACAAGAAAGCAGGACAAGCTGCTCAAGAGAATTGGCATTAAAGTATTATACTTTGCTCCTCTTCTCCCCCTAATATTTCATCCATTGATATGCAAGAGAAAGAGGACCGCGCCGCATGATTATCCTGTCATTTGTGTGTATGATTTATAGTTGCAACAACCTTCATTACAAATAGTTAGTTTGTAATGTAACACCCAAGTAGGCCCAACATCTCTCTCTGTTTCTGTGTTTGAATCCCTTTATTCGGTAGAATTATCCTCCCCTATCCTCCTCCTCTCACACTCACTGAATACACTTTCCCCCCTCCCCCGCATCTCCCTGCCTTCCAATTTTGTTAGTCCCAAAAAGTCGATATGGGTGCATAATAACAAACAAATGAATAGGTTCCTGAAATTATTCCGTCCACTGGCTACTTTTCTCACACGCCTTCGCATGTTTCTCTTGATACAACTCACAACGTTAATTTTAATGTTATTAACTGGTTTTACCTGGTAATGGTAGAGCAGAAGTATTTGTGTTCATAGGTGATAGAAGCATGGTTGAGTTCTTTCTGTCAAGGATGGGCTGAACTGGGCTGAACTGGGTTGGACTGGACTGTTTTTTTTTTTTTTTTTTTTTTTTTTTTAAAAAAAAAGGGTTTCTTGTAAAATGTCGATCCAAAGTTTAGAGTGTGAAGTGTCTCAGTAAATAATAGACAAAGAGGGGACAGAGTTCGGAGAGGTAAAAATGAAGTGTGGATTCTGGTGAAAGAATGAGATCGGAGACAGGATTAGGACTACGTATTTATGGTGTTTAACTCTTTCCTCAGTTAAAGAGAACGATGTTTTTTTTTTTGTACTGGAAACAAACAGAGTCGACGATGGTAATGGGGTAACAATGATTGGGCGATAAAGCAGAATAAATATTCAAAACGAATAAATGGATACATTATGAAAAGACAAAAAATGAAATGTGCACTAGATGTTTTATGGATAAGCTTGAAAAGAAAAAGAAAGTAGCTCAAAGCCCGTATCTTTCCCGAAGACATTGGCTTATCTCTTCTCTTTGTATTTGGAAAATGTTTGATCTCCAAGTGCACTTATCGAACTCAAATAATACACTTTTATCAGCTTTATGTCTTAAATGAACGGCTCCTGTTCGTTGAGTTTTACTTCTTAGGCATTTCAAAGCATAATTCGTCAATCTATCGCGGCCGTTAAATACGTTTCCGTGTATATGTATATACTTTCTGACCGAGTCAAATCCATAATGCTCGGCTTCTGTTGGTGTTGGGCTCGGTATTCCTGTTGAGTCCAGTTTGGGTAGTTTAGTGCTTTCACAAAAGTTCCATTGAACGTGATCAAAGCATCACAGCAAGCAACAATAGCATTCATATCAACACAGAAGCTAAGTTGTAAACACTAGCAATAGTCTAGTAACAATAAAGACATCCTTATCCCAATATCATATATGCCAGCGTTTGCCCCTTTCCACAGACATCTTTTTACATCCTGAGCACGCGACCGGAATACCCTATTTTTTCTCTGTGGTTGGTTTCGGGTAGTTTCGGATATGCATAACTCAAAAGCACAGACACTAAAAAAAGACAGACAGACAGAAACAGACAGACAGAAAGACAGGAACAGCAAACCAATGTATAGAATAATTAACGACACGAGAAACAAACGGAAGCGAGTCAACGAGCAGGCAGAAAGGTAAGCAGTGAAATTGGTGCGGATATGAGTGGGACAAGACGCAGTATTCAGAAAGCAGAAAAAATGTGTCAGTTTCTGCACGAGTATAATACGTACAGTCCTGCACTGACTTCCTCACGAAGTGAATGAGGTAAATGAAATTAGGAAAAGTGTACAGTATAATGCCTGTATACTAATCTCAAATCCACTAGTGTTTTGTTGGCATCCATTTTGCTTGTGTTTTCTGCTTAATCGGTGTGTATGACAAACATTCACACAAAAGCATGCAATAAAGTCCTCCTAGAGCTTTAGGCTGGATGCTATCTTCATATTTCACCCTTGCCATCAATAATAATAAAAATATGCCTTGTGATTGTTGGGAAATCAATAGCATATATGCCATTGGACGTTGGATGGTCTAAGCTTTGACCATAAGTATCACTCTGCGACTGTGGAGAACTTGAAGTCTGTAAACCAAACAAATGCATTGCATGGTTCGTAAACACTCCCCTAACTGGCAGGCTCAACGCTAATTGATGAAAACTTCATGCTTGGCTTAACTGTATTTAATATTGGTGTCATTTTCATATCACTAGCCAATTGAACCGAAACAACATTTATCACAAAGATTAATGTCTTAAATCACAGTTCGCTATGAGGGCCAACCCTTTGAAAGATCCCTGTATTCAATTTACGCATGTACAAAAAAGCTCGGGCTTATAACATAAGCAAAATTGATTAAATACAGATAGGAAGAGAAAATGATTGTATCAAGTACGGGGTCAGATGCCATGACTTAGAGCATCCATGCTGTTAGGAATGGACAAAAACAACGAGATAATGTGGTTACGGATAACTATGACTACTGCTTTGCTACTTTCAAAGTAAGGATTTATCTAGCGGCCCCTTAATTATTTGCTCACTTTTTTTTACGCGACAACCTTTGGGTTATCCCTTCGTCCGTAACAAGGGCAAATTTGCCATTATAAATGGGCTTAAAATCCAGCAATCCATGGGCATTGTCTTGAAAATTTATTTCGATGTCGAAATAAATGACCGAAAACTAAATCGTCATGGAGCTATCCTTCTTTATTTGTGCAAATAAAAAACTCATGAAGACTTTCGCATGACCCAATTTTGACAAAAGATATGCCAAGAAATGTGTCTATCAACAGATTGAACATTTGCCTCCGTCTCACCGTAGTTTTGTATAGTCAAGCTCAAACATCTTTTAATATTCTGTTCTCAGTGCTCATACTCTCTAATTAATAAATTATAAAAATCTAGAGTTTGGCTGAAGTCTCTATGGTGGTTGTTGATTCAGGTCTTCTTTCACTCTTTGTGCTCATTTCCGAATGCGATTTGTTTAGGTGCTTGATTGCAATAGGTCTGCCCACCTTCTCACCCAAAATAAACACTTGCACTCCCGCATTGTAATTCTCCATATATTTGTTCCAATCTATGCCTCCTCGAAGATCACTCTTGAGCTCTGCGGGAGCTCCATCGTCGAGGGCCAATGTATTGGTGGCATCAAAGAACCATTGGTACAGACCAAAGGCTTTGAAGATCGTGGGTACAGCTACTGCTTTGGAGATAAGGGCTTTAATCCTCTCATGACCCTTGTGTTGGGCTAAAATTCGAAGCTGCTCTCCAAAGCGGGAATTAAACCGATGTTTGAATTCTGAAGGAGAGTAAAGTTCGAATCGGATGTCATCTGAGACTCGCCGAAGTGGTGGATCAGCTGCGCGCCAGTATGCAACCATATTTGTACCAAAGGTACGCCAGGTGAGGGGGCTAATGCAGCTGGTGCCAACTTGGTATATGGGCGGTTCTGTGAGTGTGCGATCAGCAGTTGTGGCAGAGAGTAAAGCCGTTTTAGCCACAATATCGACAGGAATTAGATCTGTTATGACGGACTATAGGGTTGCAGTGAAACACTCATTAGCATTCTATATCCTTGACTTTGATGATTACTACGTTTCAATGCTTTTTTGCCATCTGCTGCTTATTTACCTCACAACCGATCCATTCTTGAACTTGGCCGAGGGCACAAGATATTATCACTTTGTTGCTTGCATTGGCACCTTCCACCCACCCAGGGACTGGTTCCCGATGAGTAGCACCGACACCGGAAGGACGGACGATGACAATAGGGAGAGCCATATCCTTGTATCGCTTTTTAATTAAATGTTCTGTTAAGGATTTGGCGAATGTGTATGTATTAGGGTAGGTCTTGAGGACAACAGATTTCTCATAGTGTTTTATCTCATCGTAGGACATCTTGGTGGCCAACATCTCATAAATGGCTTCTGGATCATCGCCGAGGGGGTGCGGATAGATGGTTTCATTAACGTGTTGGTCAACCATGGGTGAGTTGACAAAAATAGTCGAGATATGAACGATGGCAGCCAAATTTTTGCAGCCCTTGGCTACATCGAATATGCGGAAAGGGCCATTTGTATTCATCTGAAAAAATTAAAAAATAAAAAAAGTGTTATTTGCTGCGTGTTTTTGATCATTGATACCGTGTTTTGTATATTTTACCTCAAGAGCAATGTCCAATGGATCGGACCAACCGACAGAGGCAGCACTGTTGATGAAAACTGTGGCATCTTCTTGGACCATGGCCATATCCTTGTCTGAGAGGCCCAGGTGATTGACAGAAATATCTCCCTGCACAGGAATGATCTTGTTGACAACCATTTCTTGAAATTCTTGACCACTTGAGAATTGTGACTTTAAAGTATCAAAGATACTGTTGCTAAATAGATTCTCAATACGACCCTGCAATGTTTTATCCGCCGAAACCCTAACCAGCAAGTAAATCCTGATATTTCCATAGAATTTTATTAATACTTGTTTACAGTCGAAAGTCTGATGTACCTGAAAACAATAATAATAAAAATGTTCAAAAATACTTACTTTGTGATCTGAGGGAAAGAACGCAATAACTTCTCCAAGATGGTCTTCCCAACAAATCCCGTGGCGCCTGTCAAGAAGACAACAGAGTTTTTATTGTAAAACTCCATGCCTTTCGCAGGCCCATACTTGAGTTGTGGACGTGACATTTTCTTTTTCTTTTTCTTTTTATAACAAGGAGGGATGGAGGAGTTTTTGTTTACTTTGATGGCTTATCGATAGAATGGGAAGAAGTGATGACCAAGTATATATGAGTGCTGCTTTTGATGCGCTTTGATGAGTGAAAAATGAGGGGATTCACCCCCCTTTTATTGACTTTCTGTCCATAGTGTACATGACACAAACACAAGCATGCAGTACGCCATAGCCCGATAGGCGTTGGGACATCCGGAACAGGTTGGGCCGTTTCAGAGATCTCAACTATAAGTATTCAGTTCAGGAACAACTGCAGCTGTAGAGTCCGTCCAAAAACCGTAAGCAAAAGTATAGTTTATTTTTTCAGACATGTTCAAAAAAGTATATATATATATCGCCAATTTCATTTGGTCATGATACCTTATATTTTTAATGTAAAAACGATGATTGAATTGTTCTGGTGGCATTTCACTGCGTGACGGACTTGCAACAATACTCGCAACAAGCGAGCCAATTGGCTGCCAATACACTCGAAAGTATTCAAAAAATATAAGGTATCATGACCAAATGAAACGGGCTATAACTGTGCTTTGGTGCACAACACGTACAGATTCAAAATTAGTAACTCAGATCTTTGTAGACATTCTTTTTTTGGTATGCTCTTTCAGGTCTCAGAATCAAAGCTGGACAACCAACTCAGACAAACAACGACTAATAGCATGGGCAGCTTACTTTTCAAGTCCAACAGAAGACATCAGTGGGGGGATCAACTGCGCGTTTACCCAGGAGGTATGAAATTTAATAACAAGAGAGAAATAGATGTACAAGATTATACGGCGTGGTTACGGATTTGCTGCAAATGTCTGCTAAGTGAAGTTGTTAGGAAGTTACGTGATATATCGCGAGTTTTCGCAACCAAATTTACATCAAGGATTTACATCAGCTGAGAATGAACTTAAATGGGCTTGATGTGTTTTCGAAAAAATGGCATTTTCGCCATTATTAATACACAGAACGATTTTTCCATGTATTTCTAACACTGTGACTGATTTTTAAATAAATACTTCGCCCTGTAAAATAAAAAAATCGCCAACATGTCAAACGTCCACTTTGCAACCATTCTCTCAAACCTCGCCAACCTCCAGCAGTTCCTTGACGAAGACGAGAATGACAATTACGAGGGCATTGTCGACTTTCAGGTACCTCGGCTCCATAATAATCGTATCGATTTGGATGCTCTTTCTGATGCAGATTTTCGTATGATATTCAGATTTTCCAAAGGACAAATGCGAGAAATAATTACTCACCTTCGGTTTCCTGAGTACTTTCAAACTATTCAACGCGACATTGTTGATGCTTTTGAAGGGTTAGCTATCTTGCTGTATCGACTTGCATACCCTTGTCGACTCTACACCGCAATGCAAGTCTTCGGTCGCTCTATTCCGGCCCTTAGTAGAATATTTAACCTTGTTGTTCGGTTTGTAACCATCCGATGGGCAAGACTCCTTACCTTCGACCCTATCCGACTCACCCCCGCTGTGCTTTCCGGGTTTGCAAGTAAAATATTTAGTGCTGGCGCTCCATTAGATTGTTGTTTTGCTTTCGTTGATGGTACATTACGCGCCTCTGCTCGCCCAAGTTTTGGCCAGCGTTCAATTTACAATGGCCACTATCACAGCCATGGTTTCAAGTATCAATCCGTCCTGAATCCCGACGGAATAATCGTTGACTTGCGAGGCCCTTTTGATGGAAGGACTCATGATCTGACCATAATGCGGACATCTGGTTTACAGGAGGTTTTAGAGGAACATGCTTGGACAGAAGACAGGGAACCTCTCGCTATTTATGGAGACCCAGCTTATATGCTTACACAACACGTACTGATACCATATAGAACAGCTCCTGTTCCATTAACTCCACTGCAACAGGCTTTCAATAGCTCCATGTCCAAACATCGAATAGCTGTCGAATGGGGATTTGGTAAAGTTGCGGGATTATTCGCCTTTATTGATTTCAAAAAAAACCTCAAAGTGTTGCTTTCCCCTGTTGCCCGATACTATCAATGTGCAGTGGTCTTCACAAATATCCATACATGCTACTATGGATCAAACACATCATCCCATTTTGAAGTAGATCCCCCTGCAATTGATGAATATATTCGGCCTGATCTATACGATGAGGTTCCTTATCACGAATAAAATTTTTTTTATTTCTTTGCTAATAGTTCATGGAGTGCTGCACAACTACTCTGCACAGCCCTCAATATCTCTTTGATGTCGGCACGATGTTCTGCTTCAGCGGCTTTTGAATACTCCAAATATTCTTTTGTTTCAATAACTAGCTTGCTCAGCTCGCTATTATCCCTTGTGCGTCTCATTTTCCGTTGTCGACTTATGTCCGTCGAAGATGAGGTTTCGGAAGAATCTGAAGAACGTTTTCGTGCGGCTCGCGACATAGCAGCTTCTCGCAAAGCCTCACCATCTCTGTTGTTCTGCAGATATGCTTCATGAACACGCTTACGATTCTCTAGATTGTTTGTTCTTTGTTGGTGAGCTTCCTGCTCCAGCTCCAGCTCATATGCCAGGTTGATTAAATGACGGCGCTCGTCCTCTTCTCCAATAATACCAGTCGCCGCAGCTTTTTCTCTTAAATATTTTTTATGATCCTGTGCCATCGCTTCCCATGCGCTTCTAGCATTGCGTACTGTAACGCCGCTGTAAATAGGCGGGCCAATGCGGAGGGGAGATAAATCTGTCTGTTGAACTCGATCGACAACACTCTGCCACCGTTGATTAACTGTCCTATCATCCTTAGCAAACGGAGGATTGCTGATAATTGCCTGAAGAAGAACTTTTTCGTGTAGCGGCTGCATGAACAATCGGCACGGCTTTTTTCGTGACTTAGAAGGTGATAAAGGTGATTCAGAATCTGATCCCGCTTCCTCTATATCACCCACAGAATTCGCTTGGAGCGTGTCCTCAATCGATAAATCCTCAAAGGAAGCCTCGTTGTACAACTCATCATGTGTTGTGTAAGTGTTCATTGTAGAAACTTTCTGATATGTGCTAAAGTTTTCGGTGAAAGGAAGAGCAGAGAGTAAAGCTTCGTGAACACCACATGCCATCTTTTTAAATGACTTCAGGTTTGAGCATTGATGACTAATAGAGCAGAGGTCTCTTGATGGCATTGAATTCTAGTCTGATAGAACGCGTCTTTTTTTGGGAAAAATATTTAATTGGCAATTTTATATAGTTTTTTGGCTAAATTAAGCAATTCTGGGCTTGATGTAAAAGTACAGGAAATACGGATCTTGATGTGGTTTACATTACAAATTTACGACAAGCTGGTTTTTAAAAAATAGAGTTGTGTTTTAAGGTTTTTTTTTCACTTCCCGATGTAAATTTTGATGTAAAAACGCAGTTGCGAAAACTCGCTAATATGTTTCAATCTTACTGATGTTTCAAAGGGTCTCGTCAACCTCATATGTGTTCACCAAGATGGTAAAACCTCATAGTATTACTGAAATAGGCCAAAAGGAAAGGTATACAGGTATCGGCATATCTAGATGCATGGCATGTGCCCAGCAAAATGCTTGATATTCCATACGCCTTCGTTTTCTTTAGTTCTTTTTTTTTTTTTTTTTTTTTTTTTTTTTTTCAGCTATATATATATTTATATATATATATATAATAAAGATTAAATCTGCTATTTACGTATCCTCTTCTTCATTATTTCCATCATCATTCAGTACTCTTTATCATTAATTCCTTTATCAATCTGTAGTACAGTCGAAAGTGGTTTTTACGGCCAATTTCAATATGTTTTTTGGCCGTAAAAACCACTTTCGACTGTATTTAAATCACTTTGGCTTCTTTGCAAAACAGCATCCCTCTTTTCACTTTTTGATGCTATTTTGCAGGTGAGTGACTTTTCTTATTTTTTGTAGTTTTACTAAGTCAAGCTCGTTCTTATCAGTATTTATTAAAGATCCCTCTTTTCACTTTTTGATGCTATTTTGCAGCATTCTCTAGGACTATCACTGTTGATTTATGATCCTTTAGTGATCTATTTATCAGATTATTCTCTTTTGGCACTTTGTCCACTGATGAAATTATCTTTTGGCACTTCGTCCAACTTTTTATCATTATTTTTGTTCATTTTCTGTCAATCTTTGGGATCATTGCCAGATCGTTCCACGTCAAATGAACTGAACATCCACCTACAATATCATAACTCTAACTCGCTCTCTTACATTTTTACTCAGACCATCTCTCATAAATAGTTTACACTTTCACTCGAATCATATATCTCATACTTTTTACATTTTTACATGGAGAACCACTCCGTAACAAAAGTTTATTCGACTCATTCGACAAGAAGTCAAGCTTTGAAGGAGACTCAAGCCTCATCTTCTTCATCTCCAGCCATCCTAGCAAGAGGCAGAAGAAAGCAAGGAGGTGAAGCGAGTTCCTCATCCACCACTATAAAAAAAATCAAGACAGAGAAAAACGAAACCTTTCCTTTTGCCCCTAAGGAAGACCAAAAGGCTCGGCAAGAAGATCCGTATGAACAAGAATGGGAACAAGAATGGGAACAAGAATGGGAAAGACTTGGCGACTTGAATCCGTACGAGGTTGAGAGGGCATTTGCATCATTGGAGAAATATGTGGCAGGGAGATAAGCACTCTCTGCATTACAGATGGGAGGCTAAAAAAGGTCAGGCGCCAATGTGGATACCAAGAACGCATGACAGGCAGGACAAGACGGTAACCCGAATGTATGTTGTTCATTCTAAAGACCGTGAGCTTTTCTCTCTCAGAATCTTGCTTTTGCACAAAAAGGGAGCAAAAAGCTTTGAGCGTCTCCGCAAAGTGGATGATAGGCTCTTTGACACCTTTAGGGAAGCTGCTGTGGCGCTAGGTTATATGCAAGACGACAGCGAATGGCGAGACTGCCTTCGAGAAGCATGCCGGTTTCAATTCCCTAAAAGACTGCGTCATCTTTTCTCGATGCTCCTTTACCATTGCAACATTTCTCAACCTTGTGGTCTATGGGATGAATTTGCTTCGGCCCGTTTCCATGCCGCTTTATGTAATATAATGACAAAGCGAGCCGATGCTGAAACTCTTTTGTTTGAAGAACAACAAGATGTCAATAAAAAAAAGACTTTAATATTTAATATCTGATAAATAAAAAACCCCAACGAGGGTAAATGAGCCTCTCGAGGCAAAGCCTAGACTGGAGCGACCGTGAGCGAAGCCACGGGTCGCCCGTCTAGTACACACTAAAATGGTGCTTCAATGCTTAGCATAACTAGCATTCAAGGCAAAAAAAGTCAAAAAAATCGCGCTTAGAAGCGACGCAGACTATCCGACATCCAGGATTTATGATTGAAAGTCGCATGGCACCGTCGATATCCAAGGATAAGACCCGTGATGTCCGTAAAGAAGCGTCCACAAGGATGGACAAAAGAGAGGGAACATTAAGTGCATCAGTAGCGTTCATAGGCAAAGCTCTGACCATGATAGCATCGGCCCTTCCTGCACGACTGAAAACCCAGGAGCTCACTCAGCTGAAAAACGAAGCACCTCGCCACAGACATTCAAGAGCGGCATCCGTTTCAGTGAGAGAGAATCTAAAAAGGATCTCTATTGGTGAAAATCAGCTTAGGAGAATGGAACAGTCACACGTCAAACAGAGGCTGGGAGATGGTCCATGTGAACCATTACTACTCAGAAGCGACAGCAACCAACACATCAGCTAGGCAGAAGTGACGGTAGTCTAGAATGCAATCAGACTGCCTCAATGACAAGATAAATGACTTCACATGACTGCAACAACACGACTACAATCGCATATGACATCACAATTAATGAAGCATGCGAGAGTATTTCCTTCAAACAGGGTTCTACCATTAGAATGGCCTCCGCTCTTTCAGTCAACCTAAAATGTTCACGTAAAAAGAAATGAAACTAATATTTCAAAAAAGGGAACAAACTTTAAATTTTTCCAAGTCGCTCACTGAAGGAATGGCTCCCTTTTTTATACTGTAGCTTGCTTCATGATTAATCATTCTTGACTAATATTATAGAATTGGATACTCTGACTCAATACTATCTGTCAGCATCAAATTTGTATTAGCTGAGATACCAACAAAAGAATAGAGTAAAAAAAATAATGTTCCTCCTTGACAATAATTTTTTTTTTTTTTTTTTTTTGCAAACAAGAGTGCATTTAATTGCCTAAAGTAGTCTACGCGATCAGAACAATAGCTCACAAAAGGCGGCCATTAACCGAGCTGTAGTGGAGGCCGTACTTCATCCTCATCTTGATCATCCATATCGTCTTCACTCAGATATCTGCTATGATCAAAAAGTATTTCATGCTCTTGTTGATGTGTATGCTGCTGTAACCGCTGTTGTTGCGGATAATTCTCTCTCAACTCGATTCTGTCTCTGAAAGATCCAATGGAGCTTGCAAAAGGCATGTCGCTCGCGCTTGAACTACGTCCAGGCCGACTGATGGCCGCCTTGAATGTATATTGGCCTACATTGGGTTTACCATACCCAGAGGAAGACGTGTTTAAGGGCGATGAGTACCCATGATGACCAGAGCTCGCTCGAAAATCTCCTTGGCTCCTTGAATCCGTATGTTTATTTCCATGGCTATTCATGGCCTCACGTTGATGACGTTGAGACTGTGGCCGGTATCCTCTATTGCCAGATGAAGAAGAGGACCACCACTGTCTCGAAGTCCAGTCAGAATCTGGCTCGCCTCTAAAGTTTCGGCCAAAGAACTCTCCTGGCACTTCATCTTCATCTACCTCTTCGTCTAAAGCTTCAGTCCTGGTAATGTATTTGAGTAAATCCTTGATGGTAATCAGCCCTACGAGCTTCCCTTGGTGCTCAATGAGGATCACCCGTGGTCCCATCTTTTTAAAAAACTCGGCAACGGTCTCTAATGGAAGTTTCGGGTGTACTGCGATGGGCGTCTGATCAATGAATGGTCCAAAATCCACGTAATTCGTTTCACTCTCACTTCTCTCTCCCGCACTCAGTGAATTACTACCAATATCCCCTTCTCCAAAAGGACTTCGAGTCCTCATCGAGGGAGAAGCATCTTGATCGAGGCCGCCCATCGCGCCGACAGTATTCTGGTCCATATGCTGTCGAGACTCCATGCTTCCGGGTCGAAAAAAGCAATGGGCCAACGGAGAAACATTCCTAGCACGCTTGGCTTTATCAATCACGTATCGTAGCTCCGAACGTCCAATATATCCAATAAGGACACGTGAGCTCGAATCTTCCACGACAGGGAAGCCCTGATAATTAGTATCCGCCAACAGCCTCTCAACCCTGTCTAGTCGTGTGCCCGAGGCTGGGAGAACTGTAACATTCTTCTGCATGACCTGGGAGACTGCAATCCCAAAACTGTGCTCCTCCTTGTCAAGAAAGGGATATCCGTTCAATCGAATGTATCGATCCGCGATACCTCCACGCCCAAAATAATCGCCAACAGCTTTGGTCACCATGAGTGTAATCATTGTCGGCAATATATAGTTTAGTGCTCCAGTTAGCTCGAACATAATGATGACTACACACACGGTCAGGCGCATAACCCCTCCCAGAGCAGCAGCAGCTCCCAAGAAAGCATACGTTCCTGGGGTAATGCACGGAACGTCGGGTTTGCAGCTCGAGAAAAGCATGAAGCCAGGGTAGGCAGCTTGTGCTGCTCTGACGATCAATCCTAACATGCGGCCGAATAAAGCGCCAATCGCCATGGATGGAACAAAGATTCCTGCAGGGACTTTTGCTCCATAAGTGATGGTGCATGTGGCGACGCGCATGATAAGTGCCATGAACAACAGTGCTACCATCCTCCATGTGTTTTCTGGCTTGCAAAGTCCCATGTAGTCTTCTGATCCTTCACATTCTCGAAACAAAATGTTCATGGACTCAGCCATGTCAATCTTCATAAAAATATTCCAGTAGGCCAAAGTGCATGTTAAAAATGCAAGGGTTGCTGCTTCAATGACGCCATAGTCACCCAGATACTTTTTCCTGACATGTTGTACTTTAAGGTTATATTTAATGATCATTGCTCCGTACAAGCCCTGGATGAACAGTAAAAAAAAGGGCGAAGAAATAAAATTTAGCAGCTTTCGTGGAAATTCTTTACACTTGTTAAGGTTCCAAACTTGTCATTTTTTTCATACGCAGTCATGATACTCACTCCAAAGATACCAAGAAGTATAAAAAAAATGATCTCAAAAAAATGCCAGTCGCGATCATAAGAGACCTGAAACATCACAAGCTTGCCTGTACGGTATGGATTCATGGTCTGGAGAGTTACAGTCCCAACTAAAGCACAAAAGAAGCTCCTCCACATTGTCTTTGCTGGAAAATGGTTGCTCATTTCCTATTTATGATATAGATGAACATATTTTCTCATAAATTTATACAATGACAATCATTGCCGATATTACCAGCTGATTTTTTTCTTTTTTTTTTTTTTTTTTTTTTTTTTCTTTTTTAAAAAAAAAAATAATAATAAAAAAAAAAAAAAAAAAAAATGTATGATCATCGCAACTTGCGTTTACCTCAAACGAAAAAAGAACACCACCAATTGGAGCTCCAAAAGCAACAGCAACCCCTGCCGCCGCAGAAGCAGAAATGATCTCCCTTGATTTCGCCCGACTCCTTTGATATTTTGGGAACAATCTTGAGATAACATGTCCTGCACAACAGGCAATATGAATGGAAGGTCCCTCCTTGCCAATACTCAAATTTGCAGCGACAGACATGGCAAGTCCTAAACTTTTGATCACCAAGGTCCAGCCCCCAAGATATCCCTTCATGATGAACCCAGCTAAGAAGCAAAGATAAACCTCATTAGTATAAAAGAAAAAGGAAAAAAAAAAAAAAAAAAAAAAATCCATGCTTAGTGCCATTCATCATTTTCTGACAATAACAATAAATGCATTTACCTAAAATACATTTAATTTCTGAAATGCCTGAACCTGCGGCATATCGCGCGTAACGCCTTACGAAAAAGGCAGCTAGTGTTGCAAATGCCGTCTGAAATGTGGATACAGGGATATTGAGTAATTAATATCTCTCATATTCCATGGTATTTGACAACGGATAAAACAAAGTCATATATATACATATAGAAACTCACCGCGAATACTAAATAAAATGCATAGTTGATAATTGCAAATCTGCTCCATGCACTCCATTCAGGGCAGTATCCATCTTAGAATGATCCGTTAGAGGAAAAGTAACAAAAAATAAAATTAGTAAATAGTGAAATGTTTGAGACGCATGCGTCAATTTATCCTTTTAGTTTTTACCTTCGGATTCAACACCCCAGCAACAAAACTTCTGGTTCAACCACCACGCGTATGAACAATGACCAAGCTTAATATCTGAGAGCCACTGAGTGCAGATAGCAATAAACGCTGCATTGAGTCCTATTACAACTCCTTTTTTTATTTTGTTTGGGAGCAAGGATATTTACACAGAGATCATGCCGTTGTAAGTTGCCATGTAATACCTTTTTTATTTTATTTTATTTCCTTTGCGTAAAAAAAAAAGGCCATACCAACTAGCGAGACCACAAGCCATGCTTGCCCTGCTTCATATAATGCATATAGATATGATGTCCATGATCTGTTCGCCTCTGATGCTTTTGTTGTTTGTCGATACCGTTCTCGAACTGCATCTTGAACCCAGTCTTCCAAGTGCCAGGAAAGAGAACAGACATAAAAAAAATTTGATCAGTGCGTTGTGCACGTAAAGGAGAAAAAAGTCATTCCTTAAAGATTTCATTTCTCTCTTTAGCAATCATGAATATGGACTCGCTTACCTATGGTAGTGAAATCTTCGTATTGTTTTACTTCCTGGAGTGCTTTTTCGTACCCAGTTGGCTCATTGAATAAATTCGGATTTAAAGGTGCTGGGAATCTGTCAAGGAAACTCTGGAAACTAATTTGTTTGTATTATTCCATGCAAAATGAGATGAGTAATAAGCGACTGCTACTCAAACGGATGCTGAGCAAACAATGTTTGAAAGATGGAATAAGTTTATTCGATTCAAATTGGCATTCAGAGTGTCGCACCTGTGGAGTCCTAAAAGCCCTTCCTGTGAGGTTTGTGATTGCATTGCGAATTAATGGACAATGGTCGGGTTTTGAAGTTATTAAAGATTGTATTACATATACATAAATATCTGTACAGGAGGCGGGTGAAGACTTTGGAGGGTCACACCATGTGCCAAGGAACATTAAGTGCTTTATGAAAGGGAGAAGTATGAACGTTTCCAAAAGACGTTTTGGACGCGTGGTCGTGCAGGTAACGGTCAGAAAAAGTGGAAGGCGGCTGTCACACTTTTTTTATTTACTTTATTTGTTGTTGGTCTGAGCATTCGCCCAAAATACTTAACTCCCTGCAAATGCGCTCCAAAATATATTGCATTTCTGCAGAGTTATCTTCAGACCACATCCACAACTCAACAACCTGCTTATCTTCCGATATCTCGCCTACAGTCCCTTCTATCCTGTACTCACCCTACAGCCGATATAACAAAAAACTAAATAGTCAATGGATGAAAAATAATCCTTGGCTTGCAAACATGATTATTCAAAGTAAACTCTATTCTTCCTCACCCTTGAAGAGCTTAGCGATACCCTCATACCCACATTGATCCCTTCTGTTACGGGAACTTTGAGGATCTGACGAAGAGGCGTTGTCATCATGTTAATTATATACTCTGTCCCTTGCTCTCTAGTTCCATCACCAGGAGACCATAGAATTGTACACTATTGTCCGTGAATTTCAGGAAACGCAAAATATGACCAGCTGAATTAATGCTTGTAGGCTAACTAAAATTAGCATATCATTCAAAGCTATTTTGAGGGCAGCAACTCTTGCCTGATCAATCAAGTATACGCAACACTCATGTTTTTTGGATAATCTTCTGCCCGTTCCCGGGCTCTTAAGGCCGGTCTCGACCTGTATGATCCATGGCTCAAAAGCATCCAGATTGAGTTCAAATGTATCTATACATTTCATCCCCGGTAAAAGGACATCTAATTCGTGGACTCCTGCGACTTCCTTATCATCGATCCGCTTGTATATCGAACTTTGCATCTTCCTTGTCTCCTTATTTCCTCTACAAGAAAAATGGATAAAAAGAGTACGATTAGTTATTTAGTGAAGTGGTAACCAATCTTTTATATGTATACATTTACCTTTTTATAGACGTAATAACGCTGCTACATAAAGTCGCGTGCGAGCCAACAGAACGCTCAAATTTGTTTTCTTCATAGTTATCTTTTCCAATTGTAAGTACGCCAGTCACTGCTGGAATAGGAATCTGGCTATTATTTGCTGTGGTAAGTATGAGAAGGGGCTTGTCCGTGTCATCACTGCGCTCAATCCTTGATGCTATGGATGAAAGCCAAGAGAACCTGTTATCAAAGAATGGTCCCGCCAAAAAAAAACTGATTAAGTATTGTAATCAAAAAGCTTACTTATAGTGAGACTGCTGACCAGGAATAGCTCCATCATATTATTCATATTCTGTGTCATTTCCATGCTTTGTTTAAGTTGGTTGGCCATTGACTAACGTTGGAGCGTCTCCAATAAATTAGATGAGATAAAAGTTGTATTGCTATATTCTTTCATCTTTTTCCTCAAGAAGCGTGCGCGTCCTCTGGCTAATATGCTTACCTGGTAAGCACTCCCTAATGAATTTTGCATCCCCTGAACGCTTTTCGCAAGAAGACTCACTGTTGTAGACCTATTAATATGTAGTGTAGTAAAGCTCAAAGCTGAGTTGTCTACGACGCATAAAAGTTGAAGTCTCTAATGCCAATCAGCACGCTATAGAACAATTACATCTCTGAAGGGATGCCAGGGGTTTGGCTCACTTCTGCAGCCGTCCGTGCGGTACGTGGGTTTTGTGGCAACGTTTGTTCTGTGGACTCCATTGCTTGCCAAGTCTATAATGTTGAGCTTGTGCGAGAGGCATTCTTCATTGCATGAACAAACTAAAACAAGGGGAAAACAAAGATCGCAGTCACTTCATTAATGGAGATGTGGGCGACCTTACTATCCCTCTTTCTTCTTGGACAATATTGGACATCATGAGCGCCTTCCCGGCATCAACCATTAAGGCAGGACATCCTATGTATCAATAGTTCTCATTAGATTCACCACATCAAGCCTTGATTTCCAGTTGTTTCTAACGGTTGACTATGTATTGTTATGGAATCTTTTTGACCTGGGCTCTTATAGGACATTGCAGAGTCCGTTGGCATCCCAAATTTAAAGGATGATGTGGCTAATTCACTTGCCCAGGATGTTGAATACCGCATTCACGAAATTGTACAGGAGGCCATGAAGTTTATGCGTCATGGTAAACGTACCAAACTCACAGTCGACGATATCAACAATGCGCTTCGTGTGCGTAACGTTGAGGTAAACAAATCGCTTCCTTTTTTTTATAGTCTATACTTGTTCTAAATGGATTGCCATCAATTACTATGATTAATATTCCGTTGGGGGGGATTCATTTGGATTGATTAGCCGCTCTATGGATTTAGTTCTGCTGACCCTATGCGATTCAGAAGGACAACTGTAGGGACAGGCGCAACTGGAACAAGTGATGTCTATTATGTGGAAGACGAGGAGCTTGACTTTGAGACTATCCTAAGCACACCACTGCCTAAAGTACCATTAGAGGTCACCTATACTGGTATATGTTCAACAACTTTCAACGATCTGAACGTTGTTTTTTTCAGCTATGGCACTGATGTAGTAGCACCTTTCTGAAGGACCAAAAAAAAAAAAAAAAAAAAAAAAGCGTGAACTAATCCGTAGTGAAAACTTATTGCCTTAGCGCATTGGCTTGCAATTGAGGGCGTACAGCCAGCTATTCCGCAAAACCCAACACCAGTAGACGCCAAGACTGATCTTTTAAACAAGCGAATCAAGCTTGACCCCACGGCACAACCTGTCATTCCTGGAATTAAATCAAATACCCATAACAACGCTAATACCAACGGCATTAATCCAAGCAATGGGAATCTTAACAATACTAGCAACGGAGACGGCGCTGAAATCAAACCACTTGTTAAACACGTGCTGTCAAAGGAGCTTCAAATGTACTATGAGAGAATCACAAGTGCTGTCCTGAGCCATGATGAGGTTTTGAGAGCAACTGGGATCAGTAGTTTGCAGAATGATCCAGGACTTCATCAATTGCTACCTTACTTTGTACAACTTGTAGCGGAAAAGGTAGAAAAAAGGACATTGATATGTCACATTGGGCTTGATCTGAATATATTGACAGCATTTAATCCAAGTCTTTGTCCTAACAATGAAATGTGATTGTAGGTCACTCAAAATACTAGGAATCTACCGGTACTCGTAGCAATGATGGCGATGGTTCGCGCTCTGCTTGACAATGATAACCTTTTTATTGAACCATATGTATGTTACTTGTTTCCCCCAGTTTAAATTTTGATCTCATTCCTATTGACCTGTCGAATTAACTCTCTCTCTCTCTTTTTTTTTTTTTTTTTTTTTTTTTTAAAAAAAAAAAAATCAAATATTATGTTTTAGCTGCACCAACTTATGCCCACCATTTTGACTTGTGTTGTCGGCAAACGATTGGGCGAGTCACCGGCGCAGGAGGATCATTGGTCTTTACGATCCACAGCTACAGATATCATTATATTAATATGCAACAAATATGGCAACTCTTATCATACTCTACAACCTCGCGTCACCCGGACTTTACTGCGAGCATTCTTAGACCCAGAAAAGCCTCTGACAACACACTATGGAGCAATTTTAGGGCTTTCGCGTATGGGTAATGAGGTTTTCAAGACTTTGGTAGTACCGAACTTGAAGACATACTCGAGTGTCATCGAGCCTGATTCTAACAGATCAGCCTTGGACCAGGATGATGACGAGTTTATGGAAGTTGAAAATGACCATTCAGAGAAGCCCATCAATCCAATTCGAAGGAATGAAGTCGCACATTGTTTGGAAGCACTTATGGTAAGGGCATTGGAGGACTAACTATTACTATAGTCATTCACATCGTTCTGTCTATGCGCGACATTTATCCTGCTACTACCGTATCATGCCTGATATATTTTTTTTATTTTTTATTTTTTTATAGACTGGGCTACGTGCACTAATCAAGAATGAGACAGCGAAGGCTGGTATAGTAACAAAGCCCGAGCAATCGATCGAGGATGTTCGTGAGCCACTTTCCCAGGCTATCGGACCGGTCCTGGCAAAGACTGTTCTTCGTGATCCAGGAATTGAGCAACAGATCCCAGGAATTATTGCAGTCATAGAGTGCTGTTCATAAAATAAAGCATTCGATTGTAGTATATGAGTGTACAGATTTTAGTGTTTCAGGACTAATATGACATACTATCATTAATACTGGAGTTGAGTACTAAAGTTGGCAATATTTATATATAAACATTTTTCGGAATACAACTTCCTATTTTGAAAGATATTTTCAGTTGCTATATCGACACTAGGAGTTTCGGCGCGTTTGGGGTTGAATCTAGTTTCTATGGTTCCTGAGAACGCGTATATGCGTACATGGGGCGCTTCGGTACTTTGAGAGTATTGCAGAAAAGGATCCCGTAAACGCATGTTAGTACCAGTTTCTCCCTCGCCTTAAGTGCCTTCTGTTGAAAGCACAAACAAAACTGAAGAGATACTAGACATTCATAAACAAAGATGCAAGTAATACTAACACAAAACTGACCTGCACAAATCCTATGGAAAGTGATACTTAAATCTTGTTTTCATGATACTAAAATATGCAAAATGAAATTGAATATTTTATTGTCCTCTTTGAAAAAGCAGACCTGAGATGATATTACATATTGACGTTAGCCGGCACGCCTTCCTTGCCCTTGCAATGCACAGAAGGCTTGCCATTTCTAGGAATGCGTTAGTATCAGTGCATACTTGGTTATTTATGGAAAGATAGGAAAAGGCCTCATCTATTATATGTATAATATCATCTTGTAAAACATTGACTATTATAAACCGAAAACTAAAAGAGAGAAGGAGTAACCATAAAAAAACCAAAGATTGTTGCATTTTCTTGCCTTGAGGCCTTTTAAGTGCATTATACTGTCCCAGGCTATTGAACAGCCAAGATATTCAAATCACATAAATGCCAAAGAGAAGAGCTCTTTCTCCGAAAAGGGACAAGGAAAGCAACAGCTACAGTAGCAGTAACGACGGAATAGTTCACAATGACTTTCAATACAGCACCAAAAGAGGGTCAGTTTAAGGGCAAAAGCATGCATGTTTGCTACTCCGTCGTGGACATCGCTGTTCCTATGCTCCATTCCACAGCTGTTGTTCTATTGTCTAGAACTTAATCTTTTTATTTTCAGAGCCAGATAGCTACATGATAATATAAACAATAGAAACAAATTATCCATCCGTCTTTCTTTCATTCTATCCTTTCTTTTGGAGTCTAATCCGGTTAACTTGCGTATTCGTTCACACACAATAGCCCTTTCTCATTGCCTTCTGCAGTCCCCCAAGGAAAAAAAGAAGCAAAGAAAAAACAAATAGGAAATGGCCTTCATGAAAGAGCAATCGCTTGGCTTATGAATAAACACACAAAAAAATGCTACAAATCTCTTGTCCTGTCATCAAGGCCAAGAAGGCCAAACTCTCCGTATATCCTTCTTCTATTTAGGCCCATTACAGCCAGGCTTCCAAAGCATAAGAACATGATATTCATCCTACCTTCACAGCGACAGTTTGGATGGCTGTTCCTAGCATTCTTGAAAAAACACTACTATCATAGCAGAAGATCTTAAGAAACCATCCAAATCATTTACATTCCTTGCTACAAGATATGCATCATTGGAGTTATGAAAGTTACCCTTTATTATTCCCCACGTTGGGATTATAATCATTACATCCTTACTAATAAAAGGTAAAGTGATGATGTTAACTGGTTCTGAAGAAATAAAGCTGTACGAGAATATTGTGCGATTTAAGTAAGGCAATCACTAAATCTTGAGCGTCAGAGTCTTGGTTTAAAACGCCTATCATGGATTCGACACTTAGTCAATTATAGTATTTCTGAAATGCCCAGGGGATTCAATCTGCGGTTTCTAAGCAAAGATGTTTTTTACAACAATGCCACCAAACCAATTTATTATGATTAAGATATGTGGGGTCTACATGTTGTCTAAATAGTCCTCCCCATAAAAAAACACCATCTAGACCAAGCATAGAAATAAAGAGATTAGTCAAGAAAGCACTGTCAAGCTAATACTTACAACCCTTTCAAGACGAAGGCCTTTCCCGACCTAGTCATGTTTGTAGTAGCTCATGAAAAATTTTAGACAGACAAATAGTAACCAGGGAGCAGAAGTGAGAATAGGATGTGGGTTCACACATCACATCCATGGGGCATTTATCCAAATTTGTATCAAAATAAAACTGCAAGTTTGTCTCGGGCACCATGGGCCATAGAGCTGTTAGTATGTCTGTATTATAAATTTTCATGTAACACGTGTACTGTGAAATATGCAACTGGATCCAAACCCAGGCTTCGCAGCAAGCAACCGCTGAAAGATTCCTTCATTACCATGATAGAATGAGGACTGCGATATCTGCTAGGTACCAGAATAAAAATAATCAACCTCAATCTAGGTAAGATCTTTCAAATGAACATTTTCCAAAGCATATACAAAAAAAAAAAAAAAAAAAAAAAAAAAAAAAACATCTAACCCTTGGCATTGTTGTTCCTAATTAGATTCTATATCCCTAAACGCGCAAAGCCGAATCGCTATCGGCCTGTTTTCCCTACCCAGGAAAAGGAACTTTCGCCTAAGAAATATGACCTGACCAACTGCAAACAACACGGCCGTCCTGTCAGCTCCAGCCGTCAAAGAAAGTCCCCAAAAAAAAGGAAAAGGAAAAAAAAGAGGATGACAAAGAGGAGGTTAAGGAGGAAAAGAAGAAAAAAAAGAAGAACAAAGGGAAGGCCAAGTATATCAGAAAGACTGATAAGACCAGGAAAGTAAAGGAGGCTACTGTCGAGGACCGACGGTTGAAGAGAGCCCACCCCACTGCTGCATTAACTCTGGGCACGTTAAAGATGTGTGTAGTTGCCAAGCTGGACTCTACTTCCGATCCCAATCTCAATCCCGAGCAAGCAACTTGCTGCAACAATTCAAGGGCTCATTCAATCATTTATTAAAATGTTGAATGAGGCACGGATTCGAGCTTTCTGGGCCTGCGCCTTGTGGATCGATAACCTGCTTACCACTGGGCCATCCAATCCAGCTGATCTCCCACAACTCCTAGATGAAGTTCTTGATAGCAGGGACTTTATTTACGGCCTTGCTGCGTTGTTGTATCACGGAGTGATGAGTCCATTATCTAGGTATAGCAGGGAAGTGAAGAAAAAAGGCGAAGGGAACGTAGCCAAGCCGTCCCAGCTCAAAGCATACGAATACTTCTATGCAAAGACAGGGCTTGGTCCTTTAAACCAGATCTATCCCGATTTGGTGATCAGCAAGTCGTCTCGGATGGTCATGGTCCCTGTTCAAGCAGCGCTAAGGTCTCACTATCGGAATGCGCAGGTAAATATAATATTATAATAGAGACTTTGAGCAATGAATTTTAAGAATTTTTTTCAAATTTCGCTGAAAAGGATTGTCACGGTCTCGTGATGCTGGAAATCCTCTTAAAACATGTATTTTCACTCGTTCTATAAAAAAGTTGAACAAAGTCGTGTCAAGGAGAAAAAAATCGCTTCGCCCTCTGGGATAACTGAGAATTGTGGCTTCAGTGAAATTTGGAAAAGTTCCTCGCCAGAGTAACTTGTGAAAATAATCTCATCCTCTTTTCTTTTAGTGCAAATGTAAACAAGGGTGACTCTGAAAATGAAGGAAATTTGGGTGTAAACTGTTGCATATTTCAATATGCAATATAATAATGGTCCGACTAAAAAACTAGGAAGATCTTAAAAAAACACACTAGAGAAATTTCAACTGAAATAGTACGATAAAAAATAAAACTAGCAGTAGAAACTAGTGGCAATAAAGCGTCACACTAAGACGCGACAAATCTTTGACATGAGAACCCATGTTGTCTTATAGATAGATATGTAGTTATCTGGTACAAGCCCCTCTACCAGAAATGAATAAAATAATCCATGGGTGTGGTGTGTGGACCCACATCTTATTCTCACTTACTTTTCGACTGTCTACTATCTATCTGAAAATATTTTTCATAAACAAACGTTTGCTCAAAGTCTCTAATGTCTAGTTTGACATAGATATTCCAGGCGATGGAAGAAGTTCCATCCAATTCTTTTTTGAGCAAAATGCAACTGCCAAAAAATATCTGGATTTCACTACGTCTGCTTTCTCGCCTCGGTCTCTCTGCCTAACGGAAGCCTGTCTCCTGGATATATTATGGTCTAACCCAACAGTTCGAGAGGAAATAGTCCAATTGTTGGAACTAAACATGAGTACCAAGGGGGCTGCAGAGGACAAGATCCTTAACCACAAGGGGATATTGTTGCAGGAGCTGTTTTCCTTGAAAGGATACAAGGACGTTGGACTGCAATCTGATGATGGCCCTAGAAGGAAACTACAGACATCGTTCTTTACAAACGGCCTTACCCTAACACTTCTTGCCTATGACACATCGAAGCAAAAAAGAGGTAGAGGTTCGCAAGCTGCCCAACCTTCGGATACTCAAAGATCTCAAGCAGTCCAGGCTTCTTCAAGTGCTCAGCAGGGATCCTCGTCTTCAGGCCATGGTGCAGGCGATGGTGGTGATGATGGAGACGACGACGGAAATGAAGATGACGATATCTTGCTGGGTATCAGCGATATTGACTTGCTGGAAGTTGATGAACCATTCTTAGATGGCGACGGGGGAGAAGAAGCAGCTGAAGAAGGTACATCGAGCACAAATCCACTGTTCCCGGTGAGTCCCAGTCCCCGGCGTGAGATCAACTGGAAGCAGAGATCCCGTCTCCTCGAGAATGTAGAAGTTAAATATGACACCCAGGCAGCATGGGACCAGTGACGACAATAAGGAGACTATATATAGGGCGCTTGTCGATTTCTATAATGACGGGTGGTTTGTTCGGAATAGCTGGGATAATAGAAAAGCACAGAACGGATGGGTTGATTATGTGATCAAGGCAATTCTGAAGCTTGCGGGCGGAAGCAATGGAAGAAGAAGAGATGCCAATACGAATGCGGTGATCTGTATTGGACTAGGATCATTCAAGACAAACCGAGGACAAGTATCGAAGCATGGGATATTGATGAAGAAGCTTGTTGAAAGGTAAAAAAAAATCCCTTGATCAATGACATTTGATTTTTGAGTCTCTTTTTTAACGAGTATTAAATCTGGCTCGAACAGGCAAATTCTCTAGACTACCCCATTGCAGGTTGTCATGAATACTACACATCTGCCAAGTGTCCACAACCCCACTGTGACAGTATATTGGAGAATGTTCCTTTTCGATCCAAGTACTGTCGAAATTGTAAAGCATACTTTGATCGAGATACTGTTGGTGCTGAGAACATCGCAAGGGTCTGTGAGTCGCAGATAAGAGAGCAAAAACGACCTGCAAAATATATGCCGCCGGACGGAGGAACTCAAGGCCAAGCTTCTAGCGGTAGTGGCGGTGGTGGAGGTAGTGGTGGCAGTGGTGGCAGTGGTGGTGGTAGTAGCAGAACCACAAAAAGGAAATTTTTAGATGAAGGAGGAGGAGGAGGAGGAGGAGGAGTAGAGGGATCAAGACCACCGAAAGGACCTTTGCTGGGTCCAGGAGGAGGGGGAGAGACAAGCCGGCAACAACAGTAGGACACAATCTACTACAAACATGACTAGGTTCAGAAAGGCCTTCGTCTTAAAAAAATTGTAAGTATTGGCTTGATAGTACTTTTTTTTTTTTATTTCTTTGTTCTAATACACTTCTTCTTTTAACACTAGATGCAATGTCTCGTTTTTTAATGGGACGGACTATATGTGAGCGTCTTTACTACTCCTCGTTCTCATTTTCTCAACTGAGAAACGTCTGAATCAAGACATCTCTAAATTTAAAAGTCAGACCAACTATAGCCATACATCATAAGCCCTTGCTATCAATATAAAACCTATCAGGAAGTTACCCATATGAACTTTTTATTGAATAGGCTTACGATACTTAGAAAGACTGAACTAAAGGAACAGGAAGAAATTACAGCATAATGCTTATGCTTTTATATTTTATTTTTATTTTTTTATTTGATGCGATGGTGCAAAAGTTTTCAGTCGTCTGACATGTTTGTGTTCGTCGTAAGCAAAAAACCGTGTACATGTGGATTGTACAGTACAAACATGTACGTACATGTTACATGTACGCCCAAAGAGAAAGATTGCATCAACCGTCTGTGTGGGCCTGAGTGGGAAAAGATGCATGATCTTCTGATATTAAAATTGGCTTCTCTCCTCCGCCATCCAGTCAGCCAGGATCATGCTTATTCGTTTATTCTACCGCTGAATATATATGCTCTCTTTCTATTTTCTTTTGACCAGATCTTCTCTTCATTCTCATTTACTTCATTCTCTTGCTCATTCTGATTTTTCATCCCACCTTCAAAAAAAAATAAAAATAAAAATAATAAATTTTCTTCACCACCACCAAGGTGTTTATTCTCTGAGCTAGTGACCAGGACAAAAATCTGTGCCATGCCGTCTGCTGGATGTTTCGATACCTTCAGGGGTCTGTTTTCACCAGGTCATATTAATGATGTCCACAATAACAACAATGGTTCTTCTACATCCTCTATCGATGGATCATCCATCTCAGGCACCTCTTCAGGGATTCAAGCCCCTTTAGCAATCGTCGATATGGGCAGCAATGGTATTCGTTTCGGAATTATTGCCTCAATGGATCGCCATTTACCAGTACTGTATGAGGAAAGAGCGTCGATTTCATTGTATGAAGCACAGTTCGGCAATAAGGATACTGAGGATCTAGATTTTGAACCATTAGCTGTAGCACCACCAACAAATGGCACAAAAGATCACCAAGAAGGCTCTTCTTTCGACAAGTCTACAGCAGTAAAGCGTTCTAAAGAGGAAAGGGAGGCTCTGGCGAGAACATTGGTCGAGACTAGAGACAATGAAGTGATGATCAAAGAAGATTCTGGAAAACCATCAGAGAGACAGCCGATTAGTGAAGAGGTCATGGATGAGGTCGAGAGAACATTTAAGCGCTGGCAGGCATTGTGTCATCAAGCCAATGTTGAAACCGTACGCGTCATTGCCACTGAAGCCACAAGAACGGCCCCCAACTCTGAACAATTTCAAAAGAGGATCTATAATGCCACTGGTTGGACCGTCCAATTGCTAACCAAGGCACAGGAGGCCAATATTGGTGCTCTTGGTGTAATAGCCTCATACCATACTGTCAAGGGTTTGTTCATGGACCTCGGTGGCGGATCTGTCCAACTTAACTACATCATTCGAGGTCCCAAGGATGGTCACGGAGAGAGTAGCCCCAATGCTCAATCTTGGCCATATGGCGCAGCTGCCCTTTCAAGACGACTGAATAACTGTGGCAAGAATCAGGCTGCACGACAAGCCATCTATGATGAAATGGTCCAAGCATTCAAACAAGGGCTCGAGGACATTAACATTGCTCCCGAGATTAAAGAAGACAGTGAGGGCGGATATAGAATGTACCTCTCTGGGGGGGGATTCCGTGCTCTAGGATACTTGCTGATGGCCCGAAAGGTGAAAGATAACAAGGAAGACCATGCTAATAGAAGATATCCCATCCCCATCATCAACGGATACATGGCCTCTGCGAAGGAACTAGCTGAAATCGTAGAAGAATATCGGTACTTGGATCCAGATGAGGTCCAAAAAAGCTTCCGAGTCTCGAAACGTCGCGCCAAGCTGATTCCCGCCTGTGCGACCTTGATGGCTGCGGCCATGAAGGCGATTCCCATCAAGGAAGTGTTATTTTCAGAGGGCGGTGTCCGTCAAGGTGGATGCTTTGAAGTTTTACCTCCAGAGATCCAGAACAAAGACCCAGCCTTTGAGACCGTCCAGAGTTTTGTTAAAACCAATGGAGGACAACCACCACTGCATATGCCAGACGTGCAAGCCTTAACTTCCTTCGTATCCTCGGCCCTGCCTGCAGATTTTGCGGAATGCTGCCGTTCAGCCTCTTCTTTTTCCTCTTCCTCTTCTGGATCGGATAAGCACAAGGGATTACCAGATAAAGATGCAGCGGGGCTTCAAGTCTTTATCAACAGTCTCGAGCGCCTTGTCCCTCTTTTGGTCATGGTATTGAACTGTTACAATCAGATGCCTAAAGAAGCCAGATCCACAGCCGCATGGCGGCTGTTTTTACCTGGAGGAGCGCTTGCGAATTGTTATGGATTGACTCATAGTGATCGTGCCATCTTGGCTACAGTCCTTGCAGAACGTCATGATGGTGATCTTGCGGACCCAGATACGGCCAATGTCGTCAAGAAACTGATCCCAGGCGGTAAAGTCGCTCGTCAGGCTGCCAAGTACCTCGGCAAGATACTGGATCTAGCCGGTCTTTGTTCGCCTCTGCCTGGTATAGCCACACTATTGCTCGGTGGCGGTGGGGCACCGAGACATGGCGGTGGTATCCTATTTGAACAAGTTCCTGAGCAGAGTAACGGCGGCCGTAGAAACCGACGGGACAATGAAAAGACGCGCGTTGAAGGGGAGCCATCTGAGGACGAGCAAGGACCTGAAGATGAAGAGAAGGTTGTAGTCCTAGCAGCAGGTCTGCTCCCCTCAGGAGGCATTGCTCATGGACAGGTAGCGCTTCGTATAGACAAGACTTCCAAGGGACATCCATTATTGATGGCACCCAATGTCCAAGCGGCAGTCAAAGCCTTGGCCGAGGCTGCAGCCAGCACCCATGGCTTTACTAAATCGCTTTTCGATGACGAGTCAAGCGATGACGAGGGCAAGGGCAAGGGCAAGGGCAAGGGCAAGGGTAAGGGTGGCAAGGGCAAAGGCAAGGACAAGGATAAGAATACCCATCTTGAATAAGAATAGATGTCAAGATGTGAGATTAGATCAGCTTAAGGCTTTTTTTTTTTTTTTTTTTTTTTTACTTTAAATTAATAAACGTTCTAGTGATTGGTAAATCTCTATTATGCGTTGTCGCTTTTTTATCGTCTATGTCTTGACATCAACTTATTATAGACCTCACCCATGTTGAGGACTTTACCACTACGCCCACTACCCATACGTCCAGCCTCATCATCATCATCGTCATCCAAACCAGCCTCTAAACGCATCTGAGCCATCTGGGCTAGAATAGGTTGCCATTCATTGTACTTGGCTTCCGCCAGCAGGAAGCCATCATGACGAAGAGCCTTGCCTGTCTTGGTACTGTCCTCAAACGCCTTCATAACCCAATATTCAGCTAATGGAGTTTTTTTTTTTTAAAAAAAAAGAAGAAAAAAAAAAAAAAAATAACTATCCAAGAGAAATAGTAAGATGCTTTGGAAGGTGTCTCAACACGCAAATATATACTGTCCTTACTTGTGCGTCCATAAAATTCGCGCAGAGTTTCACCAATAGTTGGCGTGGAGGCAGCCTCCTCTTCTGTCATGGCGAGACGTGCTGCAAGGTCCACTCCGCTCAATTGCGAAGGCACAACTTCCGGAGCAGCTACAGTCTCTCCTCCTTCAGTAGAGGTCCCACCACCAGCAACCTTGATCTCCTCAGTTCCATCGCCAGCAGCAGGGGTTTCAGCATCACCACTCAAGATTGATTCTGCAGTCGCTTTCTCCTTCTCCTTCTCCTTCTTCTCTTTCTTCTCCTTTTTCTCCTTCTTTTCTTTCGATTTGCCCTCCTTCTCTACCTTCATTTCCTTTTTTTCTTTACTCTCTTTCTTGGCCTTCTTATCCTTCTTACTAGACTCTTCAATGACCTCGTCTTCAGACTCACTTTCATCCTCCTTCTCGTCGTCATCACCAACTTCTTCGTCCTCGCCTTCGTTGTCGTCATCGTCGTCATCGTCGTCATCTTCCTCTTCCTGGTCATCCTCGTCATCGTCAGATTCCTCACCAAGCCACAGCTGTGACTCAAACTGAGACTCACGCAAACACACATACTCTGTCATCTTATCCAGATTGAGTGAGAAAAAGTCGTCGAGGGTGTATTCGCGATCTTTCACTTCTAAAATACCTCCAAAGATAAACAGAGTACTCTTCTGAACTGCCAACATGGGATTATACCGGGGACAAGGCATCAATGGTTCTTCATCTTCGTCAGCATCATTGTCGTTATCGTTGTCCTTGGCCTTGCCCGAAGATTTTCCTGCGGATTTAGACTGCTTATTGAGCTCTGTACTTTCTGCGACCGGTTCAGATGCCTGAGACGCTTTTGGCAGAATACCGGCTGCTGCCAGTGCAGCTGCCGCGAGTGCTTCTTTGGTAGACGTCTGTGCTGGCTCATCCTGCTTAGCCTCGGAGCTATCACCATTATCGGCCTTTGCTTCAAGTGGCAGTTGGTCCTGAGAAGGCACAGTTGGTCCAGAAACATCCTCCTTGAGTGTCTCTGCTCCTGCATTGTCATCGTCTTCACTGTCTTCGAAATCGCCATAGTCAAACTCATCATCAGTACTTTCTTCCCATTTCATCTTTTCTCTCTTTCCTGCTCCCTCATCATCATCATCAGCACCTGATCGGCCTGTTCCAGTTCCCTGTTTATTAGCCTTCTTTGATTTCTTCTTCTTTGTAGTTTTTGGCTTCTTTAGGTTCATTGGGAACCAACGCCCAGTATCAATCTGATATGTGTAAAGGTCATTGTAGAACGTGCTCTCCAACGTTTCTTCAGTCACATCGTCGTCGTACACACCTCCGAACAAGACAGCCCGATTCTTGTAAGGGGCCATAGCACACCCAGAACGCGGGCTAGGAGCCGATCCAGATTTCTTCTTCTTCTCCCATCGGATCAATTTAGGGTCTGTATTCATCTTGAGTAACCAGGTATCTGTATGAACAACACCTTTGGGTCGTTGACCCTTTGTATATTCCTTACAGTAGCCACCATAGAGAATTACGCCATCGTTACAAGGGATAAATGAGAAGCCTGAACGAGCTGAAGGTCGGATCATTTGGTCCGGCAATTCAACTTTGGTCCATTTATAGTCTAGTGTATCGAAGACCCAAAGGTCATCGTAGTACCGCGTGTCAACATAGTTGTCATAGAATCCTCCAAACATGACGATGATGTGTTTCCAGAGCACCATGCGATGGCCTGATCGAGCTGCTGGTTTTGGTTTAATGTCGAGTTTTTCCCACGCATTGGTTTTCATATCCATTGACCAGAAATCCTGCAGATGGTTTAAGGTTTCATCAGTTGAACAGCACGTCAAAAGTTCCTCTTAAAACTAAATACAGATATAAAAAAATAAAAAATAAAAAGGAGTTATGCCTACCTTGTAATGAAAGAACTGGGTCTCATTAGGAGAGGCAAATTCGCCGCCGAATAAGAATAAGGTCCCAGCGGCGGTGATGACAATCTGATGAGACGAACGAGGACCAGGAGAATTGGGAGAGGTAATCCTACGCCATTCATCCTTTTCAATGTTGTATCGATACAGATCGTTGTAGAAAGCACTTATAAATATACACATATATGTATAATCTGTCAGACAGTCTAGTTTTCATAGAAAAGGTAAAGGAAAAAAAAAAAAAAAAGCTCATTTCGATAACAACTATATCTTGTTCTCATATTCTCCTATTTACCATTTAACTCCATCATAAAACTCCCCTCCAAAGAAAATTAACTCGTTTTGGTTCAGAGGGTTGGCTGTCAAAGTAGCATTGGCACGGCGACTATAAAAAAAAAAAAAAAAAAAAAAAAAAAAAGAGACGAAGTACAATTGTTAGAACTTTCTTCAGTAATAATGACAACCAACTTGAAGTTTTTTAAGAATATAAATGTCTATATAATCTGTAAAATCTTTACCTGGGTGGACCGCTCCAAACTTCTTCAATAATCTTGACTCTCTCCTCTTGCTATTCAAGTTGGATCAAAAGACAATAAGTAAAATCATTTACAAGATGTTTGAATAAATTCGTCCACCTAGTTCTAAATGGCAGTTACAACTCCTTTTTTTTTTTTTTTTTACCTCCTTCTTGAAATTGGCAAGAATAGTTTCGATATCTTCCTCTTGTTCTTCTACATTTTTCGCCTTGGTTTTCTTTTCTTTTTTAGCTTGCTTGCGATCTTGCTATACTTGTACAGGGTTTAATAAATGAAGATCAAAAAAACAAAAACAAAAAAAAAACACGCATATAATGTATATATACAAATTCATAGATTAGTAAAGTGAAGAAATATTAAAAAACGATTCTTTTGTCCCGCTTTTTTTTTTTTTTTTTTTTTTTCCTTTTGATCTTCTCCATCCATGATCACGAGAGAAATATATAAATATATGTATTTAAAGGTAGCAACTATCAACCGACCTTCTCTGCAACCTTGGCCTTGTGCTCTTTTGACTTTTTCTTTTTCTATTGTTGTCAGTCAAAAGAAAGAAAAAAAAAAAAAAAAAAAAAAAAAAGCTGTCGCTTAGTTTGACTCGTCTAGACAAAAAAAAAAGATCTATTATTCCAAGCGCCGTATGTTTTTTTTTTTTTTTTTTTTTTTTTTTTTAATGTCCACGAGCAAGCGAGACATTACATCCTTTTTGCCCATTGTATATGCAGTAAACTACTCCTTTGAAATCCAAAACAAGGTGAATGGGTTTATAAAATGTCGGACATGGGAAAACAAAAAAAACATATTGCCGAAATGGCACGTGATTATGAGACCCTGAAATCAAAAAAAAAAAAAAAAAACTTTTTGTTGTCCAGACAGGATTTTGTGGACAAGAGTCTGTTAGGACAGAGGCAAATGATAACGATGTCTTTGATGTAAAACACTGTGATGAACCGTGTTTAATGTCACATAGCATCCAAAGGGTGGGGCTTACCGAGAGAAGAAACAAAACTAAGACTTGTGGGGACTGCAAAGTGGACCCACTTTGGGGAGAAGAGGTCGAGATATCAGGTTTGTATCTGCATGTACATTCTAGAATGGATCGCTCTTCCATTTCATACATCGTTGTTGTGATTAAAGAAAAAAAAAAAAAAAAAAAAAAAAAAAATACTCACTTGCAGGCAGACAAACACAGGGGATGGATGTCCGAATTTGTCCATTGCGCGTGCAAAACGTGCGTACGTGCATGCTAATGTTGATGTTTTGGCTGTGGGCAACAAACTATTTTTCATTTCATTTTTTTCATGTGTATGTGTGGTTACATTGACGCCGCAGCGTGTGTTTAATAATGCTCTTTTTTTTTTTATTTATTTTTTTTTTATTATGACTAAACCAAACTGTTCATACAACTATTTTACACTGTGTACAATGCGTGGCCAGTGCTTCCGAACAGGCCTACGCTTTTTTTTTTTGTATGTGGTTGAAAAGTTGCCCTCATTTTGACATTGTCCTTGAGTAATGGATTAACCATTATAGAAACGAAGGGCTTCACTTTTCAGGAGCTTTTTTTTTTTTTTTTTTTTTTTTTTTGCTTTGCCAGCCCAGAAAGGGGTGGAAAGATCAAAGAGTCTAAAAATGGGACAGGTCCAGCGCATCACTAGCTTTTGTAGGACATGTGTACATGTTGTACACCACCGCCTCAGGAGATTGAAAGTCTAGACTTGAACCCCTTCAAGACCGCGCAGCTCATGATAAGTCTCGAGTTGTAGAAGCCAATGCTGACTTGGACTTGAAGGCATGCTCAGACCTTTCCGAAGACCCTGATGGTGTAACAGTTGAGAGGTCGTAGCAGTCCGCATCATTTTTTCATCCATGATCGTCGGTCTTTGACCTTCAGGTGGAGAATCGGGACTAGACCAACCTGAATGGTCATCGTCATCATCCTCTTCATTATCCTCTACCATCGCCACGTCAACAAAGTCAACTTCATCAAAGTTGGGGAAACTGAAATAGTTGCTTCGGGAACGAAGCACACCGTTGGTGCTGGCCTCTTTTCCCTTTTTGCCCACTTTGCTTTGTCGACCGCCGAAACGTTTTGAAGGCGGGATGGAAAAGTCTGCGAGACTTTCTTTTGCAGCCGAATAAGTGGATGCTGAGGAGGATGGGGGTGAAGAGGAGGTGACGCCTAATGCGGTCTGAATGCCATCGAGAATCGAGTTTGCACGGCTTCCTGAGCTTGCTCCAGAATTAGCAGAGGAACTTGATTTTGGTGGTAAAGTGATGGTGGTAAAAGTGGGCGAATGGGGCGGTGACTGAGCAGAGACTAGACAAGTAACTGTGTCTGGACATGTTGCGGTCGTCAGGAGACGCAGTGGCGGATGAAGCGAGGGATGAGGATAGGAGATTGTACTTGAAGCTGAGAGCGAGTGAGCGTGAAGCTTATTGGGGCCGCTTGTGCCTGTTGGTGCTGTGGACATGGATGGAGGATGTGAAAGTGAAAAGTTTGTGGGACTTGAGCCAAGGCTGGTAGAACTCTTTGGAGTAGACTTTTTGGAAACGGAATTGATTTTATTGCTGTTGATGTTGATGTTGATATTGCTGCTGATATTGGTAATAGATCGGCGCTGATTTGAATTTGAATTTGAATTTGAATTTGGATTTGACTGATGACTGAGAGTGCTGATGGGTATGACAGGCGAAGGAATGGTCTTGATCACCTTGGCATTGAAGGCGGTGTTGTTTGCACGAGGAAGGGCAGCAGACGCCATCGTATGTGCCTGGTCAGTGAAGGAGTGTGCCTGTTATTTTTTTTTATTTTTTATTTTTGTTTGTTTGTATCTGCGTGCCTGTGCTTGTGCCTGTTGTGTCAATGTCTGTGTCTGAATCTGTGTTTGTGTTCCAATCTTGAATTTGGATAGAATAAAACAAAAAAAAAAAAAAAGGATGGGGCAAGAATACTTCGATTGGAGGAATAAGATAAAAAGGGAAAAGAAAAAAGGGAACAGGGAACAGGGAAGAGGCGAAGAGAAGAGAGAAGAGAGAAGAGAATATGCAGAGAGTTAAGTTTGTTTGAGGATAGGAGATATAGTTGTAAAAGCTGCACTGGAGTGGAAGGAATAGAGAAAGAAAGAAAGAAAGAAAGAGAGAGAGAGAGAGAGAGAGAGAGAGGTGAGTATATGAGTGAATGAAGATTATTAATGATGCAAGTAAAGAAGATAAAAAAGATAAAAAGATGTTAATAATGAAGAGAGAATAGAAGGAATGGAAGGAAGAAAAAGATAATGATCGTGAGAGAGAAAAAGAGAGAGAGAGATGGAATAAGATGAAAAGAAAGAAAAAAAAAAAAAGACAATTGCATATTTTTAATATATACTTGATCGAATCCAAATAAAAAAAATAAAATAAAATAAAAAAAAATATTGTGATGTATCTGACATCCGATATCCGATATCCGATATCCAATTTATTCAATATCCAATATCCAATATCCAATATCCAATATCCAATATCCAGGGTAATAAGGTCAATGCAATCAATCCCAGCTCAATCGACAAGTAAATCAAGGTATCTTGACCAAGAAGCAAAATACATGAACATAGTGACATACCTGTGAACTCTGTTATGGAAAAATAAATTATAAATGATGATATAGCAATGATGAAGATAAAAAATAAAAATAAAAATAAAAACTTTACTATGATTACAAAGGGTAATTAAGAGAGAGTTGGTCTGATATTGATAATGATATTGACAACAAACGTTCTTTGATAGGTGTATTCAATCTGGCAATATGGACTAACGTTTGATGCTGAAAAGGGACAAGGCTGTCGAATAGAATGAGTGTGTTTTGGAAAGAAGGGTTGTATTTCAAAAGAAGCGAACTGTGCAGCTTTGAACTGGGGTGAATGGGTGGAAGCTAAAAGATGCTTCCTCCCTCTTAATGGTCGGGTGTTGCTTTTGCTTATATATCAAAAAAAAAAAAAAAAAATCAGTGGTAGTAGGTGTTGTGTGTTGATGACTTTTATGAGCGTTTTAAATGGATGTGGAATGGGAAGAGGATCTTTTTTTACCGAAAGAGAGAGTTTTGGATATTCATTCTCAATATTTTGCTATTCAAAAAATAACAATATATCCACAATATAAATATAACTATTGTTTAAATATAAACCCGAGTAGACACCATCTATTACTGCACGTACATCCTCATTCACATTCACAAAAACGGGAAGAAAGAGGCGATGGTTTTTCTTTTTTTTTTTTTTTTTTTTTTTTTTTTTGCATATCACATTTAATAATAAATCTTTGAATCCTTGCCATGTAAAAATCGATGAGCTCTTTCTCTCCGTCTCTCATGCGATGCTCTTCAATACCATGAGATACAATTCAAAATGGTTGTGATCCGATGTGATCTCTTGTGCACGGCATGCTCTTGTTCACGCGTATTTCCTTTTGTTGTAAAAAAAAAAAAAAAAATAAAAAAAACCGCAATGAACTTGTTGTTCTCCCCCCCCCCCCCCTCTCTCCATCTCGTTCCCTTCCTCCCTTCCATCCTTTCCTCTTCCCCAAAAAGTTGCTTTTCCTACCATCACCTGAACAGACAGCATGGCCATCGACAATTGCCCGTTTGTCTTCTTTTTTTGTTCCTTGTTTGTCTGTTTGTCTGAGCCCACGCCCACAGCATATTCAAACTTCAACTTCCCAGGCACAACATCCACATCATGGCTAGGGCGGACTGTCTGTGTTATAATTACATCTTTTTTTTGTTTTTTTGTTTTTACAACGGTCAACCTAGAAAACTATGAGAAGATCAACTAACAATGCGTAGAATTGCCCCGTATGCGTCTCCTTGACTCGAGTTCCCTTTATCCTCCGATAACTTCAGTGCATCCTTTTTTTTTTTTTGTTTTGACCCTATTCATTTAGTGAGCAGGGATCCAGACCCTGATCGTGTGTGACAGTGTCACAAAGCCCAGGAGGGATGCTCTTAGGTCAAACCTCGAACTAGCATGGACCTATCACAGACAAGATGAATGATCGTTGCGGTGCTTTTTTAAAAAAAAAACCCTGCACAGTAAGTAACTCATTAAATGCACAGTTCTTACTAATCCATTACTTCTTTTTTTTTTTTTTTTTTTTTTTTTTTTTTCCTTTTCTTCAATGTTTACCATAGAACAACAACATAACAATTGTCAAGGCCTTTTCTTCTTCTCCGACACGACACGATTTCCGTTTCCAATGTCGACGAGTCGCCGACCGGTGTAGGCTATGAATATTGATACTAAAATAGCCGTAAAGTACCACTGAATGGCTAAAATAGAAAATCCTTTGGCAACTGTCGTGCTTGGACTGATACCATCTTCACGAAAAAAAAAAAAGGACCGATCTTCAATGCAGGCACAACATTTACCACTGAATACAAACACACCGACATGCATTTTACTCCGCACAAAGAACTCTTTACTTCCTCTCCTTCTCCCCTTATTCTCTTTTTCTCTAGACGAAAAAAAAAAAAAAAAAAAAAAATGTAAATATATATACTTTGCTCATCAATCATTTGAGCTGGCACCTAGTTTTATGCAAATTACAGAGCTATCAAAGAAGTCAAATTGAATGGACATTTGAAAAAATCCAATCCTAAATTGAGCACAAAAAGTCTTCGTGATCTACCCTCTCCCTTTTTTTTCTTTTCCACCTTCGGGCTACCCCTTTTCGTTCAAGTGTACTAGAAACTGCACGCGTTTTATAATACTATTTTCCCTGATTGATCATCTACCAAGCGTCTATTTCTGTCTTGGAAAACAGTTGCGCTTGGGGTGAGCTATGACGATTGATGCAGGACGTAATGATAGACGAGGTCTGGCAATTGAATTGAAAAAAAAAAAATAGTGCCGGCTTGAAGATCTTATTCCTTTTCAATACCACGCCTACATCGTCTGAATTTTTTTTTTTTTTTTTTTTTTTTTTTTTTTTGTTAGCGACGGTGTTGTGTGACAGTAGAACGGGACAAAATGGCGGCATGGTGAGTCTGTTGAATATGTAAGAGTACATGTACATGTTTGCATGTGCAAAGTATACAATTACAATACATAAAAGGAGTAACAATACTAAATAGTTAAAGAGCATTGTTTCCTTTGTTCCTGAAACAAAGCCATCATCCACGCATCATCCCGTCCATGAGCTCAACATCAGGCATTACCGATTATTGTTTTTTTAGATGTTTATAGTATATATATACTTTGAGTGAAAAGGATGTGACAGAGTAAATAAGGAGAACATGTCAAGAAAAGAAAACAAGGGACGCAATCCTGCGTCACCTTGCACAACCGCGCATCTCTGTCTCCCTCCACCCCCCTCCTTTGCTTCCTCTTTTTTACTCTTCACCCTTAACCGCAGAGTGAAGGATGTAGGATGAGGATGTGGATGGCTTGCAGTAGACGAAGCCCTAATCTTTGAAAGGAATCACAGATATATGTATATATATATATAACATCTACTGTACATTCACTACGGTTGATAAAGAAGGAAAAAAAAAAAAAAAAAAAAAAAAGAGTTTTCTAGGAGTAATGAATAACCCTTTTTTTTAAGGTTTTTATTCCCACCATGTCGTGTTGTAAGTGTGATATACATGTCTATATGCCATTGTATAAAATACTTTTAAAAGATATATGGATATGACATTATGTGTAAAGTTTACGCCTCAGAACAGTGAAGGAAATAACCCGATCCTCATTATTTGCTGATCCAATCTGTTACAAAGAAACAAGAGAAAAGTGAGTCGGGGCATCGTTGCTCACGTTCCTATTTGATTGTTAAAACCCTAAAAAAAAAAAAAAAAAAAAAAAAAAAAAGGCAGTTTCTTTTAAAAGAAGCAACGCTCGGGCGAGATCAAAAGACAAGACAAGGGTAATAAGAAAAACATGGCCTAATGGCCTAATGCATGAATAACATGCGCACTTTTTTTTTTCTTTATTTTGTATGGTTCAAGTAGACAAATACCGAAAATACGGTTTTCTGACATCTCATTTGATGGCTGATGAATTTTTTCTTTTGTGGACATTTAGCCACACAAGAGGAAATAAGATCTTAGACCAAAGTGACCAATCATTGTGCAACAAGAGCCATGAGAGCATGGATTCAACCCTGTAATTGAATACAGTAACAGAACCTTTTTCCTTGGACTTTTCCTCCTTGTCCGTTGAAGAGGCTGAAATCCCGCGCCATAATGCGAGACATTCAAACACATTAGCGCACTGACTATTTTTAAGCAACAAAGTATAGACTTCATTGCTCCCCTACTCTTTCCTTCCGATGCCTCCTTGACATTGTCCTCTATTAAATATAATATATACATATATATTATGATAACAAAAAAAAACTCCTCCCAAGGCGAATCCTTTTTTTTTTTTTTTTTTATTTCTGCTCGCGGTCTTGGAGAAAGAAAGTTACCGCTTAGTGTGATGACACATGTAGCACTAGCATCAAGTATTTTCAGACATTGTGGTGGTGGTTCGGAACCCGGGCCTGAAGTGAAGAGAAAAAGACAAATGATTGGTTGCTCTATTTTTTTCTTTACTTTACTTTACTTTCTCTCGACTCTGTATATATGATTATGATCACTCTCTTTGGTATTATGCCCCAGGCAATGTGCGGAGGAGTGAAAAAAAAAAAAAAAAAAAAAAAAAAAAAAATGTCCGCCTTGCATACTTTCCTCGGAAGTTGACACCGCACCGCCTCCGCTCTTTAATTCATGTTCTGCACAAAAGACAGGATAGGACAGCTGGGAACGCGTGTAACTTGAATTTGGTTGGATCTTGACAATGCCGAAAATCCTAGCTTACGTTAGACAAATTATATGAAAAACTATACAATGCATTGATTGGTCCAGGTACTTGGCTTCTAGGCCATTTTCATGCTAGATCCTAGAACTTAAAGCCTAGGAAGAGCAACGCGTTCACCTTTGTCTCTAGTCTTGATATTATACCCACCCACTCTCTCATCCCAACTCTCACTCTGAAGATACACTTGGAAAAATCTACTCTTTATTCTTTCAACATAGCGTGATAGTCAACTGCACTCCGTATCCATACTTTTTTTTTTATTTTATTTTTTTTTTATTTTTTTTATATCAAATAGCTTCAATGTTTCATACCCATCAGCATTTGTAGGTCATCGACCTGCGAAATTCTCTTTAATAGGCCTTGTTTTACAGGTGGTAAGCTCAATCATTCTGAAATCCCCCCCGCCTCTCTGGGCACCTTTCCAAACAAGTCTTCAAAGAGGGAAATTGAAACTACAAGATCTTCAAAAGCAATCATGTGCTCTACAAAGTCAATTCAAGCCTTATCTAGTACTCAAATTGGACCGGCGAGAGAGAGAAAGAAAGAGAAACCAGATTCTTAGATCCGTACTGGCTAATTATCTCTTTGTGCTAGAGCAAATGCAAAATAATGATCGAAAGTTGAAAGATAAGTGAGAATTGAATGTGGATTGCAGCACCACATTGTCCGGGTATTTATTAATTGTAAAATTGGGATCTCCTATTTATGCAGGCTGGAGGGCTGCAGTGGAAAGAATGCAATCCTTTTGTACATGTGTGTTTTGTACGTGTGATCAAATACGAAATATGCAACAGCAATATTTAAACTTCTTTGTAAGAAACGCGATTGCCATTGTAGATTCGATCACGCTCCATCATTCCTCTTCTCTTCTTCGCATGATGGGCAACCCCGATTTGCATCCCTTGGATATTCCAGAAATTATTTCGCTTGTTGGCGAACACCTCGATGAAAAAAGTCTTTTTTGTTGCATTCGTGTTTCCAAGACATTCCACGACACACTTGTCAAAGCTATTTGGAAAAAGACTAAAATTAACAGTCCTTCAAGATATCCTACCGCTGAAGCACTGCAGACCTACAAGGAATATATTGAAGAGCTTGGATTTTATTATAACTTCCCAGAGGAATTCGGATCATTGCAAGGTTGTAAGAACCTTAAACATATTGAGTACTATGGAGGCTCACCGCCTCTGAACCCAACTGCTCGGAGTGATCTTTCCAATCTCATCAAGGCCCACAGCTCCACAATCACCAAGCTAACGTTCTATTGTCCAACTTTACGAGAGATATGGAAAGCGCTGTTGGGATGCACTCGTCTTGAAACCTTGATGATCCAAGAGATAGTTATACTCAAAGATGAAGTCGATCTGTTCTTTCAAGCCTGTAAGAAAGTCAGGATCTTGACCATATCTAGAGTAAACATCAGTCGGCTACCTTCCGATTTCCTGAACGATGCCACCGACACATTCACTTTCCCAAATCTGAGCACATTACATCTTCATAAGGTCAAAATAGTCAATCCTCCACATCCGCACACATCGCCATATTGCCTCGCCATGTTGACTAGGAGATGTCCAGGATTATACACATTGAGCTTCAATGGACACGGAGATGACGATCGAACTTCACCTAATGTTTTCTATAAGACAGCACTACTTCATCGACCTTATGCGTTGAAAAACCTATCGGATCTACACTTTTCAAAGATGGATTTAAAGGACGAGGATATGGCGGCACTTCTTAGATTGATGACCGAACTAAGACAGCTGGTTGCTCCACACTGTGAGTTCGGCCCACTTTCTATTCGGGAATTGTTAGCAAACGAACAGGAGATGTTGGATGATGGACAGATAGTACGGAAAGCAAGAGAACAGAGGCTCTGCGATGCAGTTGAGGTATTGGAAATCAATACAGAAAGTCACATATCTGGTGGCGCTGTTCAAGCAGTGTTGTCTAATTGTCCACGTCTGAAGAAGCTAGTGGGATCCAAAATCAGAGTGACAGAGATTGTCGATGGTGCAGAGTGGGTTAGCACTGAGCTGACTATACTGAGTATCCGTCTTGAAGCCGATGTTGATCAAGAGACTGCAGAAGGCATGCAGAAGCAGCGTATTGCGTTTAAGCAGCTAGGCAAGTTGACTCGACTAAACTACCTTGATTTGACAGAACAGACTTCATTATCTCAGAAAATCCGGACACTGGACTTGAGGTTAAGAGCAGGTCTGGATGAGCTAGTCAACTTGAAGCGTCTAAGATCACTATCCTTCCAAGGTGATAACCATCAGCAGATGCAATCTGAGGATGCGTTGTGGGTTATAAACAATTGGCCAGACGTCGAATTCTATGGAGACATTGCGGCTCAAGATCCTGATACTGAGGAATTAGTGGATAGCATATTCGAAAAGCGCGGAATTGTAGTAGGTTTTTCGGAACTTTCGGATTATTTCTAGTGAAAGTAAGGGGATAAATATTAATATTATTTATTATCACTTCATAGCCTGGTTTGAAAGGAGGGGCATGGGCCTCTTTTTCAAAGAATAATTGTTAAAAAAAGATGCTGCCATAATAAAGGAGAAAACAAAACATCATAGCTCATACAATGCTTATCAACCTTGTTTATATCAGTAATTCGACAAACATCCTTTCAACAACACAGGACGAAATAGTCAAGTATCTTTGTAGCCAAGAGGTTCAAAACAAGGGATGTACTCTGGATACGAATGGCTTTCCGTTTCACATGAGGGTAAGGCGAGATTCTGGAGTGAAGCATGGCGCTGGTGGCATTTACTATACAATATTCATTAATGCACTGATAAAAAAGCACCCATCAAATGATTTTATTTAGCATTTTAGTACTCAAATGGTTCAAACTGGCTGCAGAGTTGTCGGGATACCTGATCAGCCCAAGGGCCTTAAGGCTTTGAATGTCTGAAACAGAGGACAGCTACCCTACTTCAGGTCAGCATACAGGAGTATCAGAGCCCAAGATAATTGATCGCGAAGAATTGCTACAACTGGAGACAAGGTCAGGCCCTTCTACTGATGAGTATTACGCAGTACACAAATTCAGCCTACGGTATTGAGGACCCACCCATCCTTATGCCTGAGCCAAAGAGAGGGAATAAGTCGCCGTCCAAGAGTTCGAAAAGTGCAAGGAAGAGCTTATGGTTCTGCAGAAGGAGTTGGGCCGTATAGCATATAATAGGCAAAAAAGAAAGTGCACATTGAAGGATATGCAAGCAGTAGCAGATCTGAGTTTTTTTTTTTTGATAGGAACCAGAAAGAACAATAAACCAGCTGATCCCTTTGGGTACAGCACGATCTTGGCCCTATTGCATCACTGAAAACAGACACGCAGTAGCCTCTCAACGCCCGCACCCAGCACTAGACTAGCGTATTTGCTGACACGCATATATTGTCTAAATTATGTAAATCTAATTGAACTACAAATTCTCAAGGTGGATCCTCTTGCTGCTTCTGGGCTCCTCTTCTTGCTCGGGCGGTGCTGTCGCTTGACCGCTCTCTTCCGCCCTGGAAGTTATCTTATTTTGGTTTGGCACAAGATAGGATGGTCGTTCTTGATAAAGTAGATGGCCCTGAACAACATTGCAAATGTTATGGCCTGCCATGATATCTCTGTGCATGAATGCCTTGCAGCTGCTGCAGCACAGCCAACGGATCTCAACCTGGCTAACAAATCCTTGACACGTCGAGCATTTTTTTGAGGTATAGTATTCGTTTACGCCTACAACGATGTATCCGAGAGATCAGACCTAATGGGACAGAAATGCAAGATAAGTGCTACAATGTGATAATAGTGGCAATAAAAAGCAGTGACCGACGCTACTGCTTAATTCCATATGACCATCAAGTTTTTTTTTTTTTTTTTTTTTTTTTTTTTTGTAAAGAAAATAGTGGGCGAGTACATACCGTTTTCACGAAGTACGACTGGAATGATTCGTGTAAAGATGACAGCTTTGCGTTTGACGAGAACTTACCAAGGCCCACCCCGATCACCACCTTGTTTCCCTCATTTATTTTTGCTCCGATTGATCCGCCAACCGTCTTGAGTAGACTATTAGCATTCTTCTTGTATTATTCAGCCCGAGCTCTCTTTGCATCCCACCTATGTTTCTTGATAACATTGTTGCTGCTATAGAAGGAATCAAGGTCTTTCTCCACGCCTCTGAGCCTCTCAATGTAATTTTTTATACTTGCATCGACTCCACGAAGAGAAGGCAGGCTGGTCTCGATGTCACTGATGGACTGTGAATTGTAGGCCGCTGCTGTCTTCCGTTGCTCCATCCAACATGGGATGATGGCGCCTATCAGAGCTTGACACATGTGCCTTTCTGCAAAGCGCTTGTGTGCCTCCCTTACAGTGCTCCTATTAGAACCATTCGAGCCATTCGAGCCATTCGAGCCATTCGATACTCGAAGTAATCGAACGACTCGAATTATCTAGAGATCTGTAATTGAATGGCGCCATTCGAATCATTAACTATTCGAATAGATTCGAACTTACCATGGTTCGTTTTCGATTCGAATGCATTCGAACCCATTTGAATTCGATATGTTCGGATCAAATAGGAGTACTGCTCCCTTGTAATGATTCCTTAACTCAATCTTGAGTTGTGTGCCAACTGATCACAGAACAGCAGTCCCTGGATAGCGCATCCTTTTATTGATCGCGCCAGCATCAGCCATAGCAGGCAAAAAGTCTTTGGCCTTCAGGATGAAGCTGAGCACATGAGCGACCTTTCCTTTGCTAACTGGGGGCCTCTTGTAGTAGATGCATACGAGGAACGAGAACAGAAAGATCGTATTAGTATCTTTTGTTTCGTTTTCATCGTCCTCTGCATCTTCTCTCCTTCAGGACCCTCATCACTGGCCACACTCTTGCTAGATACAGCCACTGACGCCGGTACCTGAAAGCTGCTCAATGTACTGGCCAATAGCTCTCCGGGAAGTGCGCTTGGTCTTCGAAGCACAGCGAACAGCTTGTTGGAGGCAAGTCTTAATCTTAGATCTCAACTGGGGCTTATCAGTCAGTATTCTATTCAGGTTGCCGTTGATAGTCTCGATATCAAGAGGCCTAGTTGGGTGTTTATACTGCATAGCCCTGGCCAAGTCTTTTTTATCCATTTCGTCTACCGGTTTTTGTGGCCTTTTCGTCTTTTCTTTCTGCTTCTTCTGCTGCTTATTAGAGCCAAGAGTATTTGCATTGGGATTGTCTTTCTGCTCTCTCTGTTTGTATTCTTCATGATCTCTGGACAGGCATGTTCGAGCTTTCGGGAACGGGCCTTGAATGAATACCGCTCTCGATACTTATATTTCCGTCCTGAAGCGTGCGAAGGAGGCCATAGGGCAGGTGCTCGATCGATAGAGCTAAAAACGTTGAATGTATCCGAGTACCTTTTCGTCTGGGACAGCTGTCAACAGAGGCAATGTCCATGTTAAGGCTGCAAAAGTGGGTTAGCTGAATGAAGATGGAGTAAAAAAGGGATAAAGAGCTAGATCAGAGCACATTGCCTTCTACCTGTACTCTTATTCCTTTTTAGTTGTTCGCGGATTAAAGCCAGTCTCTGTAGTAGATTTTATGAGTCAAAGGGACTTGTACGGAAGCCTGAAGTGCAGCTGGTAGACATTTGCTCTGTTGCAGATCTACAAAAACCCTTATGGAGTTTTCAAAATATCCATAGTCTACCTTCCTTTCTCACACTTCATTGTGACTCAAGTAACCTTGGATCATGCTCTTGGGATCTTTTTTTGAAAAAGCAAAAAAAGGAAGAGAGAGGGTTTGATGTGAGATCAACCTTTTAGACAGCTTACTACTCTACGGTATGCCATTACCTTCTCCAATCTGCTCCTTGACGATTTTGTAGTTAGTAATATTTCCAAGCCGGGAAATGTTGCAAGTGTAATCGTTCTTGCTCACGATACACGGTACCGTCAACTGCAGTCGTGTAATATACAGGACGGCGAGTACGTCTGCAAGCTTATACACCAAAATGCGGCCTCTCGAGATAGGGCACCAAAGCGTTGAGATGTTCCTGTATGCGAACATGTCGCTGTCTCGGGACACAACTACATCCTCGAGTTAGCAATCAGTCGCGATAGCAACGTCTGCCTCGGATTGACATTCTTGAACAAGGCAATTCTTGCTCCGCATGTAGATCGCGAACGAGCCTCGTGCTTCTTTTGACCAATGGAGGGCCATATCCAACGCCTTAATTACAGTCAGGAATTGTTTCTTTCGGACTCGACTCTTGCTTTGTACGCGTTCGTATAACTCATCGAGCCCTCGTTGGGCGTCCATCAGTGCCTTGGCTCGCACTTGCTCTCGACATATATGGGTAAGTCTTTTTTCCTCACAAGCGTCGTCGTCAAGATACAGAATAAGATTTTCTGACGCGACGCTCCATATTTCTCCAGCGCCCTTTCCATGATCTTGTGGGCTGTATCGAGGGAATGATTGGAGTATGCGTTTCGAATTGTCGGATACAAGGGTCCTAAAACATCAAACCTTATGAAAGCGTCGTGATTCAAGGGGTTGGAGGGATTGGAGGTAGAGCAGATTGACGAATGGTAGTGAAGACTCGCCTCATAGCCCTTCTTTAGGAGAAAAGACCAGAGGCCCTCGATACCCATTGTTAAGAGGTGATATGAATATAGAAGCGGGATATCGGAGGAACTGTTAAAGAAAGAGATGTTGGGTGAGGAAAAAAAGAAAAACGTGTGAATTCTTATACTCCTCGTTTGACCAGTGATTCTTATATTTTCTATTCAAAAAATGATGGTTGGATTGCATTGGTGGCTGATTTTGATATTTCACCGTACGCGACGAGCTTGTAACAAGGGAGATACTTGGCTCTCAATACATTCAAAAAATATAAGAACCACTGACCATATGGATGGACAACACGGTGTTTCACGTGGCATCAGTCCAATTTTTCTTAATATCGACGTATGAAGCGCATGGTGTTTAACACAAAATTAGACACAAACATTGGAACACACCGGTGGGACATCAGACTTAGGGGCGCCGGGAGCACCTGGTGCTATTGCCGTTATCCAAAAAAAAAAAAAAAAAAAAAAAAAAAAAAAAAAAGATATCCGGTGATGTTGTTGCACCGAAAAAATTGCCCGTGCTTGTTGTACATTTTTCTTCTTCTTCCCTGTTCTATTTGAGAAATCTGGACCACAACCTCAGCATAGGCTGCTTGACGATAAAGGATATCCTATCATACTCGCCAAATTTTAATCCACATGAACCAGTAGACCCTTATCCTATTCCTAAGGAGGCACCTAATCCTTTTACTACAGTTTTCATGTTCAGTGCATTTCGAAAATTCTGGGGCTAAGAAAGGCCTACATATCAATGGGCAGAGTACTCGGAGAATAACTCTCGATTTATTCTTGCCCATAAAGGGAACCTGGATACACCACTTCCTACGTACAGTAAGGCATATCCTGGCCGCAGCCGTCCACGTGAATCCAATTGGCCAGTCAAATACGTCTGTTGGCGCCAAGGTTCGAAAGAAAAGTTGACCGATTGGTAGCAAATGCTCGGTATATATCAGAATCAAAGAACTTATTGAGCAATATCGGATTATGGTGGAGTATTATAGATGCCACAACCATGGAATTTCAGCACAGTCTAGAGCCGATCTTCCTCTAGAGCCTAACGAGCACAATTGGATGCGGCCGATGATCTGCGGTGGCCATGATTGGAAATGTATCAAGAATGAATTGAGGCCAACTGAAAAGGGCCTTCAATCGGTAATGACCATTTCAGCATGTGTTGGATACTGTTACATTCGCTTAGATCATAGCTAACATCTCATGATTTGCAGGTTGAGGCAGGGGTGCAAAGTCCTCCTCCAAGCTTTCTTATCACTTTCAATAATGTACGTACAGGAATCTAACATAAACAGATAAAGGAGTTCACCCGAGGTGATAGTGTTGTCACTAGTGTCGAGGGGTGGATGAAGGGAATTCAAGGAAATCAGGGCAAAGGGTGGCTTGCTAATGAAATTGGTACCAACGATCCGCAAAACTATCTAATTGCCTGGTATACGAAATTCCAATTGAAAGTAAGAATCCGCCCTGGTTCATAATATAATCCCTATGGTGATAACCTTATTTAAGGTCCTCGTTACTGTTTTCAACAAGTTATGGAGGATAACAGTTTGATAGCCTGCATGGACTTCACACGGAGAGTTGCTATGTCTGTGAGGAATGAAAAGGGCAAGGGCAAAAGGGATAGTGACTCTTCAGTCTACCTATTTACAATCCTTGTCAAGTATCGGGGTTTGAAAAAAGGCATCCCAGTTGCCCATATACTCTTCAGCTCAGAATCATCGTAAGTTTGGCAAATTCTAGCAACGATGTGAAATTGGTGTCTACCAAGCTGAGACCATTACATTATGTTCAACGACAGATTTCTCATAGAGAGATGGTTATCGTGGCTCGGAACCGATTGCGACTTCAAGGCGTCAAAGTTCATAGTGGACTGCCCACTGACGCAGAGTGATGCCGTTCAGGAAGTGTTTTCCTCCGCATCAATTTACTTCTGCCACCTCCATGTGCAGAAGTTATGGGAGTACCACATGAGGAACAGATTCAAGGCAAAGTACATCATGTCGGCACTACATCAAGATATCTTGACGATAATGGTTTAACGCGTATTCATACTCCTTAGGAGCGATACTGGGATCAAATGAAGGCTTTGCTTAAAAAATGCGCGTTGCAGAGTTTGACGAAGATATAGATAAAGTATTGAGTAGTATAAAGAACCAATTTTATAACCCCGATAACCGCCAAGCCAAAGCCTTCTTTCGCTATATGGAAGAGAACTGGGTCGCGAAAGGGAGGGGACTAAAATGGGTGCTTTATGTGTCAGAGACAAGATAAAGCAGCGGTAAACGGCGGTATTAAATGACTGCTTCAATGAATCTTATTCCCTGACATTCTAATCCACTTAATAGGACTACCATCACGTAGACACAAACAACCCTCTGGAGTCTTGGTTCAAGGCTTTGAAGGCACATGCAATGGAAGGGAAGCGCAGTTTACGAATTGATTTCCTAATCTACATGCTACAGGGGCCTATTGACCAGGACTTCAGGACGTAGTATTTCAAGGTCAAAAACGGAATTCAACCTGCAGTGCTTTCGCAGTACGACTAAGAAAGGTTGGCGAGAGCGATGTCAGTGAGCCCTATGGACGCAAGGGCCATGGTATGCGATAATTTGGTCGAGAAAGAGGTATGTGTCGAGGATTGACAATTCCACAACTTAGATTGTATATGTAGAGGTTCTTATCGTTCTTTCATTCCATACATTTCGTAGCAAAATCGTTCACAGAATCCGAAGTAAAATACTCCGTTGCCACGGACGTAGAAAGGGGCCTCCTTCAGTCATGTTCATGTCCTGACTATGTCCGACAGAGGATCCCTTGCAAGCACATGTATCTGGTGTCAAGGGTCTACGACGGCTTTGATGTTCAGTATGGTGCTGCCCCTTTGCACATTGAACATCAGCACAAGCACATAGACCTCGACTTAGGGCCCCTTCTCAGAGTTTTATCTCTCCAGCCTTACTGCGCCAGCTGAATGAAATGAGAGCTAAAGATAGAGAGGAAAAGAAGAGAAAGAGAGAAGAGGTCACTGTCCGAGCGTTGAAAGAGTACGAAGAAGGATTTATGGACTTGCGGAGAAAGCTGGAGAGTATAGCATATAGCAGATTATAAATAAAGTGTACACTGAAGGATATACAAAACTCACTAGCAGGTCTGAGGAATGTAATCCATACAATGACAGCAAGGGGTCTACAAGTGCCTGAACAGAGTAGCTATTAGGACTTTACTCTATTTGTTTTTGGGCCAAAATTGTGCGGTACCCATCCCTTTATGTGACGTAATTTCAGATACAAATCTTCGGATTCCTGCCAGTCCCATCATAATAATAACCCATGCTTTCTTCCCACCCTCAATCACTCCTTTCTCCAATCTGTACGTTGAACTTGCATCGCATCTGACATGGCAGAGACACTTACCCATCCACTCGTCAAGGACGGCTGGTTTAAAGAGACTAGCACTCTCTGGCCCGGCCAGGCCATGACCCTTGAGGTCAAGGAAATCCTCCATGTCGAGAAGTCACTCTACCAGGATGTGCTTGTCTTTCAATCCACCTCTTATGGCAATGTCCTCGTTCTCGATGGTGTCATCCAGGCCACCGAGCGCGATGAGTTCTCGTAAGTATGAAGCATACGGTATCTATTTATCCCTGGTGCTTGTATGGATTATCAAGCATACCCACCCACCGATATCTTTGCTTTAGAGAATTGCTCAGGATCAATTGACTTTTTATTTTTTTTGTTTTTTTGTTGGCTGGGTGTAATTGTCTCCTTCAGCTACCAGGAAATGATGACCCATGTCCCCATGAACTGTCATCCCAACCCCAAAAAGGTCTTAGTCATTGGAGGAGGTGATGGAGGTGTCTTGCGTGAGGTTATTAAGCATGAGGGCGTTGAAGAGGTCGTTCTCTGCGAGATTGATCAGGTAAACCATTTTGTAATATTTCTCTAGTCATCTTGACTAGTACAAACCATAGGAATAGGCGTATATATTCGAAGTGACCTATGGACCACTTGGGGTGGATGATCAAGCAGCATTACCACCGATGGCCTTAAACTGGAGCGATCAGCTGCAACAATTTAGAATAATATTCACGCAGTTTCTGAACACGTAAAGTTTTTATTCTCTAACTTTGGCAGGCTGTCATTCGTGCGTCTAAGTTCTTGCCCAGCATGGCTGCTGGCTTCGAGCACCCCAAAGTCAAGGTTCACATTGGTGACGGATTTGCTTTTCTCGAAGACAAGGTTGATAGCTTTGATGTCATCATCACAGATTCTTCTGATCCTGTTGGTAAGTTGGCTTTTATGCTATTATCATCATTTCCGCGGAACTCTAGCTGATTTCCAAATATATGGCTAATGATGATTTGAAAATGCTTGCGGTCTATAGGCCCTGCTGCCTCTCTATTTCAGGCCAAGTTCTTTGAGCTCATGAAGAATGCCCTTCATGCTGGTGGAATCATTTGCACACAATGTACGCTACCACGTCAAATCGCCCTATACTCTAGTATTCTTACAGCTGTTGTCCTATTGATCTTCTTTAACCTATTAACATGCATTCTAATTGGATTATAAAAAAAATATAAAAAAATCCAGGCGAGTGCATCTGGCTCCACCTACCCATCATCAAGGAAGTCTTGGGCTTTAGTCGTAAGCTTTTCCCCCGAGTTGAGTATGGCTTCACAACCATCCCAACCTATCCCTGCGGTCAAATCGGTCTCATGGTCTGCTCCAAGGACCCCAACACCAGCATCAGGGAGCCAGTGCGCCAGTGGTCTAAGGAGCAGGAGGCGAAGCTATGTCGCTACTACAACACAGAGATTCACAAGGCTTGCTTTGTCCTACCTCAATTCGCCAAAGCAGCCCTTGAGGCCCCTGAGGAGTCCAAGTAAAGCGTGCTACCATAGCTTTTGTTATTTGTCTTTTTTTTTTTCCACCACATGCATCCATTTGAAATAAATAAATAAATAAAATGCATAAAATGAGAGATGTAAAATTTTCGTTTCTGTAGGGTGGCTTAGTTCTCATATCTGACAGAAACTTGTTCATAAAATTGCAATCTCTCTTCGTTTTACATTGCCCTACATTGCCCACCTCTGACGAAATTCTTTTAGGTATGTCCAATGCCCCGCCATATAGAAGTAGAATTGCAATTGAACTTGATACTGGCATGGGATGTCTGTTCTTTTTTTTTTTTTTTTTTTTTTTTTTTCCGGTTTGCCATCTGTAGCCCCTTGATCTCAACATCTACTCATGGTGATTTGCAATCAGAAAAGAACCAGAATATCAATTTAGAAAAAAGCAAGATGGACTTCGAAAGTAACCTTGGCACTAATGGCGGTAATAATGGTGTGCCAGCCAGCGAATCAGTCGACGTCCTTAAGCCTAACGACAGTGACACTATGGATGAGGCCTTTCGCCACGAAGATCCTCATTATCGCCGCTACCAGGACGATGATGATCGTCGTAGTAGAGACCGCCGAGATTCGCGTGAAGGAGAAGACCGCGCTCGTAGTCGCAGCCCAGACCGATCGAGGAGCTACATGGGCGGCTCAGGCAGTGGGCGTAACCACGATAGGGATGAGAAATATGACTCAGAACAGCGTCGTGGAGGTCGTGGTCGATCCAGATCCAGAAGCCCCACCCGTCAAACTTCTACATCCAGTTTGCGTGACCGTCGCGTTTATGTCGGCAATTTATCTTACGATGTCAAGTGGACTAATCTTAAGGACTTTATGCGGGAGAGTACGTCCTTTTCACTTTGAATGTCATTCTTTTTATTACTCATTAAGTTGATGTTTGTTATAACTGATATTTTACATGTTGTTATGCGATGCTTGCATGATGTGGGACAAAACAGTCGGACCTGTTGCACATGCAGATGTGTTATTGAACTCGGATGGCCGCTCGAAAGGGTGCGGTGTGGTCGAATTCCAGAGTGCTGAGGATGCTAAAGAAGCTATCCGCAGACTCAACGACGTCGTTTTGATGGGTCGCCCTGTTTTCGTCCGAGAAGACCGTGAGTCTGAAGCTAGAATCGGCTTCTCAGGCGGACGTGGTGGAGGGCTCCAACCATCATCAAGGGGAAGCGATTCCGGTACCCGTCAGATCTATGTTGGGAATGTAAGTGAGGAGATTGGGGAGGAAAAAAACAAAGAGGAGCTTTGGGAACAAATTAACCCTGACAACATCCGTATATGGTTTACGCCTGAATTAGCTCCCTTATTCAGTCAACTGGAAGGATCTGAAGGACTTATTTAGGAGAGCAGGACCCGTAGACAGAGCAGACGTTTTCAGCACAAGTGACGGACGATCCAAGGGTTCAGGAACCGTTTCGTTTGATAGAATCAGCGATGTCTCCCGAGCAGTTTGTACGTAACATGTTTTAGCCAGAGGTGGAGGGATCATCAAAGAACTAGCATTTTGGCAAGCCAAATTTTATGGGGGACAAGGGATGGCGAGGGTCGGGCTTCGGGTCATGACACTTGCAACTAATCAGAGACCTTCAATGTCTTTAATATTCGAGATGGAGCACAATGAGTCGTAAAAGATGCAGCTTAAAAGCTACTTTTGATTCTGCCCATTTTGGAGATGGGAAAGGTCTACAATCGTTTTTATGAGCCCGACCCTTTTGAACTTCAACGAAACATTATCGACTGGATAATTTTCAAGAAATAAGGATGAGAAATAGGAAGATTGAGCGGAATAGGATTAGGATTGCAGGGGATGTGAATGGCTCAGCGGATGCAGAGGATGAGTAGAGAGAGAGGAAATCGGGATTGACGCCGAGGACGAGACTGGATCGTTGGGTGGATTTGATGAAACTAAACTGCGTCTATCCTTCTTGTCTTACATCGCGCCCTTCGTTGCTACCCCAATGCTTGCTTTTATTCTATCAACGTCGGAAATACTCATGTCTCACGAATCACTAATTCGATCGGATTGCTACTAGCAATGTTCAATGGATTCGAATGGCATGGCCGTCGTATTGAAGTTCGGGAGGTAGGTCACTTTTTTTTTTTTTTTTTTTTTTAATTTTTTGATGATGCACTAGGCGACAATTGAGAGAAATAAGGATGCGGGATAAAAGAATGGAACTTAACTGTTCATATCCATAATGCCTTTGCTTTTTATGTTTTAATGCTTAGGATAAATACGGTCCTCCTGCCGGCGGTTCGTCTCGTGGCTCGTCTAGATATGATAATCATCGTAGTAGCAGCTATAACGATTCGTATGGATATGGAAGCAGTGGACATAGTGACTATAGGCATGACAGTAGCTCTGGTCGCCATCATGACGTGTACGATGGCACTTCACGAAACCACCACTCCAGTAGCTATAATGATATGTCGATGGAAGCTATCCCTTCAGGACCTGCTGCAGGTTCTGGTGACCAGATCTATATCCGCAATGTAAGTTTATCGTAATTGTTTGGGAAATAAGTGTTATCAAAAATAGCATAATTAGTGCATACGCTCAGCGCGAGTTCGATGGGCCGGCATCATTTCTTGTATTTAGCTGCCGTTAACTACCACCGATCAGGATTTGAGAGATTTGTTCAGGACTTGTGGGCCAATTCGAAGAGCGGAAATTCTAATGAGCAGTGGCCGTCCTAAGGGCTCCGGTATCGTGCGTTTCGAGATGTTCGAATCGGCTGAAAAAGCTGTTGGTGAGTTGAGAGCGAAAGGAAATTTCAAATGGTTATTTTTCGTCGACTTTTTGTGTCCGGATTCCTGGAAAAAAAAAGCTTCTGACACAAGCTTTACTCTTCTGGCATGTTAATAGCAAGATTCAACGGATACGTCTATGGTGGTCGTTCTTTGGAGATTATGTATGATCGTGTCTAAATCTCGCGTGTGTATGTTGATATTGTGCAAAGCTTCACACAAGGCTTATGCATGCAGGAATAGCTCAAGACACAGTTCATGGATTCAATATTTGGAGCTTTCAGTAGTTTTATTAAAGTTTTTTTGCGTATAAAAAAATATATTCTCTCACATTGTATATTTAAAACAACCATTCGAGAATCTTCTTGCAAATGATCAAAATCTAATGCTTTGTAAATCTGCTATTCATTCTGTTGCTGATTTCAATTCATTCAGTCATGTCTTCACTTATTGTCATCATTGTTACTTTGATCAGCTTTACAAATGTAAAAAATTGGTAAGCATACCGGTAAGTTACTTTTGAAAGATATTGATTCTTTTCAAAGTAATGTCATCTGATTTTTCTATTGATATCTTACTTCTGCAAAAAGCAAGGAACCAGCCCAGGGAAATCTACAGAGGCACGCGAAACTATGATTGATAGAGCAAGGAATTAGAAAAAGCTCTTTGGCACAAAGAGGATATTATTATATATTATTAGCAGAATCAGGAGGAGAATAAACAAACTGGTTCGGGGGTTAGAATGGATTCGATGTTAAACGATTTGCCACCAATTTCTTTAATGACTTTTGTTTTCAAAAAAAAAAAAAAAAAAAAAAAAAAAAGCCTCCAACTGTCTCAATCTCATTCAAGTTTCACTGAACCATGTCGGACGGATTTACACTTCGCAAGAAGGCCATTCTAATTGCCCTCAATTCAGACACACCAGACAAGTCCCCCAAAGGATACGTCGATGAACCTCTGTTGCCGTTGATTATGCTTGTCAATAGTCACAAGGACTATGTGACAACATCATCGTGCTCTGGTCGTATCTGCACTTATCTTGAAGGCTTGAATGAATCCAGTGCCATCGAACTCAAACAACAACAGAGGAGTGAACCTCAAGAAGATAGCAATCATAATACTGATAGGAGGAGCAAGGACAAAGAGGAAGAGGAAGAGGAAGAGGAAGAGGAAGAGGAAGAGGAAGCGCAGATCGCTGCAGGATATGCAGAGAATACTTCATTAGCTGCGGTAGAAGCAGCCAAGCGGGCCAAAGGCGGGCAATGGCTTTATGTCAGTCATGAGTCTATTGTTATCACACCAGAGCAGGACTCCAGGGATCAACACTGGATTATTGACACACTCTTTGGCTCAGAAGCGCATAGAGTTGTCTTAATGGAGGATGCCATGGGTGACAGGACTGCTGATATGGCCAAGGCACAGTTGGTATACTTCAAGTTTGAACCGATGGTAAGATCTTATCGATAGATATAACCAGTTATTCATTTTAGAAAAAGAAGGCACTTTTTTGCCTAACCATCCTAACTTATACGTTGGTGCGCATTGTATAGATTCTCCATATTGAAGCGGCGACACCTACAGCTGCAAAGACATTTTTAAACCACTCCTTATTCTCAGGCTATCGGAACTCTGGGATCCTTCCGTCCGCGAAGCGAACTATGCTGGCCATCCGCAGTACCCTCAAGATCGATGCCCCAATAGCCTATATACCTTCCACAGCGTCTTCAGCACACGCTGCAACGACAACGCTAACATCAATGAACACTATTGTGGAGCCAGAACCAAAGATCCATCTAATAGTTTCATTATCGTATCTACGTTTGCTGATCGAGATGAGTAATGACAAATTCCGCATGAATACGGCTCAAATGAGTCGGTTTGAAAAGCGGTTGACAGAACACTTGAAAGAGGAGAGCGACAAATCGGCAAAGAAGGGGGATCAGGGAGAATGGGAGGATAAAGATGCTCGGAGGGAACGCAAACGCAGAGAAGGTCTCCTCAAGCAACAGGAAGCTGCCAAGGCGAGAGCTAGAGTACCAAAACAAGAAGAGATGTTAACTGAACAACCGATACCTTCGTCACCACAGGACAAGCAAATAGAACAATAAAGCATCTCTTTTATGTGTTCACCTCAGACAGTGCAAGCTACATGGTTATAACATTTAGTTTTATGGGCACAAGCATTAACTATTATAGAGCTAACTGGAAAAAATCTGGGAGGCGAATATTTGTCTCCTTAAGAGGTCTCGGGGCTGAGATTGATGTTATTGAAGGATCGAGAGCGAACCTGCTCCGAATAAACTCTAGAGCTCGCTGACTAAATTCGCCACCGTGATCTGCATAATACTTGATTAACAGTAAAAGTCCTAAGGGTTTAAAGAGGCCAATAAAAGGAGAGATGTTGTTTTGTTGCTAATTTAGATAACCATTCGATGTCTTAACAACTACATTGCAACTCCTATATTTGTTTGATAAATAGAAACTGAGTACCTACTCTTTAAAGATTCTTGCTCAAGGTGAACAGGTACAGAACGCTCCCGCTCCTGTTCCAACGCCATTAATAAGGCCCCATGGATGATCTGAGCCATTTTGACGTTGACCCCATATGTGTTCCTTGCGATGTCGATGGTTTGAATGAGGCTCAATCCATCCATTGCTACTCTTACAACCTCTGCTTCTCGACTAAACTGAACAAGACGCAATCGAAACTGTATATCGTTGGGCATAGATGGATCACAGCTGAGTAATGCCTGTCCATCAGCAAGTCTCTTGGGCATGTGTTGAGCGTCACTGGTGTCTCCAAACAAGCTACTCCATGTCGATCCAGCTATCACATCAATAGACAAAAACCGATTTGGAATTCGTTAAAGACATCCAAGTAAAAAAAAAAAAAAAAAAGAATAATGTGCCCCATACCTTGCTTATTAACATCACCAACTGAGAGGATCAAAAGTGCCAGTCTCAAAATTTCTGGGTATATATTTAATAACGTTCCATCAGACATCTTCACTTCGACTTTGGCTCGTGCGGTTGTACGCCATACAGCATAGTCTGCCTTTTTTCCAGCTACATCCTCCATCACGCTATCGCTTTTTGAAAGGTGCTCGTCGACCTTCTTGGCGATCGATTTTATAAGAGCATCATGTTCATGCACAAGCCAGTCAAAGATGAAGAGTCGGCCAGTCAAGAGCCTCGCGATTGTCAACAAACTCTGTTCCAATGAGTTATCAATATCTGCCCCAGTACATAGCTTCAGCAGGAACTGTATACTTGAGACAATCCACTTGACATCATTTTCAACTTTAACAATATCTTCGATCCATTGCAACGCTTTGTCAAAAAACCCTGTTCCTGGAGTTTTTTGGATAGTTTGTAGGAGTACGTTTGGCCATTGTAGTGCACCATGAAATAGAGCACCCATGGCTACCTTAGTCTCATAGACTACAGTCTCCATATCGGTTGAGCTTGATGCTGATGCTAATGGACATAGACGCACCAGGAAATACTCGAAGATATCTCGGGCTTCTTGGAATCGCGATGATGGATCTTGAGTTTGACTGCTATAAAGAGCCGCAGAGGTTGAGCTCAGTTCCATGACACTCTCCAAATACCCAACCAACTTCTTTTTTATGCTCGTGTCAACGATTCCACTGTCAGTGGTGGAGGCGGCGCTATCACCCGGAGTCACCTTTTGAGACAGAACAGATCGGCAATATCTAGCACAAAGCGTTGCTGCTGGCAAAGCGTTGAGGATCTCTGGCACATCCCTCAGTAACTGGTCAACCCAGGCTGCATCATCATCGCTGCCAACCATTCTTCCAAGATAATCAGGGTCTCTGGAGCTCGCAAGCTTCATGCCCAGACTGAATCGCTCATTCATTCCTCTCAATTGCTGCATGATTTCCATTGGGGGTGCTCGCGCTGGTTGTGTTGGTCCAAAGTCAAGCCGCATAAGCCAACCAACATATTCGCTTTGATTGGGTTCCAACGGATTGTTGCCACGATCCTCGCCCCAGAGTCCTTGAACAATAAGCGCTTCTTTTTCCCATGCAAGAACACAATCTCGATCCTTTAGTTCTGCCATCATCCCTAATCGCAAAAGACGCTCAGACGATGGCTCTGAGCGAGAGGTATAGTTAGGTGGAGGGAATGAATAGTGCTGAGAGATACAGAGTTCCAAGAGCGTCCGAATCACAGGCATCGAGTCCCAGACAACCAATGCTAGAATCCTTTAGAGGGTTTGAAGACAATTGTCAGAGTTTTCATATCAAAAGTCATTTCATTGAGCGCAAAAAGATAAAAGATATTAAAGCAAATAAAATAAACACCCGGGAAACAAACTAACCTTGGATTGCAGCTTGCAAGCATCGTAACAACAAGACAGCATGTCCAAAAGGACAGAGTCCAGGCTAGAGGAATATCACTGGCAAGCTTTAAGACCCGACTGTCCTCTGTTTCACAAAAACGCGAAAGCTCAAAAATTTTGACAATTATGTCTGGATTTTTAACAATGCAGCTTTCAGGGTACTTCATGGTATACATGCGGATATAAACAAGTAACGATATACATAAAAACTTAGTCCGAATAGTTCAATTATTGTTATCAATCCAGTAACATGTGGCTCCAAAAATCATTGCATCAGTAAATCTTACAAACCGTGACAAATCAGTTGCTCGAGAGACATACTCTCCAACTACAGAAAGTAGCATTTTGTTAGGAAGACGAATGCTCAGAAGAGCCATCAGCCCGGATTCAGTTAAGGGTAGTCCATTTTCGATCACTTTGAAGATGAGACCACCATCGAATTCTTGCGACGTCTACAACGAAGATGTCCATGCCATTGCAATTAGCTATTAATAGTTCATATGCCTATGACACCACATTTAGTCTTCAATATTTCTATTACAAGTACACTGTACCGTATCCATAGCGTACGACTGCGGAGGATCCAAGAAAAGCAATCTCACGACACAGATCCTTAGTGCATCCAAAGGGACAGGTCCAAATGGCGTCCTGCAAATATCCCCTTCACTTGGTGTTGTCGGAAGCCCACCAGTACTGCTGATTGTCTGAAACCATCGAAGGGTAAATGTATGTACCTGTTCGATGGAAAACTTACTGGCCTTAACGTCTTTTGCCTCTTTAACATCAATAGCAGTTGCCATCATGACATTGCACACAATTTCTATCACCATCAGCAGCCAAAGGGTCGGTGTATTACGCCCACCCAGAGGGATATGCGACTGTGGGTGATTCTCCTGTTTCTGTGTGAGTCGTGCTAAATGAGATCCCTCTTTTAGCAGACCAGACACTACATCCGTCGTCCAGGACGCACTGCGTTTGCCGAGATGCCTGATCCATCGTTTAATAACCAAAACCACCGGCGCCATAGGCGGACTAATAGTTGAACCTTCCATCTGCAATGCAGCTTCAATGGCGCATCTCTGCATCATTTGCCCAAACTCTACCGCTGGCTTACTTGGGATTGCCTCTAAAAGTAACTCCATAAGGTCCAAGTGATAAGGATTCTTGAGCTCATTTGGGTTCATTTCTATTTCCATGATATGGTTCAGTCCCGTCCGGATAAGCTCTTGTCCAGAAAGGTTAATGAGCGCCACACGAAGTTCTTCTTTAACAGCTTCGACTTGATGAGCGCGCCCTTTGTATCGAAAATCCAGAAGCATTGTCCATGTTTCAAGATCGTCCTTGGATAAGAATGATTGTGAGCTGATTTGCCGAAGAACAACCCTTAGAAGCGGTTTAGCGCTCTTCATAAAGTTTCCAAGCCAGACTATTGAAAAAAATAAAAAAAAATAGATTTGAATTTTTGCAAGGTCCTCATGTCCTGAGATATCCTGGATGAATAACAATATCCAAGCTACATATCGCTGCTAAACCTACATTCCATACACCCCATGGCTTTTAGCCGAACTTCTGCCCAACGACATGTCACCATCATGACTTTGATTAAACTTCGGACTGACGCCTCTACAGCACTAGCTCCTACAGCCATAGGTATATGCTCTGACATAGTCTGAAGGGTAATGTGCTTGATGTTACTCCTTATGGCCTGATTTTGAAATCGTTTTCTGAGACTCAATGGCTCAGTGTATTGATGAAGGTCAATTGTTGCCATGACAGCTGATGTATTACTCTTCTCATCTAAGCGGACAGGATCAAATTTGGTTTCCTCGGAGTCGTCCTCAGGATCATCTGTTCTGAATGCGGTTAAGACATTGGCCACAAAAGTTTTCGTCTCAGCATTCGCACACCATGATCGTTCGCCCAATGCATCTTCCAGATAAGCCATAACAAAATCAGTAGGCCAGTCCTCGATTGAATCCCAAGCTATGTGCAATAGCGCGCAGATCAGAAACACCACTGCACCATTCGTGCGAATCTTAAAACTATGAGTGAATTCAGGACGAAGCATCTGGATCATGATGGCAGAAACAGTTTGGTCTCTAAGCAATTCAGGCATAGCTTGAGCAAGTCGAAGAAGGCCCGATGTAATGACCTGATCAGGCTTGAGTGAATTATACTTCAAGTATTGTAAAGCGGCCCGGACATGCTGGAGTGGTGGTGCGACCTCCCACGACTCCTGTGTAAAAGTATTATAAACTAGAAGGATGAAGGTAGTTTGTGTTTTTCCAGTCAGAAGGTAAATTGGCAATCGAAACGAACAAGCAGGTCGTTCAGACAGCTATCGTACCTTCTTCCTCTACTTGACGCAGATTGGCCAGGCCCGCTTCCTGCTCGATTTTAACACCCCTTGTGAGCGACCAGAGAGTCTTGGGGACGTCCTGCTGTTGATACTGTTGCTGTGGGCTGCTATGCGCTGCCTGTTGCTGAGCTGGGATCTTTCTTAATGTTGACTTGACTGTTGAATCTTCCGTTTTGACTCTTGGAGGTGTAGAGGGTGCACTACTGCTACCAGTCGAAGTTGACCCAATACGCGCTCTTTTCTGTACAGGCCCTGGCATAGCCTCAATGGGTAAATCTGGTGTGCTATGTGCTACTGAATCAACGGCAGTTGGCGAGGATCCTGATGCGCTTGAGTGACCCTTTGACACCTGTAGCTCTAACTTTGTCGAAGACTTAATAGGCCTTGTTGGCACCCTACCTGCAGTAAGCAATTGTAGGCGTTTGTTAATGAATATTTGCTTATATTTGGACTCTATCGGGACTGTCAGCCCTCTATGATACTGAGTTGGTTATCACATACCAAGAGGGATTAAGTCTAGGGTGGTAATTTTGAAAAACAAGCACAACAATTAGTTGCTTTTTCTCCCTCTTCATTCTCATCTGGTACGTTGTCTCCAGCATCATGAAATGTATTTGTACCAGGAAGATTGCGCTCAGGGGCTGGAGCCTTTCCCTTGCGCGATTCCTTGCTCATGATGCAGAAAGAATGCCACTGACGCTTTATGAGAGAGCACACAAAAAAAAAAAAAGAAAAAAAAAAAAAAGAAAAGAAAAAAAACGGCAACAAAAGTAAAGCAGAATCCTCGAGCAAAGGAAACATAAATATCAAATAAGTTTATGAAGATAAAAAATACAATAGCGCGCATTCCCGCCCTTCTCTATTTCTTCTGTTGGCCATCTTCCCCATCATTGTTGAGTTTCAAAGATCTTGGCAGCCGTGGTATCAGAGTTGCCAGAACAAGGATCCACAACTTTATTTCCAGATCGTCCTGAAGCGCTAAAGACTACTTGGAATTATGCCGCCTTCAAGCCACAAAGAAATTTTACTTTTTTGAGTGTCAGTAGTTCGAAATTGACAGATTCCTCCTTTAACTTTCGTATCACATCATGGTATATAATGACTTGCACTATTTGCCTTTTTTGGTCAACGGCAGGATATAGCACATCCACAACCATATCGATCCATCCATTGCTATACCAACTACACAACAACAAAGAACTCAACATAGTACTCAGAATATCCAGGGATATCATGGGCTACTCAGCATACCAAAGTTTATGGGATTTATTACTCATTACTCGAACAAGAAAAGAAAAGCAGTCTATGAGAAAACCCCTTGATAAATCCGTCTTGTGCAATGCACTTTATCTTTTACAGTGGGGAATGAAAATCTTTTGCTTATAAGAGTGATCAGGATCAGCACCATTAAGTACTTCCAGCTGCATTATATCATCAAAAACTATGTTTTCTTGGCATTAGATTCAGGATTTTGATTCGGCTGTGATGTGATTACACATTGGGACGACGACTACGGCGCATTTTAACTCAGAGCAAGGATATGACCCATATTGAAACTCCCTGTGTTCTGTACCAACCAACTTTTATTATTATTTTGTTTACAGGGTAAAGTCCACGGTTCCCTGGCTCGTGCCGGTAAGGTCAAGTCGCAAACCCCTAAGGTTGCCAAGCAGGAGAAGAAGAAGAAGCTCACTGGTATGTTTTACGTTATTTTGCCACTCAGCAATCAGTTCATAGTTGACACAGATAAGCAAAGTTAAACTGAACTGCGGCATGGTTTTTCCAATCTTAAATCATCTAGGTCGTGCTAAGAAGCGCGAGACTTACAAGCGCAGATTCGTTAACATTACCAACGCTCCCGGTGGCAAGCGTCGCGTAAGTTATCAAATCGCTGGGTTCTTTTATGATTTTTTTTTTCTCTCTTTCTAAGCGTTCCAATAATAACTTTTTTGTAACTTTTTCCTTTTTCTTTGAAATTACAGATGAACGTCAACCCCGAGTCGAGCAAGAACTAAATGTTGCTGACAGGATATTTGCATAGCATGATGGCGACATCAAGGTTGAGTTGGCGAATTCATCTTTTATATGATTGATGCAGGACTCTAAACTTGTCGCCACCTAACTTGTCATTCAACAGCTAGTTCAAATAAACCCATTATCGCTTCAACGCTCTTGTTTCCATTGTATTATAGCTGATTGATTGGTGGTGTTTTTGGTCAAAAACTCGGTTGACTGACTAATGGATCGTTCTTGGGGCTTCTAAGTACTTGAGCGCATCGTTTCAATACAATAGTTTGTTTAGAAATGTATACTACATATTTGGCACTTTTTGGACTTATTATTCGATGAAGTTTTTCTTGTTATTTTGGACTTAGTTTTTAAATGGGGTTTTGTTTTTAGAAATGAGATCAGTTGGTCGGATTCATTCGATTTTGCAACAACCGTCTCCTTCATTCTTTCAATTTTTTTGTGTATTTATATTCTTATAACAAAGCCTAACTTGAGAGTCGGCTATTGAATGAGTATTGGTCATGATTTCAGGATATCGATCTCCGAGTGATTTACAACCTTTGCTGGGGCGGTAGACTAGGAAAGCTAAAAGGCCATACCAACTGCAAGATTAGAAGTCATTTACTTTATTGAGGCCCTCAAATACTTAAAATACTGAAGACCGATGCAGTTCTAAGGAGAAACTGATAAACTATGTGCTCTTCGAGTTTATGAACATCACTATCTAGGACTACCAGGTTTTTGTTGCGAAGAATGGCGGTTTTATCGAGGACAATCAAAACCAAAAGTCAGAAAAGTTGTCACACAAGATGAACTACCAAGAGAGAGGTTGTGGGGGCCGATGCTGAGGTGGGGCAACATTTAAGCCAGCATCTGTAGGATGCTGTGATCCTGCAGACCATTGCTAGGGCAAAATTGGCAGATGGTGCAGCCTTTCAGCACTCCTGCGTTCACAGATATGCCAGCTGGGTATTCGTAACGGCCCTGTTTAAGGGTGATGGAGACTGGGATAGACTTCCATTGCTTTTCCCAAACAACACCGTTTTTAGCAATAATTACTCAACGCCTTCTTTGTATTAGAATGCATTTCTTGCCAAGGATTATATTTGATTTGTGAGTTCAAGCGTGATATCACATCTTGCAAACTCCAATCTGGTTTGTAGATTGATATCGGATATGTGGCTAGAACTCAGTCACAACTGACGATAAAAGGCATGACATGTCCGAGCCTTAACCATTTCTGATCTGCCGCCGGTCTTCCCTCTCTTCTCTCTTCTGCTCTCTCCTCAGCATTAACGTTGCTCCTTGGACTTTTTTCTTTCTTTTTTGCCTTACCACTCCTATCTACCTTTATTTCCCTCATTCACAGTTGCTTCACATTCACCAAATGGTTTTACCACTTTTGAAGGTTCGTACATTGATGCATAGCCGCAATTAAAGGAATTTTCACTCTAGATACCCTCACTCCTACCCCAACATTGCTGACTTAGTTGTTACTACTTTTGATATCTAACAACAGCCCGCAATGCGGTCATCTCGACCATGGGGTCATCTACGAACATTGGCCACAGCTTCTTCACACCCTCCCAAAGACTGTACACGGATTACACCACCGTATCAAAAGCTAGTCTCGAATCTGGAGAAGGTCAAGCGGGCGCTGGATCACCGACCCATGACGTTATCAGAGAAGATTCTATACTCACACTTAGCCGATCCAGGGGAGGCCAAGCCTATCCGTGGTCAAACATATTTAAAGTTGTCACCAGGTAATTTTAATTTGGGACAAATATGAATGAGTGAATGAGTGACTCGCATTTTGTTAAATTGATTGGATATGAATTGACCCTGAAATTGAGCGAGAAATCACTGTGGACAGGATTTACACAGAATAAGGGAAGATGTTCTGCCTGATCATCTTTTCTGATTTGATCTATCTTAAGATTTGATAAGTTTTCGACGAGGCCATACAAACTACACCAATATGCTCATTACTATCATAATAACTGTCTTCAGGTGGATGTTAACATATGCTTTGCCTTTTGTTTATAATTCTTCTATGGATTTGTTCCTGGGAATATGTCCGTATTCTTATCTACAGATCGTGTTGCTATGCAGGGTAAGGAAACCATGCTTGCACCAGCAGTATCCATTTATATTCTAGACTCTATAGTTTTTGTTTATTAATCAAACGTGCGCTTTTTATATATATTTATCAACAAATATCAATATGGATTTAAAAAAGATGCATCCGCCCAGATGGCAATTCTACAGTTCATGCTAGCAGGCATGCCTACAACTGCTGTGCCAACTTCTATTCACTGTGACCATCTTATCGTTGGTCATAAAGGTGCAGCTCAGGACTTGGTCAACTCAATTGAAAATAACAAAGAGATCTTTAATTTTTTGCAGTCTGCAGCAGAGAAATATGGCATGGCCTTCTGGAAGCCAGGCAGCGGTATTATCCATCAGATCGTGTTGGAAAACTATGCAGCACCTGGTCTGTTGATGCTGGGAACGGACAGTCATACTCCAAATGCAGGAGGCTTGGGAGCTATCGCCATCGGTGTCGGTGGCGCTGATGCAGTTGATGCCATGGCCAATATTCCTTGGGAGCTGAAGGCTCCTGAAGTCATTGGTGTCAAGCTGACAGGCCAGCTCAACGGATGGACCTCACCTAAAGACGTCATTCTTCATTTGGTGGGCAAGCTGACTGTGCGGGTAAGATTTGACAGTCCTTTCCCTAATCTAGATTTTTGCTAATTCCTTTTTTACTATTGTTGGAAAAAGCTAACCTCGCTATTGTGGTTTCTTTCCTTAGGGAGGAACAGGCCATATCGTCGAGTACTTTGGCCCGGGCATTGACACTTTGTCATGCACAGGAATGGGTACCATCTGCAACATGGGTGCAGAGGTAGGTGCGACAACCTCGGTCTTCCCATTCGTCAACAGCATGTCTGCATATCTTCATGCCACAGGACGGGGTCCCGTAGCGGAAGCTGCTCGTCAACACGCCCATTTCCTTCGAGCGGATGAGGGCGCTGTTTACGATAAAGTGATCGAAATTAATCTGTCAACATTGGAACCACACATCAATGGACCTTTCACTCCGGATTTGGCCACGCCACTCTCAAAGTTTGCGGAGGTTGTCAAGAAGAACGGTTGGAAGGATGAGGTAAAGGTGGGGCTGATTGGAAGCTGTACCAACAGCAGCTATGAAGATATGGATCGTGTCACCAGCTTGGCTAAACAAGCAGTCGAGAAGGGTATCAAGTCAAAGGCGGGATTCTTTATTACCCCTGGTTCTGAACAGATCAGGGCAACGATTGAAAGAGATGGCCAAACTGCTATCATGGAACAGGTGGGAGGTGTTGTTTTGGCGAATGCATGCGGGCCTTGCATTGGACAAGTAGGAACTTCTTTAATGATCTTTTTTTTTTTTTTTTTTTTATTTGGATGCACCGGCTTGATTTCTAACTATTCCTCTCATTCAATCCCAAATATGCATAAAAACAGTGGAAACGTGACGACTTGAACGAGAAGGAGGAAAACGCCATTCTCACTTCGTTCAACCGTAACTTCAAGAATCGTAATGACGGAAACGCAACTACTATGAACTTTTTGACTTCCCCTGAGGTAAAACAAAAAAAAAAAAAAAAAAAAAAACAAAAAAAAACCGGAGAGAATGGATCATTAAGAGTTAACTAAATATTCAAAATGATTTTGGCTGCCGATATATATATCTTAGTTGGTGACCGCCATGTCACTCTCAGGCAAGCTTACCTTCAATCCTATGACGGATCCTCTTTTGGACTCTACTGGAAAAGAGTTTATGCTCCAGCCCCCATATGGCGACAACCTACCTAAAGAAGGCTTCATTTCAGGCGATCTCTCCTATGCTCCTGGTGATACTATTCAGCCTAATCCTTCAGTTGAAATCAAAGTCGACCCAAAGTCGAATCGATTGCAGGTGTTAGAGCCCTTCGGGCCAGGACCCAATGGCGAGTTTGAGGATCTGCAGGTGTTGCTTAAGGTCAAGGGCAAATGTACCACCGATCATATTAGTGCCGCAGGGCCCTGGCTGAAATATAAAGGCCATCTTGAGAACATCTCCCATAATACTCTCAACGGTGCCTTGAATGCTGATAACGACAAAATCAACGTCGTCAAGAACGTTTTTACTGGTGAAGAAGGAGCTATCCATGAAGTTGGACGTCAATATCAAAAGTTGGGGAAGCCATGGATTGTCGTTACTGATGTAAGCACTTTTTTTTTTGCTTTTGTTCCTTTTTTAAAAAACAGAGGGAAATAGCCTCTTACCTAAAATTAGTTTGTTAATCAGAAAGCGCATGTCACTTTTTTTCATTGAATGTTTGTGTAGCACAACTATGGCGAAGGGTCTGCTCGCGAACATGCTGCTCTTCAGGTCCGTTACCTCGGCTGCCCCATGATCGTAGCGCGTTCATTCGCCCGTATCCATCAAACGAATCTCAAAAAACAAGGTGTGCTGCCTCTCACATTCGCTGATCCTGCTGATTGGGAAAAGATGCATGGAGGTGATGTGATAGAGTCAACCGTAGGTGTGGCCGACCTCATCGCTGGCCGCCCTGGAAAGAACGACACGCCTGAAGGTGGTGAGATCATTCTGATTGTCCGCCGTCCCAATGGGGAGAAGTACGAGATTAAGGCTTTGCACACCATGAGCAAAGACCAAGTCGAGTGGTTCAAGAAAGGAAGCGCCTTGAATGCAGCACGCGGTTAAAATAAAATTAGCATCATGTAGATACATCCACACGTAATAAACTAGAGCACCAACAATCCACTGATTGTAGACATTACAAATATAAATATACTTTTTAATTGAAAAAGATATTTGCACGAGCCCGTACACCAGAATATCGTACTGATGTACATGTACTAAACATACGAACATGGAGCTTTACAGTAAAAAAAGAGTAAAACATCGGTAAAATAACTAGGCTCGTTCCCAGCCCCCTTCGTAAGTGCATATTTATCATAACGTTTCCATTTTTGGATGCTACCTACTGGAGGAGCTGGGAACGAGCCTAGGGCTGGTATAGGCTCGAATCCAGCATCTCGCATTTGTTTAATTACTCCACTTTTTTTTTTCCACCTGTTCGCTAATACTCTTCATCTCTACTTTTAATCTTGATCGTCGTCGTGTAATCACTTCTTTATTGTCCTTTGTTGTCATTGTGCACACTTTACTTCATTGCACCACTATTTTATTATTGTTCTTTGCTACCGTCAATCAAGATTTACCTGTTTTCTCAATCCGATCCGATCATTTGAATTATATTAAGACGCGACGACATTGCACCCTTTGCTTGCCAGTAATCGCCACAACTCACATCACATTAATCTGCATACAATTTACTCCTCCTCCTCTCTCTCTCTCTCTCTCTCTCTCTCTCTCTCTCTCTCTCTCTCTCTCTCTCTCTCTCTCTCTCTCTCTCTCTTTTATTCCTTTGCAGGTACGATTTATGACTCCTTCATTCACATGCAGAAACCTCTTGTCATTAATGGAAACTTCTTCCAGTCTAACAGACTTAATGTGAGCCTTTTCGGGCTGGGAAGTTACTGCAACAGCGATTGTCATCTCAGGGCTCTTCATGACTATACTCTAACTCCACTTTTTCTTTTTCTTTAGCTCTCTTGAATTTAATGATAAAATAAAATAAGTGAATAGGATATACCTTGCTTAATAAAATATGATTTATTGAGCTTGGTCATTGCTTTAGTTGAAAGCTTCGTCATATGTAGCCCCGCTTCTTATGTTCCAGTCGATACACCACCAGCAGATACACTACGGGCTCTGCCGTGGGACTCGGCCGAATGGGGAAGTGGCTACGACGTTAGAGATTTAGAATCCATGAGACATACGTTCTATTACACTATTGTTTGTTAAAGCTCATGTACTGGAGCTGATGAGTTATGATTGTATCACTGATCTTTTTTTTATTATAGGAAGAAACAATGACGACGTTATCTTGTCACGTAGATTGGATACTTAAAAAAGTTCCGGGGGAAGAGCATGTGTCATTGGAGAACTTTGTCAGGCATTTCAACTTGACTGACCAGAGGCACGCTACTGACATATTCAAGAGTATTATATATTCAGACCTGATACGAATCCAACGGCGAAAAAAACTCCAGGATGTTTTTGAATATTTTCAACTGCATCATGAAGAAGAACTTTGGACTAAACTCAGGCTGGAAAGATCTCAGAAAAAATTGGAAATCAGTTCTCAAACAACAGCAAATGAGAATGGAGTTATAGCACAAGATATACGAGTATTTCTTTCCAAGAAAGGGTACTCTGAGATGCAAAAAAAAGTGCAAGTGAAGGTACAGTTTATGTTAGGAACTATTATTATTATTATTATTATTATTATTATTATTATTATTATTATTATTATTATTATTATTTGGATGTTATCGATGGAGAAATGAAAGTCGCCAAATCAATAACATCGATGAATACTGTCTCACTACCAATGCCTAAAGCTTTGGCCACCTCGTCTTCAGTATCGACCTCAAGCATGTCCAAAGAATGGATATTTGATAGAGAAGGTATGATTATTATTATTACAGCACAGGTTGTTTTGAATTTTCTCTAATTTCTAAGCACATGTTCCTGAATTTGTATATCATCAACAATAGGGTCATCCAAGGCATTATCTTCTGGTGGTGCAGGTGAAGGCACAAGCACTCGACCATCAAATAAGGGACGAGCATCTACTGATTTGAAAGAATATTCATTCCAATCCGCTGACAGAGGTCCTCATTTTGACCTTCATGTCTCCTCATCAGGCCGTGTTGGTATGTACAGTCACCTGAAACAAAGATTGGACAAAAAAATAAAATATTGAAATAGTTACGTAGGGAAGCGTTTCCTTCAATCTCTTTCCTTCCTGTTTTTCACATACAAACAGCTTGAGTAAACCACCATGGCGAGACACTTAGACATTGAGAATAAAGGTATCATCGTTGGAATGCACCTCGCGGGCATGAAGGCTGCGGAAATCGCATTGCAACGCGGTGTACCCCGAACCTCTGTTATTAATATTATCAGGGTGTACCAAGAAAGAGGCACCACTGCTTGCACTCCGATCCCAGGACGGCCCAAAGTACTAAGTGAACGGGACCTCAGGAGCATCGTTCGCCATACTAAGCAGAATAGAAGGTGTACTCTTAATGATATCACTAACCAATTGCCGAACAAAGTTTGCGAGAGGACAGTTGCGAAGGCATTGCATTCACTGGGTATTTTCAGCCGGGTTGCAGTAAAAAAACCATTCTTAAAAGAAGGACATATAAAAAGGAGGCTGCAGTTTGTCAAAAAATATATGAGTTGGTCCATGGAAGACTGGAATCGGGTAGTTTGGACTGACGAATCATCATTTGAAGTTGGTGAGCATTTTCGTCAAATAAGAGTTTGGCGTAAAGTAGAGGAAAAGTACGATCATGATTGCCTCGCACCCACTTTCAAAAGTGGTAGAACAACTCTGATGGTCTGGGGGGCGTTCACAGCAACCAGAAAGTCTCGGTTGGTTGTATTTGAAAGAGGTCGTAAAGATGGACGGTGTTTCGTGGAAGATGTATATCAAGGCGAGCTAGCCAGATTTATGGCTGAGGTAGAGGATGGCATACTTATGGAGGACAATGCTCCAGTTCATACTTGTAAGATTGCAAAAGAATGGCGCGAAAAAAACAGCATCCCGAGGATTCCAGACTGGCCTTCATGCTCCCCAGATTTGAACCCTATTGAACATGTATGGTCACTTCTTGCGGATGCACTCGATAGGCGCGCTAAAGGGCCAAGAGATCTTCCCACTCTCACACGGGCTCTTATCGAAGAGTGGAATAATTTACCGCAAGAGAGGCTGGCCAGCCTTGTCGCTACCATGCCCGAAAGGCTGGAAGAAGTGAATGGGGTCGATGGTAGGAACACTCACTATTGAACCTACATGGCACTTTTGCTACTCTAACAATGCCGTCTTCAAAACCCCAATAAATAACAGTATTGACCTCTTTAGTGAGCATGTAAAATTTCATGTGTATTGATGAAGTCTTTATGTATGTTGCATATGAGCTGTTTGTCCAGGTTGTTCAAAAAAAAATCAAGAAAATCCATTTTGTCCAAACTTTATTTCAGGTGACTGTACATTGGAATAGTCGATTAGGACTGCGGGCTCAACTCGCCAGCTACTCATGTTTTTTTTTTTTTTTTTTTTTTTGCTGGTGTTGTTTTCATCATTTGACAGAAGATCTCAAGGCTCGTACACGAATAACAAAACCACAGCAGGCTCGCATACGAATAACAAAACCACAGCAAACTCACACCCTTGCATCCGATTTGGATACACCCTCGCTGTCTATGTTGGTGTCGCCTGCAGTAGCCCCTAAACCAAAGTACGACAGGGGTAGGAATTCAAGCATATCCACTGGTGAAGTTGTCTCCAAGCCATATATCGACACTGTGCTGTTTAAGGTGCACAAGTATAAGATCGGAGACTGCAATGTTGGGCAGCTCTTCCACAAGTTTCAGGAAAATTCGGCCACCACTGTTAACAACTTTGATATCACCGCAACCTCGAGTAACATCTCAAAATTTCTGTAAGTGCATGTAAATGACAGGACCTAGATATGAGATATGACTGTGCCAGGATGTACGTGTTTATAGGATGTTGATACCTGCTGTCTTCTATATCATTTCATCTTAGGGTAATGAATTATATTTTTACCACCTTTGAAGAGCTACCCGATCTGCCTCTAGACGTGCTCCAGACCATTCGACAGACATATGTTTGGCCATCTGTGCAACTTGACGATGACGCTTTACATCTTTGTGCAGACCTCGATCAACAGCTGGCAATGGGGGAACAGATCCAAGTGGTGGTGGGTTCGTCAGAACTACGCAAGATCGTCATTCTTTATCAGATGATGTAAGTTGTAGTTGAGAGTTTTGAAATGTAGAAATACAACAAGGATGACTAACTTTTCTTTGTTTCTGTATCTCTCTTTTCGTTAATAAACTCAAGCTACCAGTACAATACGACTTCTTTTCCAAAGGTTTGGAGGATACATACTGTCACCAGGTGATTGACGCATTGGTCACTTCCTTTTTCCCAGCAAGATCCACCAAGTATCATGTCGACTGGGCTAATGGTGAGCCCCACGGCAGTGCTCCTATTCGAAGTGAAATTTTGTCAATTATGATGTTTCAGATTAAAAAAATAAATATCAATTGAGCACTGCCCCACGGATCAGGGAAACGACGTGGTCATGGTCATGGATACCGCCCTGATGGTTGTATCAAGAAGCATGGACGACAAATCGCATTCTTGGAGGTTAAGCCACCTGGCGACAGCCATACTGCCAAGGAGTATCTATGGGACTATTGGAATTTAGCAAACTTCACCAATGCAACAAGGCGTCCCCATCACAAAGGCAGCCGGAGTCCAACTTTTCCGTAAGAGAGCATTACATAACTGACACATGAACGATCAGCCTTAGCTATTTTGTCCCCTTCTGATTATCTGTTCGATTCCTTGTGTTGACATAGGAAACCGACTGTGCTTGTACACCATGGAATATTCCCATGGTTTATACCACTGGAGTCGGACCTGTACTGCCTATATCCCATTTGATCAATCTGACTCGAACATGGCGGGCTGCATCCGACTCTTTCGAAGTTTGGAGGTATGTTTGTGTTGACTAGTGCATGTGTGGGATGTTAAGATTTTGAAGCATGCAAAACAGTGTACTAACACGGAATTCTTTCTGTCCCCAGGCTTACCTTGAACAAACTAGCACAAATGTTCAGCCTCGTACACCTCCCCGGATCGAATATGATGATATAGAACCCCAGGAGGACCAGGGAAGACCCTCTAAGGTTTCTCCAAGTACACGAAAGAACATGTTCTAGATGGCATTGCCAGATTGGAGATCATAAATCAGACTGCAATAAAGTGGTGGTTTTTGATTGTTAATATTAATTTATTGCTACCATTGTTTCTACTGCACCATATAGACAGATATAGCATATACGATGACTTAGAATACTACTCACGTGGTACAGACAATATCTATAGTATATAAGATGTTGTCTGTCCTGAAAATAAAGATCCCTCTCTTTGTCCTATTGAACTTAATTCTCATATAGTAAGTTTAGATAAATATAATTGGTTAAAACATTGCATTTTTTTCAATAAGTTCTTGACCGATCTTTGATACTTGGAACCATTCATCCATCTGATGCAATAATTTGCATTTTTTAACATTCATTCCTCATTCTCCTTTTCCTTTCTAATGATCTTCCCTACCATCACCGCTTCTCATTCTCATTTGTCTCACCTTCGTAGACTGTCATCGCTGTTCTCATCAATGACGCAATTAGCGAATAATCGCCATTTGTATAGTCATGTCTCATTGCATCAGTTTTGGTAAAAAGTACATGTCAGGTTTGTCCATCCCTTACTTCTTTCTTATTCTTTATTCTTTCTTTATAGCACCATCACCACTGATACACCAAGCGACACTCTACATATCTGCCATATCTTTATCATAACATGAAATCATTATCCAAATCAACTATCCAAAATGCAACTGCTCTACCTCATCAGGGAAAGTCTTCCAGAGAAGTGTCAAAGAGTTTAGGGATATCTGTTACCTCAGCTCAAAGGATTAGGAAAAGAGGCAAAGAAAGTATTCCAGTGCTGAGAGGGGGCCGACCCTGCAAAGTTACTAAGAAAACGAAACAGCTTTTATCAAGATTTTTTGACATGGGTGTATTGGAGACCCTAAAAGATGGCCAACAACTTGTTCAATTGAGGGAAGGAGTGCAGGTTAGTAAATCGAGCATCAGGAGGTTCCTTATGCAGGATGATATGGGGGCATATGTAAAACAGAAGCAGCCTGATCTGACGAAGAAGCAAATCTATGCTCGATATAATTTTGCAAAGGATCACTTGGACTGGACTCTAGAAGACTGGAAGAACGTCATGTTCTCAGATGAGACCATCTTTAGCAGAGTTGGGTCCTGCGGAAGAAAGTACTACTACAAGCATCGATGGGATAAAGCTCTACGAGCACATCATATCAAAAAGACAAGGCAAGGCGGTGGAGGCAAAATGATGTTCTGGGGTTGTATAACTTACTACGGACCAGGCGATGGCTGCTGGCTCCAAGAGAAGGTGGATTCGGTAACATACGTCGACGTTCTCAAGGATTATATCTTTAAGTCCAGGGATTACTACTTGATGGATAAGGACAAATTTATATTTCAGCAGGACAATGCTAGGATTCATACCGGAAGAATAGCAATGACCTATATCCAAAAGTCTAAGATACCTCTCATGGAATGGCCAGCAAACTCTCCTGACATCAACCCAATAGAAAACATATGGGCATACATGAAGGTGCAGTTGGATCATTATCCAGACAAGGCAAAGAATATGGAGGATCTCTGGGAGAGAGTCCAAGACGTATGGACACATATCCCTCCTGAATTCTTACACAAACTATACTGCGGTATGCCGAAGAGGGTGAGAGAGTTATATAAGGCTAAAGGAGGGAACATCGTTAGGGGAAAGGAGAAGTAACAGGAATAAATAAAAACAAGAAGTTGTTAATTGCCATAATAGATGCAATGAGATGCTGAAAGCAAATTGCAATTAAATGCTAATTAGGCCACTGATGGCGATGACGATGAGACTCCATGGAGGTGAGACAAATGAGAATGAGAAACGGTGGTGGCAGGGAAGATCATAAAGAGGAAGAAGGAGAATGAGGAATGAATGTTGAAAAATGCAATTTATTGCATCAGTTTTGGCACGCACTATATCAATACATCTATCCGATATACATATCCTTCATTGGTTGTGTATCACCCTCACTCCAGAACTGTTAAAGACCATCTGAAAGGTGCGATCATCTCAGTATCTTTATTTATGTACGTCTACGCATAGAATTCATTCACTGCATAATTCGTAACTTCAATTCGAACCAAGTGTCATTGCGTTAGCAACTCTAAGGTTAATCGAAAACAGATTGTTGCAGATCCAAAGCTGATCCAGAATCCATTGCTCAGTGATCAATCAATCGTCTGATAGTAGAAAGCACTCTATTGGTAACAAGAATCTTTTCCGTTAATAAAAGAAGGAATTGATACCTCGGACAAATCTCATTCGGTGGAATAGAAGATAGATCCTTTGCAAAAGCCTTGGTCAAGGGTCGAGGGGTTAGGTATATAGTTGATAGATTTATTATTCGTTGGGGGGTTTTGCTATACTACAAAGATACTGCAAGGAACAATCTAGAAATGGGCAAAGCATTGTTGGTGTAACAATTGATTTCTAGCAATTTCGCTTGCACAGTATGCCCGCTCCCCTGATAAAAACTTTGCCAACCGACCATCTGCCCCTGCCCCCAAGAATGCTGCTACCTCCGCCAGGGCTGCTGTCAGAGATAGCTAATCTCTGAGTTCTCATCTTCTAGAAATTCCATCTATCCAATGTGCAAGCCATGTAAACAATGGTTACTCAACTGGACCGATAACAGAGATTGGGAAATATATAAATGACATCATTACGCCAAGAGTCTATGACAAATCTAAATGTAATCGAGTGTCCAACGCAAACAAACAAATGCTGCGCAATCCGCAGCAAGACCAGATGACTCATCCGCATGACCCTAACTTGACCAGTGATACTCCAGAAGACAAGCACGAAGAGAGTACCCTATCAGATGCCAAGACTCCGATTAGTAATCAATCATCAAACGAGGATGACTCTGTCACCTCAACCAAAACATATAAATAGTCTAGTAGTACCATATCAAATTAGTAGCAATAAACACCTTATCTTTACTATACTTGCTTCCATCCTTGTCCACATACCTCTCTCGATTCCTTGCACACCAACTGGTTAGTTACCTAGTCTTCCTCTAGTCTGACTTTATTACAGAGGTCCTCGGTTTCTGGAGTAGGTCTTGTCCCGTGTAGAGCTCCAGAAGGCTCTACTGGGACTTGTCTTTCCCTGGGAGTTATTGGTTTTCTGGGGACATTCGGCGGCGCGGTGCCCGGTAGCATGGCAATAGAAACGTGCGCCACGGCGAAGGTCATCTTGTTTTCGGTTGGTATTCTTGGCTTGTTGGTTTCGCATATTATTAGGAGCTGAGGTCATGGCATCAAGCTCCATTGGCCAGGGCTTTGGTCAGGACGGCGGAAACCACTGGTTCATTGTTGGTTACGATTGTTGTTGAATGAGAACTGTCGGCGTTTTCTCACGTTATCAAGGGACTCGGCGATGGACTTGACTTGGTCAAGGTCGGTCATCAGGTCAGGGTTTCCAGCGAAATGTTCTTGAAGTTTCGGGCGGAGTCCTTTCAAAAAGACATTCAGGCTTTCAGCTTCGGTCATGTCATCGATCTTGAGTTGCAAATGGGTGAACTCTTCAATGTACTTGGTCACAGACTGTAATAGGTAGTGAAGGCAAAAGGCGTTTTTATTATAAATATTAAAACAAGCCTTTTTATAGGCTTAAGGCTATATACTGTTGCACCTTCCCATTTTAAAAAAAAATTATAGTCTATGTGCTTTCTTGTACTTCTTAAGCACCCTGGTGCAGTTGGTAAGAGTGCTTTGTGGTTGCCAAGTATGGTGCATTTCAGTACTAATGCAATAAATTGCACTTTTGGACATTCATTCCTCATTCTCCTTTTTCTTTCTAATGATCTTCCATGTCATCGCTGTTTCTCATTTGTATTTGTCTCACCTCCATGGACTGTCATCACCATCCTCATCAATGTCGCAATTAGCATTTAATCGCAATTTGCTTTCAATACCTTATTGCATCTGTTAAGTTAATTTTTAACTTCCTGTTCTCTTTATTTCGGTTACTTCTATTCTGTCTTAATGATGTTTCCTCCTTTTGCCTTATATAACTCCCTCATCCTCTTTGGCATGTCACAATATAGCTTTTCCAAGAATTCAGGAGGGATTTGTGCCCATACGTCTTGAACCCGATCCCAAAGGTCATCCTGTCAAGGACTGACAAAGGGTTTGCAAGGAAAGGTAAGTGAATGAATAACAAGAATGATAATGAGCTGAGAACTAGAATGGATTCACGAATAGTTTTATTGCAGACTGAGGTTTACTATGTTACAGATCTATCATATTTATACTTGTTTGACTGAAGCGGAGACGCGCTTCAAGAACTCTAAATAAAGCTTACTCAAATATTTCCTAAGGACTTTTACCATATGCGGAACTTCAAGTGTTGAGTTAACTTAATACACAGGATCCGAGGAAGATATCTGGTGCAATCTTATTTCAAGGTTCCTTGGCACTATAAGCCTTGGTTATTGGTTTATAGCTCTTCTAGAATCCTTGGAGCTATTCACGGAGCTAGAAAACTAGGAGACGCGACTTGGCTTGACAGGCAAACTATGCATGGAGGAATGAGTGAAGGAAATGAGCGGAACAAATTAATCAAGCACACGTGATCTTTTTCAGATTCGAATCAGACAAAAGTCATTCATCAATTCATGAGCTAGACATTGCTTGCTGTTCGTGACACATCCATATTCTTTGGCTTGTCTGGATATTGATCCAACTTCATCTTCATATATGCCCATACTTTTTCTGTTAGGTTGATGTCAGGAGAGTTTGCTGGCCATTCCATGTGCAAGCGAAATCACTATAATAATTTTGTGCAACATAGTATTTCGCCCATATTTCTAGAGCATTCCTTGCAACAGGACATTAACTAGTATAATTAGGTCTACTTTTCTATCTAGTTCTGTAGCATAGTTCCCCTGAATAAAGATACCTTTATTGCACCCTTAGATCCCCCTAGAACACTACCTTGACTTTTGCAGACCTGGAAGGCACGCAAGAGTTGGTTCAAGGCAGGTGGACACCCTTGCACGAAGCAGATGAAAGCGAAGTCTTCGATTGCCTTGCGTCCTCCTGCCGAAGGCTCATCAGCTAAGAGTGCCGTGAGGAGTTCGCGGGCTTCGGCAACGTAATCGGTGACAGTAGTACTCATCTTAAGGGAGGACAGGCGAAATCGGATGAGTTGAGAGAAATCATTGGGGACGAACGCATCCCGGAACCCTTTTTCAAAGGTGTCGAACGATGCATCGTCAGAGATACCTGCGCCGTTAAACCATCGGGCCGCGTCAGGCCCAAGGAAGGCTATGGCTACAACCGTCTGTGCCGAAGCAGGAACAGAGGCACCAACGAAGAAACGACGCATAGAGCGCAACCAGGTGTTGGCTGAGAAGCCATCGCGCTTTCCCTCGAACTTGTCGGGTTGGGGGTACTTGAAAGCGGGGGTCATCACAGGGTTGTCGGTTGCAAAAGTCACGGTAGTGTGCTAGGGGGATCTAAGGGTGCAATAAAGGTATCTTTATTCAGGGGGAACTATGCTACAGAACTAGATAGAAAAGTAGACCTAATTATACTAGTTAATGTCCTGTTGCAAGGAATGCTCTAGAAATATGGGCGAAATACTATGTTGCACAAAATTATTATAGTGATTTCGCTTGCATCGGTAGTAAGCGTCATGGAATCAAGGATTAGGGCTAAATCTTCCACAGAGAGCAAGTTGAAAGTAAAATCGAGGAGGTAGGGTGGTGCGGCAGGGGACAGGGATGAAGGTCGGGGATCAGAGTAGCTTTGCTACCATGTAATAATTAAGAGAGACAAAAGATGTTTTTATTATAATTATTAAAACAAGCCTTTTTATAGGCTTAAGGCTATATACTGTCACAATAGATTAATCCTTAAAAAGGTCCAAGTAGTAATGCTTCAAAGCGCCACAAAAGTGCTCAAACCAGGGTTCGAACCTGGGACCTTGCCTTAGTGAGAGGCATGTGATAACCAACTACACCATTTGAGCTTTTATTTGCAATTATTTGTGTCGTAAATGTCCTAAATCGAGGCAACTTAAGCTCACGTCCTATAACAAGCGACGTCATGGTAGGTAGGACCAGAGGTATACCTATAGTGGTGCCCTCAAACCCACCCCGTCCTGCCTGGACGTGAGCTCAGCCACCCGATCCTCCCCGCTATAATAAATAGTGGACTCTCCGTCCCTGAAGTGTTCCTTACCTTTATCTTGGTACAACACTTCAGGTATGCAACCTCATTCATCTCAGCACTAGTTACTTAGCCCAATGGCTGAGTAGTATACTCGTCAGGGCACCCCCCTGTCTAGCCCAGGGGCCGGGTTCGAGTCCTGGTTAAGGCACATAAAGTGAAGCAAACATGTGCCAGGTCAGGGATTTGCTTGAGTTTTTATACTTTCTCTCCGAGACAGCCTAGTGTTCTCCGCTAAGGCTAAGATCGTGGGTGCACTACTCTAAGTCGCCTGGCTGGCCACATGTCTTAGGTATATATTCCACCCCCCAGCCGAACCAGCGGTACATCTGGCAGCACATCCCCCCATCCACCCACTTGACTAGGACAGCGATGATCACAAAGTTTGACGGAGTCCAAAGTAGAAATTTCAGACCAATCCCGCAAGATTTGGGTCCACATGCCAGTGGATTTGATCGAATAGAAAAAAAAAAATTAAAAGTCGTCCTTAGCTAGAGTCGGCACGCCAGCCTCCGCGGCTTTTCACGGGCGCAACAGGCCACATCGGAAGGATGGACTTCGAGTACCGATCACGGTGTACATTGGTAGAGAAAAACATGGATACGAATTGGCTCTTCACAGCCATCCCGTGCGAACTTTGAGAGTTTCGCTTGTTTCATAGTTGAGGGCGATATCATTACTTTAGAGCGAGATTATGAAATAAAATTCCTCACCTCTGTGGGTTCTTGTTAACAGGAAAAAAAAAAAAAAAAAAAAAAAAAAAGAAAAAAAAAAAAAAAAAAAAAAAAAAAAAAAAAATCTCAGCACTAGTTACTTGTATAGTATTATATGTATCATAAACTAATAAAGACCTTTATCTTGGTACAACACTTCAGTGTGTTCTATGTATTTGCGTCTCGTTGCGGTTTTTAAGGGCATCTCAGTATACACTATCATGCAAAACTGATTCAATAATTCATTCCCATGTGCATTTCTTTTTTTTCATTCCTAGAAACCGTATATGCATACACCACTCATACTTTGGTTTAATAAAGCTCCCGTCTTCTTCTACGTCATAGTGATGCGTTGTGACATTAGCTTGTCTCATTTGAATAGCTAATGACTTTTTTGTTCATGCAGGTCATTGAATCAGTTTCACATGTGGTCTAAAATGTTGCCCATGACAACTTTGGACGTCATTTAATGCCAGTAAAAAAAGGGCTTTTCTCTCTTTCCTTTATGAACACTTGCTTAACTCTCTCTTAACTATACCTTCACAGAATATGAGACCCACTCCACAAAGGAAAGTCAACGAAGCCAGGAGGTTAATGATGGGAGGCATGTCTACTAGAGAAACTGCTGCTAGTGTTGGTATATCAATAGCGACGGCCACCAGGATCTATGCACATAATAAGGAGTACATGCCAGTCAATAAAGGCGGTCGACCAAGGAAAGTACCTAGAGGTATCATGCAGTATCTTAAGGTGAACATGAAACGAGGTACACTCAAGTCTGCAGTTGAGGCCACCGTCAGAGCCAACCAGCTCATACCAGCGGCTGTTTCTGAGACCACCGTTAGACGACGGCTCAAGGAGTTAGGATTGACAGCAAAGAGGCGTGTACATAAGCCAGCTTTACGTCGACGGCATATTAAAGCTCGTTTGCATTTTATCAAAAAGTATAAGGAATGGACTCTGGAAGATTGGAAAAAGGTTATTTGGTCAGATGAATCGAAAATAAACCGAATCTGCTCTGATGGCGTGCAGTGGATCTGGGACGACAATCCGGGACGCCTCACTCGCAGGTCGGTGCAAGGCACTGTCAAGTTTGGGGGTGGTAATGTTAAAGTGTGGTCATGCTTCTCATGGTACGGACCTGGATACATTGCAAAGATTGACAATAATATGGACGCACAACTTTACATCAAACTACTGCAGGAGGATCTACAGATGTCGCTTGATGACTGGGGCCTAACTAAAAGCGATATCGTCTTTCAGCACGACAATGACTCGAAGCACACGGCGAAGATTGTTAGGAAGTATTTGGAGTCAGTACATCTGACAGAAGAGGAAGGTACACTTCTAGAGTGGCCAGCACAATCCCCTGACCTCAACCCTATTGAACACATGTGGGCAGAATTGGATAGGCGGCTCTCTAGGTATCCGGAGCGAGCTAAGAGCTGTGATGAACTATGGGAGCGAATATCGGTTGAATGGTACAGGATCCCAGTGGGCTTCTGCCGCAAACTCATCATAGGTATCCATAAGAGACTCCAAGCTGTCAGTGATGCCCATGGTTGGAATACTATCTATTGATGTAAGGCTATGCCTCACAAAAGAATAAAGATCTTTGGCCACCGAATGGGCACATGTGAAACTGATTCAATGACCTGCATGAACAAAAAAGTCATTAGCTATTCAAATGAGACAAGCTAATGTCACAACGCATCACTATGACGTAGAA